ATAATATTAGTAATATCGATTACTAATATTAAGCTATTCCTAATAAGGAAATACCTTATATAAACTTATTAGATATAGTAGAGGTTAAGTTTACACTACCTAATAGAAAACTTAGACTTGGAGGATTCTTTCGCACAGAACCTGTCAGGCAGGGTACCAACCCGTCCACAATACACGCACGCTTATAACTCTTGACCTTACACTTATTGCCAGCGATCCAGACGGTATTATTATATTAGAAACTACTCTACCAAGCAATAGTACCAATAAGCCGGATTCTAGGTGTGCATGTTTCGCAAAAGACGATTACTATGATTCGGTCTGTGACACGACCAAGCTCAACTGCTCCGCATCTATTGCCCTGACGATCTGGACCTCATGAGTAATAATGAACTGTAAGTGAACCGTCACCTTACTCCGCGAATACACTCTTACTATACTCAAGTTTGGTGCCGATTAGCACATGCACGATCCCACTGGCAGCCCATGACAGACACTGACAGCTGCACAGCAAGCAATGGGCAAGGTATCGAAGCACATTGCAAAGACTGCCCAGTTACACAATGCTAGACTCATGTTCACAGCCCTCGTTCAGTGCTTCCAAAGACCTTTGAAAGGCAGGGTGTATGAAACTATTGACATCATACATGGTGCCTTGATCTCAACTGACGTCAAGGATTTGTTCATAGTAGCGCAAAATGCCAGCTGTGGAGTCCGAACTTGACTTGAAAACATTACTCTAATCATGCTGCTTGTGACAATACCGGGTTCGATACGATCATGGTCATGGCCGCGAGCATAATGTGTTCGTCAATTTCGAAGCACCTCCAGCACTGGAACTGGTGAGACACGGAGAAAATGTGACCTCTGGCGAAAACACTGTTGGTTTTAACATAGAGGGTTACTTGTTTTCTTCTTCTGGATCTCTCATAGTAGGGACAAAGATAAGACTCCAACTAGTTGACAGCTTCCGCGTTGATTTTTTTTGGACATGGACTATGAACTTCTCGTGACCGATACTATGACACAGAGAACCCTTTAACAAAGCGTGTGACGTCGAGTCCAGGTGGCGAGGGTGCTTGGACCACTCTCCTTCCGTCGTGACGTATGGTAAACAAATGGTGAAATCATAGTCCATCGCTATATAATGAACTCAAGTCGACTGGATTTCAGCCGCTTACAGTTAATCATCTACCGTGGTCGGGTGGTATCACGTTGAACTCAATATGCTCTTGCAACACTGAATTATTAATTCTGCTACCATGTTTCGAGTTCGATTCCTCCCTAAGTCATGTATGAGTACATTTCTTTTGCAATTTTGGCGGAGTTCCTCCAATTGCTCTATTTCTCTCCCAGAACGACATTTTCTTATTCATAGATGAATAAATACAATCATGTCAACATAAGACACTCGTTCTACTGTTTTGGTGGAGCCGTTTACAGCGATAACGAAGCAAATAGGTTGGTTGCAGAAAGACATTCACATTCACTCACAGTGTCGGTCAACGGACACAAGTCCGTACGCGTCTCGTTCCTTCCTCACTCCGCTAATAAGCCATGCTTTATTTCCTCTTCACATCCTCAACATCCGTACACTTACTCCGCGCCTATTCATAATGCCTCGACCTCGACCTCTCAACCTTGAAGCTACGACCATACAAAGAGAGCTGGAGCTATCACAAACCTCACCATGTTCGCCCTCGCAACATGCTCTACGTCCTCAATTTCCCGCTCGCAGTTCCTCTCTCCGCAAACCGCACGTGTTGCTGCTACCAAGAGCCAGTCCACGAGCGGGCAACGAGCAAAGGTTCAAACTCACCTTAACCTCCCTTCACCCCCAAAAGAAACCACCGGCTTTCAGGCCCTGACGTTGAAGAGAAAGCAGCCAGCTCACCAGACAAATAGCCTAAAACTCACTCCACCGCCAAAATCCCCACCACCATCCGCTCCACAGCGCGTCTCAGACTCACACGCCCACATACCCATCCTCCTCGGCTCGCCCCGACAAAGCCCCCAGCTCGACGAAGATGAAGATGAAGATGATACAGATCTCAACGAAGCACCTTCCATCCTACCAACCCCGTCCGTCTCCAGAACAACCACACCTGCTCTCCAGCCCTCCAAGGTCGAACAAGAACACGCCCTTCCACCACTCCCCGCCTCAAGCTCTCCAAGCACTCCAAGTATCATAATCCCCCGCCCGCAGCGCCCGACGCTCCTATCCCACAGCGCCTCCGTCCGCACGACGCCGAACCGCCCGCGACTCATACAACGCAGTGCCTCCGTTCGCTGCCCAGCGGTATCGCACAGCCCGGCCCTCAGCCCAAGTATCTCTACGCCCCGCTCACCCTTCATACCGTCGTCCATCGGCGTAGCAAGTCGGCCCTCGCATCCGATCCGCACGTCTTCTCTCCCGCCCCTCGACGGGGACGACGAGGCTTGGTCTTCGCCAGAAGTCCTCGTCTCCTCGCCACCACAAGGCCGGTCCAGCCCTGCATCCTCGGCTGGTGATGGTCGGATAAAAGTCCGCTTTGACGCGACGCCCTTGGATATCGAAGACATGATTGCAGGGCTGCCGGACCTGGAGCGAGAGACGGGGCAGTTGCATGGGGAGCTTTCTGGGAAAAGGGACGATTTGGATCTGGTAGAGAAAGAGTTGAAGGCGTTGAGGATGGAGGGGGAGGACCTGTTGGGTTTGGTGGAAGGGTGGATGGAGAGTGCGCGTAGTCGTTGACTGGGTTTGGAGAACAAGACGAGCGATGACGACTTTTACAACACGAGAAAACACGAGAGCGGCGAAGAGTTAGGATTAAGGTTAATGCGGGATGAAGGTAAACATGAATATATGTGCACTGCATTATATCGTGCGAATAAGAGGACATGAAACTGAACATAATACTGAGTGGAGAAAAGCGTCAAATTCGTCATATCGCTTGACCATGCACAATACGCTACGCCCACAGCCAGTTCAGCACTTTTGAAGGCGGTGCACATACACAGAACAAACCTACACAGAAGCCTTGCGGATGCCCAGCCATCTACACCCTCCTACAGACAATCCCTCAGCGTATAAGCCCGAAATAGTAAACAGCCCATGGTAAACAGAGCATAAAGAAGTGAAGCGAAGAACCAACAGTCTTCCAAAAACGCTGCATAACGTATCGTGGGTATGGGGCATTGCATGAAACACGAAAAATTCAACAGAAAATGTAAAAAAATAAGAAAATACCCCAACCCGACATCCTCCCAACCCCTGATTCCCCGAGACGTGAAAGACCCGCGTTGAACACGGGAGGAAAACCACGTCTCCCTGAGCGCGCACACAGTGTACAACTTCTCCTCATCATGACATGCGTGCAATAAAACATAGGTGAAGACCCGGGTGCCAATATTCGCTTCAACAGGTGCGGAAATTGAGGGATGAAGAGTGACAAAAGCGTATCCGCAAGAGAGAAATGATAAAGCCGAAAAGCATCATTAACGAGCGAGAAGACAACGCATGCAAAGCGTCCACCCAAAGGAAAACGTTTCAACAGTCTGTATGTCCGTCCACGCCCATCCATGACGCTCTCAGCCGTACCACACATCGCCCACGAACCACGCCATTGTATGATCATCTTCTGCATACACCCATTCATGTCTCGGCACATATTGATATTGCGACTCTTGGTATCCCGGATATACAACCTGTATGTCTCCTGTTAGCACGAGCGTCATTACATAACAGCACATTCGCCCTGTTGACCCTTGGGACTACCCCCTGATGAAGGCTTGCCGTTTGGGGCAGAGGGAACGTGTGCATATGGAGAAGCCGGAGTGGCACGCTCAGGTTTTTTTGGATCTTTTACCGACGAGCTACGACCATTGGCCCCCCCAGCCGCCCATCGGAAGAAGCCCGTGGGAGGTTGTTTAGAAGAGGGTTTCTTCTTTTTGTGGCCGTCGACAACAACTTCGACTCTGGGACCACCCCCTTGCGGCGGCATCATCATCCCTGGGGGCATTCCTGGATGGCCAGGCGGTGGCATCGGACCACCTGGGAAACCAGGCGGGGGTGGAGGTGGGATAGGACCTCCTTTCCCTCCTTTGGGAGCCTTGCCGCCAGCTGGAGGCTTACCGCCCTTCGGTCCTTTCGCTCCATGTGGTGGCATTGGCCCAAAGGGCTCAAAGCCGGGAGGCCCACCAGGAAAACCAGGTAGTGGAGGAGGTGGTGGCTTAGGGTCTGGCATTGGCCACATATGCATTGTGATAGCCCAGTCTGGTTTGACCATAGTCTCCCAAACCTGTGGTAGAATGATCTCGCCATCAGGTCCGACGAGATCATAGTGGCCGTCATGGACGTGTGGGCCGATCACGTCTACATGGAGGAAGGCCTGCTTGATGAGGTTCTCCATGCCACCCCATGTCTTGCAGATGTGCCAGGGAAAGCTGAATTTCCTCCCGACCGCGTCTTTGAATTTAATCGGTGGCTGGTTCTTGTCGTCGCTAGGCGGAGTGATCTTGGCTTCGGCCGCCTTCTTGTCATTCTCAGCCTTTTCTGCAGCTTCCTTTGCCTCAGCAAGTGCCTTCTCATGTGCTGCCTTTGTCTCTTCGGCCTCCTTCTGTGCTTTCGCCTCGGCCTCTTCTCTTGCTTTCTTGGCGGCCTCGAGCAGTTTCGCCGCAGCGTCGGCGGCAGCTTTCTTTTCGGCAGCAATCTTGGCGGCAGCAGATTCAGCAGCAGCTTGTTCGGCTTTGCGAGCGGCCTCGGCAGCCTCTTCGCGTTTGAGCTGCTCCTCTTTTTGTGCCAGAATGAGCATCTCAAGCTTAGCAAGCTTGTCTTCATCGCCTCGTTTCTTTGCATCGGCTGCTGCGACAGCCGCATCAAGCTCAGCCTGCTTCTTGGCATTCGCTTCATCTATCCTAGCCTTTCGCTCATCGTTGAGAAACTTTTCGATAGCTTTGAGCCTGTCATTCTCCTTCTTTTCCTCTGCAGCCTTTTTGGCCTTGGCCTCTTCCTCAATCTTCCTTGTCTGCTCTTCGATAGCCTTTCTTTCCCGGTCCAGACGATCATTACGTTCAGCAATCAGGAGCTCCTCTATCTTGGAAATCTTCTCGTTTTCGGGTGGGAAGGCGCCTGGAATGGCTGCAGGGGCCGGCGCTGGCGCTGGAGCTGGCACTGGCACTGGCGCTGGAGCTGGGGTTGCTACAGGTGCGGGTTCTGGAGCCGGTGTATGGTGTTGCGAGGGAGGATGACGGGGAGGAGGGGAAGGATGATGGGCATAAGGTGGGTAGTATGGGTTTGGAGGAGGCGGCATTCCATAGCCAGGCGGAGGCGGTGGATATGGATAACCCGGATATCCGCCTCCATTAAAGTGCATCAGCTCTCCGCCAGGCGGCATTGGAGGCATCGAGTTCCGGTGCGATCGATGTTGCCTTGCTGGCGGACCGTTATCGTCGTAATACATACTATTTCTGTCGCCGCGAGTGAATGGATTCGGTTGATGGCCACCATGCATTGTTTGCGTGAAAGGGTTTGTGTAGCCATAGGGATCACTACGCATCGGAACTATTTCTTGACCCGGCGGTCCATATGGTGGATAACCGCCGCCAGACAACATGCTGGGTGCGTAACCACTTGCAGGGGCAGGAGGTACATGCCCCCACTGAGCATGAGGGTGTCCCCTTGGGGGACCGTACGGGTAGTCGTCACCTTCCAGACTGTCCGAAGGTACTGAGGGAGGCCGCGTTCGGCTGCTTGGTCTTCGCTCAGCGCGCGGTCTAGTGTTGGAAGTTGTACGACGACGGGTTGGCTGAGCAGGTTCTGGGGCAGCAGGAGGTGCGCGTGGGCGTACAGCTTTACGAGGACCCGGACGAGAAGAAACGGAGCGGTATCGAAATCGGGGTCGTCGTTGTCTGGAAGCCGAGTCAGAAGGGTCTAATTCATCGGCGTCGACAGCCTCCCAGTCCTCCTCTTCTTCTTGCGAGTCTGTGTAATCCTCCTGGCTTTCAGTGGAGCGGGAGACCTGTACTCCCGAGGAATGGTCGTCGTCGTCGGAGATGAAGTGATCTTCAGAGCCGGTGGAGTGACTGATGGTGATGATTTTTCTCCTAGAAATCTTCACGTTAGTCTCGCCTTTTGACATTGTAGACGCGGGTACTGCAGGAGCAGATGCAGTGCGGGGACGACAGTGTGAGGCAGAAGAGCGAGATCGAATGCGTGAATTGACAATGCGACGTGCAGGAGATTGATTATCGGGGATGGTGACGACTAACGGCATGAAGATGCAAGCAGCAAGGAATTATCGTGCTCGGGGCCCTTCTACCAGAGAACGGCCGAGACACGATAGCCTTGAGAAGCGAGTTTGCGAGTATTTGCAAGTGGTGTGAGGAGGCGCAGGCAGAGAGAGGTGTGGTGAGGATTGCAAGCTGCCAACTAATACTGCGGGGAGCGAAGACTAAAGGATTTGGGCGGCAGCACAGATACTTTTGTGCAAAGTCGTGGCAGCAGCAATTGGCTTTTGCAGAACAAGCAAAGTCCGTCGTATAGTTTCTATAGCGTGTTTTGACCAAGTGGAATATGACCAACAGTGCGTGGCGCTACGACACGAAGGATTTCTTCGGAGTCCGCAACGACTGCAATGGGCCTTTCTTTGGGACGAGAGTAGTCGTGATTCAACTACAGGATGCAAGAAGTCGTAGGTTGAGTGTCTGTGTGTGTGTATGTGTGTGTGTGTAGGAGGGGCGCGGCGAAAAAAGGATGGATCGGGGGCGCTGAGCACAGGTTGTTTGAGGATGTCGTATTAGGACAAGTGCAGGGCTGACGATGATTCGCAAGAGTCAAGGCTAGACTTCTCGCGATAGGCAGCGGATCCTCGACGGCGATCGTCACAGATATGTGAGATGGAAATGTCGGGTGCGGGAGATAGTCTTGATGGACTGAGTGTGTGTCGTGTAGAGGGAAGAAGAACAAGAAACAGAGAAGAAGAATGGAAAGAAACAACAACAAGATGGAACAATTGAGGCAGAAGAAGGGGAGGAGGAGGGGTGATCGGGGGTATGAGGAGGAGGAGGGGCAGCGGGCGATTGTTGATTGTTTTCTCCTTGCAAGTCGGGAGGGAGGGAGGGAGAGTAGGTAAACAGAAAAGAGAGAAGAGACAGAAGGGGGGGGGACTTCAAGCCAGGCAGCAAGTTTACAGTACAACAGCAGCTGGATTAGCGGCGGGGGTTGAGCGCGGGGCGGATGGAAAGGCAGAAAAGGCGGCGGGTCTATGCTGATTGATTGCTGTGAGCCCCCTTGCCTTGCCTGAACCTCCACTGTGAGTCCTTTTTTGGCTTCTTTCTGGCTCTGCTTTCTGGCTCTGGCTCTCTGGCTCTTTTGTCTGCCCAGGGAGCCAGGTAGGGTAAAGTGCAGCTGCTTCTGCCTGACTGTGGAGTCGTTGGGCTGGTCTCAGTCAGGCCCGCCGCAGTAAGAATAGAAGTGCAAAATGTCGTCAGCCGAGTCCAGCCAACAATGTATCTATTGTTTTTCTGGCGACGAGTCCGTTGATTGAGGTTATTGTCACTGCAAAATACTAACTGTCAGCATAGTCCGGGTCCAATGTCTGGCGAGGATATGACGGGATTGCCCAGCATCCTTGACCTTGGCTACTGTATGTCTCTCCGTAGTCAGGCCTTCCCACCCGCACATGGATCATCTGCTGCAGTCTGCCTGTACTATATGTGTCTTATCCCGACCTTCGCCATAGGTTGGCCCGTCCGATGAGATGATATCATGCTTCTACTTACACGCTCAATGATAATAATAGTCTATTCCTTCGTTGTCTGCAACCTCTGCTTTCGTCTCTCAGGGCTTCTCTCGATATCGGTGGAAACGCAGTCTTCGTGTGGGATGAGGTCTCTTGTTTGCGGACATATGGCCTGTTTGATGGTTTGGCTATGCTTTTTCTCTTGATGACAACACAGAGAGGAGTTGAAGTTTTGATTGCTGCGGCTGGGCAACGAAAAAGTGGCAAATGGCACAGAATACTTGCGATGCTTCTCCAAAAATAAATGACGGATTTCGACGGAGCCGCCTACTGCTGCTGTGCTCGTGCCTTTTAAAGCGACTGGCATGCCTGTGTGTTGTCCCTTGCGCTTCTCTACCCTTTGTCCAGCAGCAAAGAAAGACTCATCCCAATCCTGATCCCCGGCCGCCCAATCCTCACCAGTGCCCAACACAATCCTCACCACATGGCCAACGCAGCCTGTCCAGCCCAAAGTGTCTGCGCCCTTACCGCTCAGGCGTCGCAGGAGCCGCTCTCGTGCCTCAAGTTGCAGCATGCCACGTCTCTCATGCACATATTCTTAGCATCAACGACCCACCCGCAATCGTCCAACCCTTCTTGTGATTGGAATGCATCACGTTCCTGATCCACCAATTTCCACTCCCTTCTCTCTCACCGATCAATCTACGAACCATCAATGACTAGCCCTGCTCCGGCCGGCTGTCTCCTGCGTGGCAGCCCGAAAACTTTTTGGCAAGGCGGCAAATGAGCAAGAGTTATCATCATCCGCATCCATCATTAGAACTGTCCAACACGTGTAGCCCCGTCAGCCTCTAGCTTGAGTGCAGCAAGTCGTACTGCATACCTGTCACGCTTGACTCATTGTCCACGCACTGTTTGGATTCATCAACCTGCAGTACACGCGGCTGTACCGTCTGTTCCACGGGAGTCTGCCTCACACCCGTGCGAGTCGCAACCCTTAGGATTTAGCTGTCAGTCGTAGCAGGATTGGTTCACCTGCCGTACCACGATTGATGAATCCATTCCAGAGATCTGGTATCACCACCACCCATCTCACAGACAGCTGGCCATGACTTGGTCCACAGCCGCATATCGCTGCGGTTCTGCCTTCTCTACAGAGTCAAAATGCAGCCCTGATTATTGTACGTTCCACCAGCAAGGTCTGACGGGACGAGCCTCCCGCGGCCACCAAAGCTTGCTGAAACAAGGTTATTGTCCCATAACCCCAAACAAACTGCCAGCTGTGCATCAACACCATACATCAGCATTCGACCGCTTGGCGTCGTGATGTGTAGTCGTCTATAAGGACATCCATGCCATTCAGTGACGGCTCATCTTCGCTCCATCGGTCAATCCAGCCTTTCGCGGCCAGGTATAGCTGAGAGGGGCGCGCTCTTTGAGACGGATGCTTTGATGATTGTGATATACGTGAAGGACGTCAACATGAAGACGCGAAAGGTTGCAGGGTAAGACTTTGGCATCGCTTGGACACTCTCTCTTAATGAAAATTGTCTCATCATAAAGTCACAGAAGAGGGAGGTATCTAAACATAGCGTTTCGTCGCCCAATCCATACAGCTGAACCTGGGTATACCGATTTTTGTAGCTCACGATAGCCTGTTTTTTTAATGCTCCTCCTACAAGCAGGGAACTGTGCGATGAGGCTCTGCCAATAGCCACAACTGACATAAGTATCACTGACAGATGTTGATATGTTACCGGCGCTAGATTTAGGCAATTTTCCACAGGTCCCTACTGTTTGTGATTCGGATTGTCACCTGGCCTATCTAAGTGCTCTCGGAATGTACCGACGAATTGCAGCTCTAGAAACCTGCTTCCAATCTGTGTTTGGGATGGAGGGTGCTAATTATGACTCGTTTGCAGTTGGACCAAGGTTGGCGTGTAGCAGCTAAGGTAGCGTGGATACCAGGCCTACGTCATGCAGTCCTTGAGAACTGGATGGGCACCTACCCGTGGACCTATGATGCATGGAAGTGAGTGAGGAGTCCACGTCAACTGTCAAAATCACACACGAGTTGTCGGAAAGGGGCAGGTGTACCCGAAAATCAGGAACTGGGATTTGCATATGGCATATGCAGTACATGGCCATCGACTTGTTGCAATGCGCATGGCGAGACTTTTAGGAATTTCCAGAAGGCAAATTGGATATTGGAACGAAACCCTCTCACTCCAAGACTTGTTAAGCCAGTCGGGCACGGGACTCTGGAGAAAGAGAAGCAGGCCAATGCGCTTTCTTCGAATTTCGCTTGTCTGGGTCTCGCGCCACACCTACGTAACTCAGCCACAGCAGACGTAACAGACAGACCGCCGCCTGTCCGTCCTTCACTACTCACGTCTCCGCCAATGGCGCGTTTTGATTCTTCACCATTGTCACTGCCTATGCGCCTCCGCTGACCATACCTACTCTCGACCTCTGTTCTTCAGCGACACTTAAAAATGCTATCTCAGGGCATATTCACATCCGCCAGTCTCTTGCATACCGCCCAACACACTATCGTTACACCAATATGAATCAACAGAGCCAATCCAAGGACGAGGACGATGTGGTAGTTCAAGCGCCTGCGCGATTGTCACAAAGAAAGAAGCTGGGGAGAAGAAGAGAATACTCAACTAGGGCTATCTGGCTAGTTCTGCTATGCGTCACCATTCTTGCTTCGTCTGCGCTCGTGAGAGACAATTCAAGAGTTGGTGACCAAGTCCTGGGGCAAAGCAGAATCTTTCAAAGAGATCAGGCACTGGAGGCATTCAAAAAACACAAACATGATGACGAGGCCTCCCACGATGTATATCCTCGCGTTCTGTATTCAATGCCACGATACTAACAGGGTCTACATACAGTGCCATCTTGTCCACGAGCCCACAGTCAAAGATAAATGTGCCTTTGTTCAATCGCACTGCGCCGACGAAGCAGCTGGCCTCATACCCTACCTCGAAATATACTACTGCAAACTACCGCACGCGCAACCATTCGCCTTTATTGTAATCGTAGTGTGGCTTGGACTCCTCTTTAGCACCATTGGTATAGCAGCCAGCGACTTCTTCTGTGTGAATCTGAGCACGATATCGAATATGTTGGGCTTGAGCGAGAACGTAGCAGGAGTAACATTGCTGGCTCTCGGAAATGGAAGCCCGGACGTTTTTTCAACATTTGCCGCTATGAACTCCAATAGCGGAAGTTTGGCTGTTGGCGAACTCGTGGGGGCTGCCGGCTTTATCACAGCAGTCGTTGCAGGAGCCATGGCGCTGACAAGGCCATTCAAAGTTGCAAAGAAGAGCTTTGTAAGAGATGTTGGATTCTTCATTGTTGCCTCGAGTTTTGCTCTGATATTCCTAAGAGATGGGATCCTGCATCTATGGGAGTGTATTGCCATGGTAGTTTTCTACCTCATTTATGTCGCCTTCGTGGTGCTTTGGCACATGCATTTGACGAGGAGAAATCAAGCGCGGGCTCGAGAGGCAGCGGGCAGGAGTCATTTCGTCGGGGCCGAAGACACCGATATCCACGAACCATATCGCGATGACGATGACGACGGTGAAGGTGGACGACCAATCGCTGTCCCTGAGCCGTCAGCAGAAGACTTTTCGAATCTTGAATGTGGCGGAGCTCAACAACAACAACATGAGTTCGCTGATGATGATGAGGAGACACGCGAGCGATGGCTTGGCGATATCAACAAGAACTTCCGGCTCATACGGCCAAAGATAGCTCGCGAGAGACGATCGACAGTGATTCGTCCTAGTCTTGTTGGTGCACTGGAGTTTCAAGCAGTATATCATTCGTTGCAGAAGTCAAGGAACATCCGATCCATACCGATCACGATTCGTCGATATTCTGATGATCCGGTGTACACCTCAGCCCAGCAACAAGAGGAAATGTCAAACGATGCAGACCCAGGAGCCCGGCCAATCTATACGATAGATGACAGCGCATCACAGCTACAGGTTACGCCACGCAGGATGCAAGTCCAAAACCGGGAACGAGCAGTGTCTGTGAACGACATTGATAGCATGCGTCTAGATGTCAGTGCGCTTCGTGGTCATGTTCCCCAGCTTGATGTCATAAGCAGCTCTCCTGGTCCGACCTCTAGCTCTAATTTGCAAGTTCCTACAGAGCTAGTCTCAAGACCGCCGTCCCCTTCGATATCGGTTACGCCTCCTGTCTCGGCCCATCCTTCGCGGTCGTCCAGCCCGGCAACGAGTAGAGAGAATCGACTCGCACCTCCTACCTCTGAAGTTTTAGCACCAGATCAACAAACAAGGGCCGTACCCTCAGATCTGGTTAGAAGCCCCACGTTCCCCACACATGCACAGAGTCCAAGTGGTAGGAATTTCCCAAAACTACCGATTCCGGGTCATTCGCCTCAGTCTATGCGCGGCAGGTCTCCTACAACCTCTCCAATCCCAACCTTTGCAGAACACTCCCCGGGCCCGACTCACAGTCTCCGTCTCCCCCCACCCAGCCTGACAGCCGATTCATTTCCGCAATTCGCTGACTTGATAGATGAGATTGAGCGTCCAAACAAGCCGTTGAAGTGGTGGCCGTACAAGATATTACCGCCCCCCGGAGTCCTGGTCTCCACGCTGTTTCCCACGTTATACCGTTGGCAAGACAAGAATATTTGGGCAAAGCTTCTGGGCATAGTATCTGCACCTAGTGTTTTTCTCCTCACAATCACTCTTCCTGTTGTCGAGGAAAAGGAGACCAGCGACAAGGATGCCATCGACGTCGACGTGCCTACATTAACACTTCTTACACCGGAGCTCGAGGCTCCCAGGCATCCACATTATTCGCGTGCCAGTGGTAGCTCCCGGCAAAGCACCATTAATTCGACAGGTCTTCTCGATCCTAATCAGCATTACCGCGACAATCCATCTACTCCAGATGGAGACGGTAATTATTTCGCTGTTCAACCCAACAGCTACGGCACCTTGTCAACCGACGCACATCACGCCCACCTCTATCATGCACAGCCCATCGTCACATCGCCGTCCCATCCGCACATGCTTCAATCTCCCGAGCAACTCCCTACTTTAGGCAATAATGGCTCTGAGCTCGTAAACTGGAATCGCTGGCTCGTCATCGTCCAAGTCTTCACCGCGCCTTTCTTCGTCGTTGTAATTTGCTGGGCCAATCTCGACGAATCGCATCCGCGCAAGCTCATTCTACCAGCCCTCATATCTCTCCTGTTCTCGCTCCTTGCCTTACTCGCCCTTGTTCTTACTACAACCCCGACGCGCCCGCCCACATGGCATAAACTTCTCACCTTTCTCGGGTTTGCCGTCGCGATTGCTTGGATATCAACGATCGCCAACGAGGTTGTTGGCGTGCTGAAGTGGCTCGGAATTGTGCTCAACATAAGCGACGCAATCCTCGGACTGACGATATTTGCTGTTGGCAACTCTCTCGGTGATCTCGTTGCCGACATTACAGTCGCGCGTCTTGGATACCCCGTCATGGCTCTCTCGGCGTGCTTTGGCGGTCCGATGCTGAACATTCTGCTCGGGATCGGCGTCAGTGGGAGCTGGATCACAGTGAAGAGAGCAAACCGGCATTTGGAGAAACATCCAGGCACTGATTTGCGATTCAAGCCGTATACGCTCGAGGTGAGCAGCACTTTGTTGATTAGTGGGGCGACCTTGGTTGTTACGCTCGTGGGATTGTTAATTGCGGTGCCGGCGCGTAGATGGAGGATGGACAAGGTAATTGGGTGGGGTTTGATTGGAGTCTGGACGGTGAGCACGGCGTTGAATGTTGTGGCTGAAGTGATCGGGTGGAGTAAAGAGATGAGTGATCAGCGTGTATTTGGAGAGATGTTCTGAGCAGAAACTCCGGGCAACTTTTGGCTTGTTTTGGCTTGTTCACGCGGTACACCATTTGTTGCATGGGCTTGGATCACTCGTTTGGCGTTGGTACTGGTTTGTTTGTTCGTTTTGGATAATGGCTACAGAACCCTTGTACATACATACCATTGGTCTTGGACAGTCATACATATCCATTTTCCTCCCGGGAACTATATTAATACATCCTACATCCTGAGCTGTTATTTATGCTATGTGAACAACGCACAATTGCCTCCTCTTCTTCTTTTCTGGCATTGCTGGCGCTTCTCAGTTATCGACGGCCCCTTTCGAAATACTTGTTGACTCTTATGATGAATTCTTATTTTTTTTTGGATTACAGATCCCTTTCTTTTGGAGGACTAAGCACGACTTCGAAGCGGTGTTTCGTGTCTTTCGGACGCAGATGACTGGGCATGCATACCATGTATCTAGTTTAATAGAAGACATCGTTCTGAGATTTCGGTTGTTGCTTTTACATACATAAGGAAGGAAAGAAAGAAAGGGAAGGCGAGGATAAGGGGGAACCGTCCCTGTGAAGGTGTGAGGACTCCAGGACTAGTGTACAGGTATATAATAATGGTTCTACGCTGCTGTTTCTGTTGTACGTTGTTTTAGGAAAGTTTTGATGGTAGGAAAGTATGGAACTTTTGTTCGGGGATTGTATATGATGTTGTTGGGACACTTTCTGTGAAGTGGATGTTAATAGTGTGACAAGATGGGTCTCGGAAGTAAAACATCGTGGGCAAGTGAGGTGTTGAGCTATCTGGCACTCTGTGTCTTGCTTGCTTGCTTGCACACGTCCCCGAGCATAGATCAAAACGCAACCATATCACTTTCATAGCTACGACCCATCTAATACCCACACTTCCAAACACGACATGCCACCATCTATCATCACTTCCAAGCCAGTACCTGGTATCAAAGCGAGCACAACGTTGAATTCGATATCTCTCTACGAGCTAGCTACTTGACTTTCTCCACGACCACCTAGGGCCCGCAGACTATTTCCACTCGTAGACCGACCGCCCCAACAAGCCGAGCTATATCATCAATATAGCTCGACTGCTGCACATGCTATGCTCTCTCGTCTCAACCGAGAACTGTCGCCGCGTCGGCGGCGTTGACCTCCTCGGTGTAGGCGTTGGTTCCGTCTTCGGCTTTCTGGAGGACTAGGATGTAGTTGACGGCGTCGGTGCTGAGCTCGCTGCGCTTTCCGAGGACGGTAGCGGCATCCGCGGCGTTGACTTCGTCGGTGTAGGCGTTGGTTCCGTCTTGGGCCTTCTGCAGGACCAAGATATAGTTTACTGCGTCGGTGCTCAGCTCGGCACGTCTCCCGAGAACTGCCTTTGCGTCGGCAGCGTTGATCTCCTCGGAATAAGCATTGGTCCCATCTTCGGCTTTTTGAAGGACCAAGATATAGTTGACGGCGTCGGTGCTGAGTTCACTACGCTCTCCGAGGACTACCTTTGCGTCGGCAGCGTTAATCTCCTCGGTATAGGCGTTGGTTCCGTCTTGGGCCTTCTGCAGGACCAAGATGTAGTTGACGGCGTCAGTGCTGAGTTCGCTGCGCTTGATAGCAAGAGGAGCTGCTGTAACAGTGGCGGCCAGAAAGGCAAGTGCGAGTTGACGGAGCATTTTGGCAGTTTGGGAATGGAACAATGTAGATACTCGGTTGGTCTGTTGAAGAGAGAAGTGTTTGCGTTGGAGATATTTCCGACAGCAGTGATTGTGCGAGATATTAATATTTTTTTCGAACCTCAGGTCGATTAAAGCTATAGTTAAAGATACACTCCTCAACCCACAATGCTAATGTCACATCTCGAGTGACCATGTCATCCCTCGCTGCATGTACAGGCTCCAGATGTGCAGATTATAGTGCACAAGCTCGGTTGAAAAGCTTCAGAAAGAGAATATGCGCAAGGATTGAGAAAGTCTTGCTTGTCCCCATCTACCTTATCTAATCATTTAGCTGTATATCAAGTGTCATCTTAGCAAAATTCGTAGTGTATCAGACACCTCACTGTTGCCACTAACACATAACTTCATCAGTAAGCCATCTACTCCAACTCGCAAGCACTAGCCGCAGCTTTACTAAACCTGCATTCTCCCTGTCACCGATGTAACCATCGCGGGCCTGAGTATTGGATTGGACTTTGCTTCATCGAGTAATATGTTTTGCACACGGATGTCACCTACAGGGGTAGCCTGCGAGATGGACAGCATAACAAACCACCTCATTGAATAGGCTCGGCAGGCTTTCTGTATCCATCAAAAGGGGGGGTGACTTCGAATGAACCATACATTACCTACCCCCTCCCTTGAAGTAGGGTAGTCTTTACGTCTTACAATAAGCAGATTATATGCATATAAGCCAAGTAATCATCTGCATTGCAAGAGTGCCACACAGATCAACGAAAATCTGGCGCAAATCTACTTCCCCTTGTAGACCATTGAAGCTGTCACAGCAAAGTCTAAACACCTCCTCCTCCAGCATGACCTGTCCTACCCTCACTTCCCCTCCTGAAATTCACCTCTCTCCACCGCCGTCTATATGGACCAGCTACACGAGCAACAGTACGCTCTACTACCCTCAGAGAATGGCGACGAGCCTTCCAAGGTCGTGGAAGAAGTTGGGCCGCGTGTGCGCGAATCTTGGTCTTTCCGGATAGCCAGTTTGATATTATTCGGCTTGCTCACACTGTTGATTTTCCTCGCTCAGAACATAGGTCCAAACGACAAAAAGTGTACTAAGCAGCTAAATCTATGGTGTATGTGACCAAAACTCTCTTTCGTGTGCTGTATACTAATGCTACTTGAATTTCACAGCTCCGCTACTAGACTCAGTGGAATACTACGAAACGGACTTTGGCAACGAGTTTAACTCGACAAGCATCTACCGTGGACTTCCTACGCCGGAGAGAGAGGAAGCTTGGAACAAACTGGTTACCAGTTCGTAGATTATGACTTTCATTTCCAACTTAAATCTTACCATAACCGTAGAACATGCCATTGAAGTTCCAGTCGACAAGATACATGGTCTCAACCGTACGGAAGCCGATATGATGAAGCATGTCCCTTCAGATATCGGGACGGGCTACATTGGACTTGTAGAAGTCTTCCATCAGCTTCACTGCTTGGTGGGTCAACTCATAAGCCCTCGATTGATAGGCGATGACATCTGACCACAACACATAGAACATGCTTCGAGTCTACACATGGGTACAAGCCGGCAAATACCCAAACCCACCGCCTATGCTGGCGATGAGCGAAGTGCAGAACCGCATGCATGTTGACCACTGCATTGAGTCCTTGCGACTCGTGTTTCAGTGCTGGAGCGATGTAACGCCTGTTTTGATCAAGTTGGGCGGACCAGTTGGGCGCAAAGCGGATTTCAACACCCACCACAAGTGTCGTAACTTTGACAAAATCGAGGAATGGATTGATGAAAAATGGACAGTGCCGTGATTCCAAGGGATTCTTTCACGTCGAGATGCATGTAGTTACTATGAGTTGCATCATGTCAAATCGAAACGCCGGTGGCGACAATCACCTCTTCTCGTCGGCTCATCTCTGAGTAACAAAGTAAACACATGCAATGACTGCTGACAGTCATGAATCAATCGAATCGTACAAAGCTTGTGTATCTTACTCAATATCATACCTCGCCGCCTCAAGTAGATCCTGGATCCCGTCACATGCTCTTTCATGCATAAGGCTCAGCTCAAGCTGACTGCTTCAAGAATTCTACCGACCAGAACTCTCTCCTCGCCTGGCCTGCAAGCCGAGAGCCTCTACGCAATATCCATTCTGGGACTGGGACACTCACGCAGACGTTGCGCCAGGGATGCGGGGTTCTGTTACACTGACCAGATCACGTTCAATAAGGCTTGTTTCGTCTAAGTAGAAGCTTGCCCATGCTTATTCGTGCTTATTGCTTCCACTAATTTTTTCGCACATTGTCTCCCAAGAGAGCGATGGTGGCAAGACCTGGCAAACTCAACAAATGCGTGCCTGCTGTGCGACGCTTCGCTCACTTGAAGTGGTCCAGCTGTGACGAGAGTCCCACAGCCTTTGTCGAGTCATCAAAGCTCCTCCTGCCTATGCAAGTTAGTACTTATATTCACTGAACAGCGATGAAAAAGTAGCAGATTGCTTGTTAGTCCGTAATTTGTGGCGCCCATGGACAATGTCAAGTCACTGAAGTATCTACTAAATCACTGTTACTCTAAAGACTACTTCGGGTGTTGAGACCGCATTTACTTGATATAGTAGGTCACTACATCAATGCAGACTAGTTGTCAGTGTGAGCGCTAATCTCGCCCTCAACACTCACTCGCCCCCATGATCAAAGAAGCTCTTGATATCCTGACATGGACATAACATGCAGTAAGAAATACGCCTATACGTTCCACCACATACGAGGCCAGCAGATCGAGAGTCGAGGCTCAATTGGAATGGTAGCTACATGTGAGACTGCAATCTGACAGTCTACTAGCACAGTTGAGCACAGGAGGGTCTTACTATGGCATATGAAAAGGGGCCTCTGTCCTTAGAGATACACAGTATCCTAGCTACTATGCATTGCATCACAATGGACATTCATCAGTTCTAAGCTCACACAGCTGTTGTAGCAATCAATTCTCGACATGCCTACTGGTCGGTGTAATCTTAGTAATCATGACGAGGCTCCATCTTGGAAGGCCGGGGTGACATGCCTCATTTGTCTTGATGAGGATAGATTCGCGCACCACGATCTTTACGCCTAGAGAGAGTGATTATGTTCTGAACAATCTGGAGGCTAGTAAAGTCCTTCTGAACATGCCGAATAATGCAAAACCCGCCATCTTACGATGCGCTGATTATTCATATCTCCCTAATTCTTCCCTGCAGTAGGGGTAGTCTGTCACCAATGGCTTGGATGAATGCTATTTCATTGAATGTGACATCGTAATAAGCGTGTGTGTGTAGACACGAGACTATACAGCTCAGAAGCTCAACGAGATAAGACAAGTTCATTCTAGCCGAAAGTGCCATCTGGAAACCTAGTACCATGTCGAAGCGTAGCACTTACAATGCTATCAAATCGCTTGCACTGGTGTGCCGCTCCAAAGTCTTCTTTTGCAGGGCCGCCGTCCTCTCCTTCGTACCACAGATATGGTGTCAGATCGGCGTTGCACATAAGAGCCTGGCGAAGTGTTGATATGCAATGACTCACGTGCGCCCGTGATTCATTGTGCTCCAAGAATGATGGCCTAAGATCTTTCGGATACTGGTCTTGCCAGACATATTGACGTACGGAATTGAGGCAGTGGAGATGATGAAAGACTTCGATTGTGCCGATATATCCGTTCTTGTTATTGTCGCCAGATTTCAGTAGTTTGCTTTCAGTGGAACGGTTGAGTAGGGTAATGCTGGCCTTGGGTATGAACACTGGAGGCACTAATTGCCGACACCACATCAGCTTTGCCCAATTGAAGAGACGTAGGAGGAGGACTTACTTGCTTCGAGCGCCTTCCAGTTGCGCTCACGCTCAGGTGTTGGAGGACCGTTATATAGGTCGCTCGATGAGAAGTTGTAGAGCTCGTATTCCACTGAATCGAGTATTGGGGCTGTAAAGAGTCAGTCACGCGATAATCCAACTCCAATTGAACAAAAGTCCGTACACCAAAGGGCTGTTTGTCTCAGACATTCTTTGATAGAACATGTCGAGCTGCTCATATACCACTGCACGATTGCTCCGTAAAAAAACATGCATATACATATGCATTGCCAAAGCAGGCGAGAGTATTCCTCCAACCTCTTGCCATTGATGGAAGTGCGATCTTCCTTATCGAACAACGAAGGCTCTTCGTCGTTTGCTGGAGCATATCTCACTTCTTTCACGGGCTTCAACCACTTTGACAGCATTGGGGAGAGGTCTTTGAGATCACAATTTCTAGATATCACTGTTGTCATTGTAACGCATCATTTGACCACCGCAATACTCGTCTGTAGTACCCTGGGTCACTGAGCTCACCCATGACTAAAATGTAACCCGGGATATGTGCCGGCCGAGAGACCGGGTCTTGCGGATGAGCCAAGGTCGAAACATAGAGCCACAGGTAGGGGTATGATGCAGTGAGAATCTAGTGTGGTCGAAATCTGGAGGAGGGGGCCTCTAGATTTGATGCTTTACATGTTGTATGGTGTAGCCGAGTGCTGCGTAAGCGCGGTGATGGCATGTAACTTCGACGCATATCTAGAAACCTGCAATTTGTATTTTGCCTCTGTAGAGAGCATGTAAGGCCGATGTAACATGTCATACTTTTGTCCTTAAGCGGCGCAAAGTGGATGGCGGGACATTTCCTCAACTCTCGTCTGCTCCTCCTGCCCACGGACGACTCGCTGAGGTTCACAAGCTCGATTCAAACATCTTGTTCCATCATGTCTCTAGAACAGAAAACTATTTCCTTGTTCGAAAGTGATCAAGGGCTTGGTGCTCGGTTTGAGTATATGAAACTGACGCCTCCCAGCATGTTTGTACGATATAAAGCACGCATGCCTGGAAGCGTACTGTCGGTGCTCTATCTTTGCATTATATCCACATTCATAGCTTGTTGCATCCTTATTTTCCACCGACCGAGCGACGTGCAATGTGCAAAGCAGCTGAGTTCTTACTGTATGTTGCAGCACTTGCCATGCAAGCCTGGGATGTTGACGCAAACAAACAGCACCGGCTCTAGAGGCTGTGGAATACGTGAACATTGATTTCGACGCTGATTTCGATGCTCACGGTATATATCGCGGACCTCCAACACCTGAGAGAGAACAGGCATGGTTTAATCTGACGACAAGTAAGTCCTGAGCAATGCGTCTACATATTCGTGCAATGTAAAAGAGCCATGTGCTAACAGAACTGTCAGGGCCTGGGATTGAAGTTCCCAGAGACAGGATTCATCTGTTGAACCGGACAGAAGCAGACAACTTACAGCATGTTCCCGCGGAAGTTGGTACAGGCTATACTGCCATATTAGAAGTTTATCACCAGCTGCATTGTCTTGTGAGTCGGGACTCGAGAAATTCGCCTCCAGGAAACTTACTTGTCTACAGAACATGATTCGAGGATACACATGGTGGCAAGTTGGCAAATATCCTGGTACTCCAGATGGTCTGTCCGAGGATCGACTGATGAACAGAATGCATGTAGATCATTGCATTGAGAGCTTACGCATGTCTTTGCAATGTTTCGGGGACGTCACCCCATTGTTGATACGCGAGGTACCACATTCTTTCATCGGAGGCAAAGCGGACTTCAATACACATCATCGATGTAGGAACTTCGATAGGATCCAGGAATGGGTAGATGTGAACTACGCTGTGCTTTGAAGCTTTCGATTCACAATCTTTACCTCTTCGTCCAGCATTCATTATCTCAGGGCCTAGCCCTGAAGCTACGTCGGTTAGTGGTCGCAGGCTCTGTCAGTTGGCAATAGGAGAATATTGTAAATTCTGTCAAATAAGCTCTTGATAGTTCGTAGGGAGATGCAAGCCTGAGAATCCATACTTTGTCCAGACTCGCGTCCCGTGTCAACATCCCAGCTAGTCAGCAGATTCAGACAATCAACCTATCTCGCAATCGGCCATTCATGAGTACGCGTGCACGCGTATGATATACTGATCAGATGACCGAGGCGACGAAACCTTCCTACCGCATGTTTTGAATTTGGAAACGTCAAGCCCACAGCAGCGGTGTAACACGCTGCCAGCGTCGCCGTTTGGGCTGTCGAATGCGTCCCGATAGCTCGTCTCCGCCATGCATTGCGTGTTGGCCGTCACATGTGGCGATGCACTGCATACAGCACCGGGCTACCAGATTCAAATTCTTGGACATATCACATAGTCGCTGGCCAGGATAGTAAGATCTAGAAAATGCAATGAGTGTTGGCCGAAAACAGTTAGCACAAATGTACCAGTTGGCAGGGCGTCTCAGCCACCAGCGCGTAAGCAGCCAATAGTATATCCGTAACTATGACGGGCTCATGGGCCGCTGACTAGGCGGACGGGAATACTGCATTGGCGCCGAAATAACCTGCTCGCCGGGATCATACTATATCACGTGCGGCAAATATGGAGCTAGACTAATAAGACTCCGAATGGATTCCTGGCGTTAAGCGCTAGCCTGGTGATCCCAGCCTAGCTAGAATTGCGGCATGAGCATGATAATTCACTTCGTCGTATTCAGAGGTCGAAGAGTCAAAGAATCGAGCTTGGCCTGTCCTACCATGACCTTACTAAAACTAGCAGCACCATCTGATACCTGTTTCCAAATGGCATGATCTTGCGATATCTACAAGTCTCAACCCCACCCCTTCTGTCAACAGGGGCCAAACAAGTGTGATAATAATATAAAAAAAAGCGCGCAAATGCAAACAACGCGCTTGTTACTGAAGCAGTTGAGTCCCACCACAAACGCCGAGCTGTAAATCCAAGTTAGCTTACCCACGGATATCGTATTGTGTGCCCAAATGTTACAATCCAGACTCCAGAGTCGTCAGTCCATGCGTGATTTTTGAGTCGTTGTCGAAATGCGGCTAAACGATGATGACGACTTGACGGTTGTAGATGTTAAGCACCTCGCCTCGAGGTTAGGGGTAAAGAGGGTTTGATGGTGCATGGTGGGTTGTACATAACAAAGAAAACAACGTGTTGGGTCGTATAGTAGTAGTAATCCCTGTTCATGTTCGTGATGCGAAGTATGATCTGCTCATGATATGCGGATTGGCCGTCAGCCGCAAGGCATTGGTGCTTGTTTCTTTTTGCAATGGGAATCACCAGGACCCAGAAAATTTGTTGGGAGGTTGCATGGCCTTGTCTTTACGCGAATCAGGCATGTAGTGCATGACAGGATTAGGGCATGTGGAAGGTAACGAACAGAATTTGCGTTACAGGCGCTTCGTAACAGTAAGACGGTTCCCTGGCGTCTAAGATGGTCGAAGCTTCGAGGCGAGATTTTTGGCGGCAATCGTACCAGATCCGAGTATTTATGTGACGAAGGACGTAAATGTAGAATGCGGCGCTTGTGATGAGGTAGAGGGTGTATGTACGGTGGTAAGTTGTTTGTGAATGGGTCCCCAAGACGCCGGAGCCGCGGCTTAATGAATTTTTCTTATTCAATTCGTCGTCTCTTGCCTTTCGGCGCAGGATCAAGCGGCGCAGGCGGCGCAGTATCGACGGGAGTCCGCGAGTAAGTGATGGTTCGGGTAGTGACCTGACGAACAACAACCGCGCGGCTGGTACCGCTTGACTTACTCTTGTCGTCGAACTCACGAGGTGACATAGCCGCGTTGTACGGCGAGTGTACTGATCGTGCGCTCATAGGAGAGCGTATAGGGCCGACTGGGGAGTACGGACTCTGCGGAATCTGAAGGCGGCAAAGCGATCGTGCTGAAAGTGGGGGGTTCAATGGTGCAGCGGGTGGAAGAGACACTGTAGTTGTTTTCTCCTTTTCCTCAGGCTTCGCTGCCGGTTTCGAAGCGCTGGAATCGCAACAGCTGCTGGCGCGGGAGGCGGGGCTTGAGATGGTGACCGGGCTTGAAGGCGTTTCTTTTGCAGTCATTGGTGCGGAGGTTGGGCCATTCGAGCCGAATGATGACATCGTGGATGCTGATACAGACCGTTCAGGGAAGGTAAACTTTGTGCTTGCTCCTGTCGCGAGTGGACTCATAAGGACTGGCGACAGAGCTTTGAGGAAGTCCATGTACGCAGTTGGCGGAGTGATGGGTGTCTTCAGGTCGTCGTCACGTTCTCGTTTCACCAAGGCTGGAGAAGCGGCAATCATGGGACTCCTCAGCTCCGACGGATAGGTGGCAGAGAGGGGAGTCTTCAACGCCGAGAGAGCGGGCTTGGTCGAAGTTGTAGCCATGGCTGTATACCGTGCTTCAAGTGAATGACTCGGAATCCCAGTGCGACGAGCAGATTGAATCTAGAAGCCTTGGTGATAAGTCGCAAGGTAGGGAGAAAGAAGAAGAAAGATTTTGCCCGGGCGTGGGAGACGTCCAAGTTATGACGGAGACAAGAGAGCAGGCCTGGCTGAACCTGGGCGTAAGTGAAAATATCCCAAGACAGGGCCTGTCGGCTGTATCTTCAATGGTTGTGGAAGTGGCACGTAGGCGCGGGAGCAGAGTAGGACCGGGGAGCAGGGGCAATCTAGCCTGGCGCGTAGATCTTCGGCTACAAGTTAGAAGATGTTCCACGTTGTCGCTGGCTGGCTGGCTGGATCGAGCTGCGTGGTGCTTGACGCTCTCTTCACGTCGTCTCATGCAAAGACAGCCGCCCGTAAGCCCAATCGGGACGTAGTGGCCTGGTTCTGATGACCAATAGGAAGAGAGAGTCGCTCTGGTTGGTCGAAACCCTAAACAATGCACTCGCTGAGTGTGTTTGCCGCTGCAGGACGTCCAAGCCAGTCAATAATAGGTCCTACTCTCCGAAAGGCAAGTACGAAACACCGGGGATGAAACGTGACGGCTTGTTGCTTTACCGCCCTTGCACGTCTACGAGGCCTGCCGCCAGTCCAGTGACAACAGTGATGTCCAACGGCTTGGATCTTGATTGGCCTACGCCACTTCTGGCCTGCTGGTTGAAGAGCGTAATGCTTCTAAGAAAAGTCGCAGAAGCCGGAAGATCAGCCTGGAGAAGAACGTGGTTGTCGATCCGAATATGGATCAGTGCGCGTTGCTCGGTGAGACCACCCGCCTGGTCTGAGAAGGTTTGACGACGTCGGAGGAATGATCGTGAAGCAAAGATGAGACGATAAACAGAAATAGAACGCGTGTCTCACTCAGTACAACAGAGTGATGCAATATGGTAGGAGCAGAGTTGTGCCGAGAACTAAAGGACCTCAAATTCCGTCAGAAGGCTGCTCTTTATGCTGCCCTTCAATGATCTGGAACCGCTGTACAGGGCGCGCGCCTCTATTCCCAAACGACCCCGAACACTCTCTTGTTCACATCTTTCACCCTTGTGAGGCGTTCGTGAAATCTTGTGGTTCGTTACAGACCGCGCGCCTCATCAAGCACGCGTATCTCGTACCCACAGTCCAACTGTAGCAGAAGATAAGCCTCCGCCGCCACGAGTGGAGTGCAATCCGCGGGTCAGATTTCAGGCTTGCTGTCCTGGTCACCTTAGGCGCTTAATTATGTTGGTTTCGACTTCATAATGCACATTGGTCCAGACCGAAGGAGTGCAGTTTCGCGTCCGCCCTCCTGCATTCGAAGGGTTTAGCTCTTAGCTATCCAATAACGGCGCATATGGAGACGAATGTCATGACTGATCTCAGCGCTTTCCAGTCTTATCGTCTTATGTTTCGAGAGAAGTACCGCAAATTTATCCCGCCCTTGCATCATGAGCCCTTTCGTTAAGATAGACTGTTGTAATTAGTAGCCATTCGACAACTGCGAAGTCATCTCGAATGCCCTGAAGGTAATAGCCCAGGTTAAGTAGCCATGGACTTGTTATGGTTATTCTCATCTTCTACACATAACTCTTGGTATGCCTCCCTCGCCCACGACCACCTGAGATATTCTCAACATCTTTTATTATTCTATATAACGCTAAAATTAATACCTAATAAGTTATTTCAATATAAAATAAAACAGGTCCAAAGACTCTCTTGCTTTTGATATCTTAAAAAAAATGAGAGAAGATATAATATACACTAATTATTCTAAGACGCATCTCTAGTATAATAGATCCCTCAGAGAAGTATACAAGAGATGAGTTAATTTTCCATTTTTATATCGTTTATTTTTTCTAAGATCTTTTCTTTATCCTGATAGGTACTATCTAGATACTAATATATATACGTATTTACTAATATCTTCTGGTGGTATATATTTAGACATTAAGGATCTACAAATTCCCCAAAAAGAGTGGGTGGTGCATGTGTGAGAGTGAAAAAGGTATGGATCGAAGAATTCACAAGGATGAACGTGGTCAGAGCTAAGATAGCTCTCAGAACACATCAGTCTCTGACTTGAAGAAATATGAGAATTATCTACATTGGCTGTAATATTGTCTTTTATACGTACGTAGTAGTAAATATCGTGCGACAGGACTAAGTATATGGGGTACAATTCCTTCATTACAGTGACATCAACCACCACCATTATATCTCATCAGCCGATGAGCTTCCAAAAGCCCCATGTCGCCTATTTCCCCTTCAAGGAACGGTCTCACAGTCTCTCCTACTTTGACAGTGAAATTCTGGGCTATGGTGCTTTCTCCTAAAAGCATAGGCAGGTGACAAGCGTGTTGCCCAAAGAATACTTTGCCATCAAATCTACGAGTCCTAGCGAGTGTAGCAAAAGGTTCTTCATTCTTTTCTCCAGTCTGTTGATCAATGCATATCATTTGACAACGCCGACATGATCCCAGGACCTGGAAGTATTGGCTTCCGACTTGCATGTAACGCCAGTGGTCTTCTGCATAAGGTTGTTCCAGGCCTGGTAACGTGCCGTAGTCCTCAGCAACTACAATATTGGCTCTGAACACCTCTGCTTGTGCAGCCTTACCGCCCGAAGCCTTAATGAGCTCATTCACCCGGTTAAGGCTAGATCGTGAGACTACGAGTATGGGGCTTTCATTGGACAGAAGGATTGGTCTCTTTGGATTTGATACCCCGTCATCGGGTGACGGTAAGACATCAGGAAGCAATGCGTCGACAGACAACTGATGCTGCTGCAAATGAGCTTTCGAGAACCGTGACGCAGATGAACAGGATCCAGTTGGTGGGAGCCGAACTAGCTGGCAGGCTACTCCAAGAGCTTGAGTGAAGAAAGACGAGATTTCGCTCGATTCATAGTGTCTCATGTATATGGTATCCCCGCAGATCTTAGTGGATCGAAGTTTGGACCCATCAGCCTTCGCAAAGTAGCGTGGATCTGCTGACAGTGGGAGTATGACCTCACGTGGATCAAGTTCGGAGCAACTACCCACATAGCGCACGCGAAGCAATCCCTCTGCGAGATCAATCTCTGGTCGGAGGAGAGCCATCTTTGGATATTTCTTCTGGCTGAGACTTGTAGCAGTGCCAGAGTGGACCAAGCACCATTCACGATCCCACGCAAGACCTTCAGCCCGGACTGGCCACGATGTGCCAGTAACGCTCCAGCCTGCACAACTCTTGATGGGATATACCATGATACTCTCCACAAAGTAGTTGCCATGTGCTGGCCGGGCCAAGATATGTTGCTTCTTTGTCAGAGTGGTTGGACTGGGTTCAACAAAGAACTCGTGCATAAATCTAGTGAATCGTGACACATCCTCCATACTGCTCATTGCACCTAAGCTTAGTCTAATCATACCTGTTGGCTTTCCAAGCATGATATCATTTTCATTTCCGCATCTCTGTCCGGCTGAGAAGTTCTGTTTCAGCTCCCAGGAAGCGAGACCAAGAGACGAAGATATGCCGCCAGGATTACATAGCCCACCTGTACGGACGTCAATCTTCTTGATCGCCGCTAGCTTTTCGAACTCATGGTTGCTTATCCACGCGCCTTGTGCATTGCGTATGTTGAACGATACGACTGGTCCTTGTGAAATTTTGTCATCATAGGATGAAGAAGGGTCTTTGTATATTTCACAGACAGGCTGTCCAGTTCCGTGCCGTAAACTTGATAGATTGTGATACAGTTGCTTAGCCAGAGCAAGCGTATGTTTGGACACCATCTCCAGCGACCCGAATAGCTCCTTATGCATTTGAAGTGCAAATTTCAAGGCAATGATGCTGTGAATCGGTAGGGTCCCATCTTCAAGTCGATCATGTAAAGTTTCAGACTTCCTAGAATGCCATTCGTCTCTCGAGCAGACTACCAGATCCACGGTGCCTCCACCGAAATACTGGCGATTGTCAAAGATGTTCGCCGCGTCTTTACGGACAACGATTGCCCCGAGATCAGGAAAGCCAAATATCTTGCAAAGGCTTATAATTGTGAAATCAGGGGCTGATTTTGCGCTGCCAAGATCTAACGGCGAAGTTGATACAAGAGCGGCTGCGTCCAGCAGTGAGTACGTCCTTGGCTGACCAGGCTCTGATCTGTATCTGGCTTCTTCAGACCACCTTAGCGGTAGCCTCCGACCATTCATGTTGGACTGCCCGGGATATGCAAAAAGTGTATTTCGGCAGGGTAACGATGATAGCTCTTGCTGTTGGACTAACCATGACTCTGTCTCCGTATCAGACTCCAAACATCGGGACTCTATAGCACATTCTCGGACTCCTACGAGGCTTGTATGACAGTCCCGGTGGTATATATAGCGGAATCCCAACGGACAGCCCCGAAAAGCTTCTGTTACGAGTTTGATGCCCGCTGTAGCATTGGCCACAAAGACAATATCGAAGTCCCCGGGGTCGGCATTGAATAGGCTTAATAGTTCTGAACGTGCGTCCTCGATGCGCCTCATGGATCGTTGTGAGGAATCGGAAGCGGAATGGGGGTTTCCATATAGATTAGACATCATGTCGGCGGAGAAACGCTCGATCAAAGATTTCGGATAGAGCGTTGTACCCGCATGATCAAGGTAGGTGGTTTCTAGTTAGCGGTCAGTGTGATGGCAGCCATCCTCTTCTATAGCCTGTACAAACGTTTCAACATAGGATATTCGGAGTCTCTCAAATCCTCAACGGCGGCATTGTAGCCAGAGACAGAGACCGAACCTGTAGCCATAGCTCATGCACTCCTCGTGATACAGCGCTAATTTTATTCTTGAGCCTCCTGTATAGCAATTCAGAGCTTATGTTCCGAGCACTGATCGTTGTTGTGTTCGTCGGTAGCGGGCAAGCGGATCTTCTTTATGGGTAGAGGTTGTAAAGGTCTCAGTGACGAGAGGGGTCGTTTACTTTTCACTAATGCTATCCGCAACCCTTCTGCGTCTGCTGTAGAGGGACTGCGTCGTCCATAAGTGGCGATGCGGTGGATAAGTAGACTCTGCGACCGACAGGAATGGGGAGACTTTCTGGGATGCACGGTCGGCTCCGATATCCGGGATCACCGGTGTCCCTTCACAAAGTTATTAAGAGGTTGCAGCTGTAGAGGCTGAATCTCTATAGAAATTGAAGGGAGCGCAACGAAGCCCATTAGCAGCGACAGCCGTAGGGTCTGTGTTGGTCGATAGTAATACTCCCACGCCATCGTGCGGCCGTTTCATCACCTGCAGGCTTCCTCCCATCGAGGATTGAGGGTGGGGTCGCCACGTGCTGAGGACCCCTGCCCTCCTTAGAGCGTACGAACATAACCCAACTTGCCACGTATCAATGGTGGAAGTCGTGTGAAAGAACAAATTTGAGGAAATTGGTCTACGCACACACGACGTAATATATCAAAATTCCCGACACCGTGATCCTGTCCATTCGGGAGTGGCTACCCCCTCTCGTCTAAACATATGTGCCTCGTTTACAATGCAATTCCAACATCCCTTGATTGAGTCCTCACTGCTTCTTCTTCCCACCTGCAGATTTTGAATCCCTCTTCTCGGCAGATATGCGATCCATCTCAGCGATCTCGGCCTCTTCTTTTTTCTGCGCATACCATTGTCCGGCTTGCAAGACCAGCACGCCAACCAAGACCAGAGCGACAATTGTATTGCTAGCCGAGATAACCCGAAGGCTATCCTCACGGCCTACGTAGTCTACATTTTCCTCAACAGTGCCATCTTCGTTTCCATAGATGCCAGCGGTGACGACGCGCAGGCCTTTGATAATGTTCGCAATGTACACGGCAATACCGCACATGTAGAGAACCAAGGAGGCACCATCGAACAAGACGTTGGCTTCGGTGGGCTTATAGAGCTTGGTGAGGAAACCAAGCAGCCCGGTCGCAATGACAATGTGAAGGATCCGCGAGATCAAAGGTGGTGAGGCGTACAGGAATTTTAGATGCTCTTCAAGCTTTGCAAAGTACGGTTCCGGTTCCGTTGGATTGGCCCACAACACATTGTAATCGTACGGGAAGGCTGCAAATAGTATTCCAAGAAAGAAACATGTCGCTGTTGATATTAGCACATCGAATCTATCGCACGCAAGCAGAGCCTTGTCGCAAACTCACGGCCAATGATCAGAAACGTCGCAAAAGAGTTCGTCTTGGTCATTTTCGGAAGGAGCAAAAACTTGTTCTCGGTAATGTTGATGGGATAGAATTCGGGAACGCAAAGGTAGGCTGGGAGAGCCGTACTGCAAGTCTACGACACGATGGGGACCCGGTGCAGGTGCAAGTGATGATGAGATGCAAGATAGAATCCGTCTGCAACTTTTCCAGCGCAACTCTTGGCACTTCCCACGCGCGTCCACCGACCACCTGTACGTCTTATCTAAAATATAGATGATTATACTTCTACATAGCTATATACTATATATATTATCAGAAGAGAGAAAACAATAGAGAGTAGTTAGAGAGTAGAGTTAAAATAAAGACTGTTTATAATATTTATTATAATTCAAAGAGTATTTTTAAAAGACTAATAAGAGTAGTAAAGTATTACATAGCATCTATTAAAGAGATATATATAAAATTCTTTGGAGATAAGAGTCTATAAAAGACATTAATCAAATGCATAAGGAGTGCTTAGACTTATATTGAAAAATAATTATGAACGGATAAAACGTGCACTTGTCTTGGCGGCGAAGAGCATCGCCGCAGCCAACCCTGTATACACTACATCTTCGACCTCCGTGCTAGACTTCGCGGCCTTATCACCTCAACATCCCTCTATCGTCTATGTTTTTTGCGTCTCCACGCAATGTCGACGTATTCGACCAGAGCATATCTACCTCGGCCTACCTGAGGGGTCAAGACATGTACGTAGAAGCGGCTACTGCAGGCATCAAATTACAGACGCAGAGGCGAACGCTAAGCCAATATCGCCGTTGCTTCTTTCTCCGCATTTTCTAGGGATGCCGACATCAGATCCATAATTGGCTACGCGTAAGGCTTTATTATGCCTGTATGCTGCAGTCATCGCTCATGTCGATGTCTCGACTCAGAGCTCTCTGGATCCGATGACCACCGGACTAGCCTCGCCGCATATTGATGAGCAGCCTCCAGAATTCTCCTTGGTGCCTTTTCTACTCCCATAATCGACACTATTTGATTGAAACACCTAAGTGTTGCACTCTCTCACTTCTACCGCCTGCAATTCCTTTTAGGGCCAACTACTCTCAGCCTCTCTCTCATTGGTGCGATATTTCGTTAGGAGTTATAATGGCCATATGGGTAACATCGAGGTTACTGCAATCAAGTAGTTGGATTTTGCACAGGTTGTTCACTATTCATTTGCAGATACCAAGGATATTTGTAGACGGGAGCATGTCTGCCATCAATTTGAATACAGAATCAGTATAAAAACGTCAAAGCATCGGACTTTGTTGGTGCTATCCATCACACTGCAATACTCCAACTTCTACTTCGAATCCTTTCATCGTCTCCACCACTTTTCAATATGAAACTTCTGTCTGTTCTAGCTGTTTCCGCTCTGGCCGGCCTGTCAGTGGCTGCGCCGACAAGAGTTGAGGAAGAGAAGCGTGTGGTCTTGGACAAACGTGCCGCTGTCACTGAGACTGCCACCGTCGGTTATGCCACTCTAAACGGAGGGTAAGACCTTATACATAATCATGAGGTATTGAAGAGGGTGTTGACTGATAATCACTTGCAGCACAAGTGGGGGCAAAGGTGGACCGACTACTACTGTGAGCACATTAGCTCAATTCACTGCTGCCGTCGCCGATGATACTGCTCGTATCGTTGTTGTAAGTGGCACAATTTCTGGCACTGCGGGCCAGACGAAGATCGGCTCCAACAAGACTGTTATCGGCAAGGACAAGAACGCAAGTATGTTATAATGAGGTCTGTAGAAGACGTGAGAAGTTCAAGCGCTGATACACGACCAGAGTTGATCGGTAACGGCGTCTTGGTTAAGGGGAAAAAGAATGTAATTATTCGTAACCTGACCATCCAAAAGGTTTTGGCTGCAAATGGAGACGCCCTTGGCATCCAAACATCTCAGAACGTCTGGATTGATCACGTCGATCTCTCTTCGGACAGAGATCACGACAAGGACTACTACGATGGTCTTTTGGATATCACCCACGGTGTTGACTACGTCACTGTTACGAACAGGTATGCGTCCACCACTGAAGTTGAAATCATTCATGCTCAAGCTAAGCCGTTTCAGTTACATTCATGACCACTGGAAAGCTTCTCTCGTCGGCCACAGTGATAGTAACTCGGCGGAAGACAAGGGACACTTGACGGTGACCTATGCAAACAACTATTGGAAAAACCTAAACTCACGCGGGCCTTCATTCCGTTTTGGTACTGGCCACATCTTCAACAATTTCTATGAGACCGTCAGCGATGTCATCAACACTCGCCAGGGCGCTCAGCTGCTCGTCGAGTCCAATGTATTCACTGGGTCCAAGAAACCTCTGTACTCGACTGACGCTGGGTTTGCCGTGTCGAAAGATAACGACTTTGGTGGGGAGTCCAATACAGCACTGGCTGGGACGCTCAATACCGTGCCATATACATACAAGACTCTCGGGTCTGCCAATGTCAAAGCCGCTGTTGTTGGAACTGCCGGTGCGACTCTCAAATTCTGAACAGGTCGGTACCTCGAACGAGGAATTGTCGGCCGTGTGTAGATATCTCCTTTAGCAAAACCACCTTTTCTTACTTTCTCTTTGAATACATGTCTAGCACATATTGAACATCAGAGGCTTGTCGATAGTGGAGATAGGTTTCTGTATATAAGCAAATATTGTAGCTCTGAGCTACGTCCTTCTTGCAGAGATATGGTCCCATAGTGGCAGGGAGCTCCAGCGGTGCTACGAAAGTCGCACGAAAGGACCACAGTAGCAGTGATAGCCACAGCGTGTTATGAGCAACAAGGTCGGTAGATTACCCATAGCCCTAGCATCGTAGCTGCACATCTGAGAACTTGAAGTCATGCAACAAAGACTCCCTAGTAGTGTTCAATGCTACCACCGTAAAATCACATGACTTACCACTTTGGTACACCGTCATAGTGTGTTAATGGTAGTGAGTCTCATTCATGCAGACTGATTTTATAATCACAGAATAAAACGACCGTAACTCTCGATAGTTTCAAGAAGTTGCTAGAATGTATGTCTGGATTAGTTGTGCAGATTCGTCCAAGTATCGGTAGGCTGTTGTTTCAGAAGACTTCGGACGAAGAAAGTAGTGCAAGGACGAAGCGGGATGTATGTTTCCGAGTTGCCGCATATTGCAGTGACTGTGGTACCGTAATTAGAAGCTGGAAGGAGACATGTTTCGAATCTTAGTTCGCTGGGAGAAGCAGGTGTAGAATGAAAGAGCTTCAGCTGATTGAGCAATGCACTAGCAGTGATGACGCTGACCTTATCTGTCCCTCACACCGAGTGGTTTCGTTTGACCATTGGTATGTGTGACATTTGGAGTCAACACAGCTGAGCATGCGAATCTTCGAGTGACGTGAGGGAATCGGCCAACACTGAGTCTATTGGTGAGTATCTGGTGGTTGGCGAGGAGGTCTCGCATCCACGAGTACAGGAAATGGAAATGATAGTAGTAATTGTTAAACTGGCTGTTCGTGTGACTCCATCGCTGAATGAGTACGAGGGAAGCTACAGAAACTGCACAACTCCAGTACCTGTGTATTGCCGTTGACTGAGTGTGAATGAAACTCTCTCGCTTGGTTCTGGCCAAGCTGATGTTCCAAGTGTGGAGCAACCGCGAACTTCCACCTATGGATGTGCGACTTTAAGCTCTAAGCAGAATTGTTGAATACAGAAGGCAATTGGACGCATACAAGTTGGACATATCCCTCGTTATTTCCATGACATGACGCAAATCACGTTCAGGGGTCGGTCGTCTCGGCATACAGCTTAAAGGAAAGCCAAAACAGGTTATCTCCCAGCTTGGGATATCTTTACATAACAAGATTAACGACGAAGCAAGCGAACAGCCCAAAGCAGGATAGTCCTTATGGCGTAAACCCACATGGAGCGGAGACGGGGATCCGGGGTTCGGTATAGCGTGAGGTCCGAACCAATTAAAGAGCCTAGAGCGAGTCAGAAATGACGGAGAGTTCTCAAAAGACGCTTCTGCGTGACGCTAGACAGAACCGACTCAAGGTGTACATAGTAAGCTTGGTCCTGCTTAGGAATGATGGCTGGGGTTAGGTAAATGCGCTTCACAGATGGATCAGGTACACCATAACAGTACGGATCTAATTTGTATAGCGCGTGGAGCCGAGATTGCGAGGTGCGTTTGCTGTCGGTGTCGTTGACGTCCTTGACCTGCAAGCACGGGGTTTCAATTGTAGTCTAAGTCTGGCTTGAGGATGCATCGCATTACGTTCCTCTCAGACCTCACAGTCCGACCTTAAACTTGTACATGGGCATCAAGGCACATGAGCACATGGGAAGTGACGGATAGACACCCCGCATTATTACATGTCTGTCCCCAGTCCTGTGCGCTGGTACGGACCAGGGATTTTTGCCGCGACCCCATCTGTGCACCACAGCCGCTCAAGCCACCTTACGGCCCCAAGGGTTCAATCCGTTTGTCCATAGTTACATGAGAAAGCTTGGCAGTCGGTGTACACATGTCGCGCGCGCACACGAACCGTAGTATGTATAATATTTTTACCTATTACCGCCGAATTATCCCTCTATAATTATAAATACTACTATATACTAATTTTATATAACCCTAAGAATATATTAATACTCTTTTTATTACTTTATACTATCTATAATACCTCTAAAACTATAGAAAAAGAGTAAAGAGAGTAGATTCTATAGAGAGATACTTAGGTCTAGAATATTAAAGATCTTTAGTACTATATATTAGTTATACTAGCTTTCTTCTATTATATATTATAGTTTTATATATTATAAAAGGATAATACGGCGGTAAGAGGTAAAAATATCGTTTATACTACGGTTCGTGTGCGCGCGAGACATGTGTGCACCGGCTGCCAAGCTTTCTCATGTAACTATGGATAAACGGATAGCCTTGCTGGAGTTTTGAACGTCCATCCGGTCGCCGACTCTTGCGATTTGCCTCAACGTCGACTCATTCTACATAGTGACTTTGAATTCCGCCCAGCTCCGAATAACTGCTACTAACGTTGATTCGGTACCATTTTTTCTCTCACACAGGATAGTCCTAAGCAATACGCTGTGCTTCTTCCCATTCTACGATCCTCGATTCTCGCAACTTCGAAATCGCCGCGAACATTATAGGCAGCCAGTACTGAGCCGCATGAAGCACATGGCAACGACGTTTGTGCCGCCTTGCCTTAGATCCGGAAAGTTTCGAACGTAACCATGTTCCTTTGAGGTAAGCTCGTCTTTGACCTGACTGTTATTGTATGCTTACAGCCGCCACATGGCAAGGATACCCGTAGGAATCCTCGCGCTATGCCCACTTCATGCTTCCCCATATCATGATGCGCCGCCGGGGTACCACTGTAGCTTTTCTATCAACGGCACGGTACGGTAGTGTATTGAATTCGTATGATTCGATGCAGTAAATCCTGTACCATTCTAGTTCTGGCTAATTTCCAGGGAACATCTATCACATGAACACAGGCGTTGCCCTTTCCAGAGAATGTTTATGCTCTCTCAATTTCCACGTTTGCCACACCAGTAAGACTATACGCCCTAGATCTCATGTCCAATCAAACTTAGCTTCTAGTCGTTCATTTCACTCACACTTCTCCAGCATCACTACTGCATGTGCTTGATGCATCAGCGCTAGCCTCCCGCTCGGTCTGTTGTGACTTGGCATTTGCATATGTCAGCCCCCTACACGTGTGAGTTAATATCATGATTCGACTTAAGAAGGCACAGTGTTCCTGTCTGCTCTTGTCTCCTATCCACCATCAAATCCTCACCTGTCTTCTGTACTGTTTCAGTGTCCACCGCGACCCTCACACATTCGCTTCCAGTCAAAATGAAGTTCTCAGCTATCCTCTTCGCCGGCGCTGCCGCTGCTGCTACTATGGTCGAGCGTCAAGGTTCGGGTGTTGACACTGTCCTCGCCGCCATCTCTTCCATCTCTTCCGCTACCACTGCTTTGAATAACGGGATCACCTCCTTCTCAGGCGCTGGTGATGCCCAGACTTCCTATCAATCAGTTCAGTTCAATTTTGGGCCTCTAGTTGAATTGAACTGAAGTACTTCAACTCTTACCATTATAGAATTGAACTGGACTGTTAATCCTAGTAGTAGAATTGAAGTTGAACTGGACTGGACTGAAGTATATTAGTAAGATTAGCTAAAAGTCTTAAAGATGGATAAAATTTAGTATTTTAAGGCTATATATCTATATTACCTATATAGTAATTCTTAATATGAGTGAATAATAAGCTTAAGAGAGACTATATTCATATTATTAATATATAGCTATTAGTATAGAGACTTTATGTGGTTTTATACATGAGAGAGTGATGATAAGTCGCGTGAAAGTCACGTGACCTATCACATGATAGCTTACCTAATGTACTCGAGAAAGTCACATGACACATCACGTGACATATCACGTGACATTCTCATAATGAATCTCGTCGAATCACCTAACCTTAAGAGGATATCTACCAATATACCTATCTATATATAACTTCAGTTCAACTCAACTATTAGCAACTCAATCCTACCCTAGAATTGAATTGAACTGAAGATCCAACCCTTGGCAAGAGGCCTCAGTTGAACTGGACTAAGTCAATTCTGGAGAGGCAGAATTGAAGTTGGACTGATTGATAGGAACTCTGGTGATGCCGACTCTCTTGAGGCTGCTTCCAAAGCTGTTATCGATGCTATCAACACTGGCAACACCAATGTCGGTCCCATTGGTCAGCTTGAACTCACCGACGCACTCCAGCTCCAGGACCCAACCAAGGCACTCGGTGAGCTCGTAACTCAAACCGTTAACAACGCCATTTCCAAGAAGGATGCATTCACATCTGCTGGTGTCGCTGGAACTGTTCTCGAGCAACTTCAACAACAGCAAAGCGCCGCCAACACCTTCTCTACCACCGTTGTCGGCAAAGTTCCAGAGGCCGCTCAGAGCATTGCTCAGGGACTTGTCCAGCCCATCACTGACGCGCTCCAGAAGGGCGTGGATGCTTTCCAGGGCTCCAGCAACGGCCCAGGCCAGGGTTCTCCATCCAGCTCTGAGGGTGGCTCAGAGCCAACTGCTGTTCCGACCGGCTCCGCTCCCGTCACCACCCCAGCTCCTACCTCTGCCGGTCCCACCCCCCCGTCTACTCCACCACCATTCACCGGCGCTGCCATGCCAACCGCTGCTGCTGGCTACGGTGTTGCCGCTGCTGTGGCTCTCGTTGCCGCTGCTGCTTTGTGAGTGGTTCGTATTCCCGATCAAGTTCAATAAGACCTGTGGGCATAGAAATTCCGGACGGTCTGGGGTATGAAAAGAAGGATTGCGGCGTCGAGTAGCTACAATGTATCATAACAAGACGCTTCTAGCTATCGAGGATAATAATTTAATTGTTTGGTGGAGAATATGCATAGTGCTATAGTGATATAAGTCCTACATCTTTGTTCACATACGATCCGTCAAAGGATATAATTTGCTCACGAACAGGCCCCCTTTCGGCAGCTGCGGATCAATATCCAGGGCTTTGATTCTTCAAGTATGCCAAGTAAGACCTTGAAATCTGCGTTTGGAGCAAGTAACATTCTAAAACACCAGCAAGTAGGACAAGCGCGGCTCACGCACCGTCTTGCTAAGCATTTTCGGCATTGAATCCTGGAGAACCTTGGCGTCAATAGGAAAGCCACCAACACTGGCTTCATTCCTTTGTCGCCAACACTTTTCCCGTTCAGTCATTCTCCCAATACCAGAGCCGTACCATTTCATGATTCGTAGTTAAATTTGGTCTGTTGCGAGCCGAGGACTTAAAGCTGTCATCAACGCCATAATGGTCTTGCAGTTTCGTATACATTAAGTACATGTCGACGTAGCAGTTATGTCAGACTTGCACTGTGTCAATAGAGCCGCTATGCCACGCCATGAACTCCGCCATGGGCAGCGAGGCCTGTTTGTCCACGAGTACCGGATTCACCACTATAATGTAGGTACCTCCGTATAGAGGCGGTACGCCCGCCGATACAGCGGTAAACTCAGACCGCATAATTCATGAGGATGGGCGATTAGGGTTATTCTGCAGGCACACCCAACTGTACCACCTAATTTTTATCTGTCAATAACGTGTTGCAATGATTTAGACCTACAGTGTTTAATGCTAGTCATTGTGATGGATCCTCAGTGCAAAAGGAACGACGAATAGATTTGATCTGTAAAGAAACGAATTATTTCGTATAATACTTTGCTTCAGATGTAAAACTCTGTTTCTTGACGATACCGAGTGTGATGAGGAACATACATATTTGATATGTGTTGTTGGGAAGAAACCAACAGAAATTGTAGTCTTTGAAAACTGACTACTGTGCAATCAATGGTCAGTCATCGAGCCCCTTCCACACCGCAGAAAAACGCTTGAGATATCTATTCCCACTCTTGCAGAAACCCTTTACTAGCTTCATAGTCTCGTTTTACTATCTGCTCGTGCTCTTTACTTCTGGGTACGAAATTGACCTTGAAAGGTAACGGTCCATGCAGCATCCCCTGCACATATGCATGTGGATCAAGCTTTTGTGGCTCGCCAGTCGCCTGATCGATTGCAGGCTCGATATTATATGCCCAGAGAATCTTTGCGACCATGCGCCACTGAGCACGCTCGGCAAGATGTATTCCAGCGCAGATCCGTCGACCCGAACCGTACCCATAATGATGTGAGCACGAAATGTTAGCCAAGCAGTTCATCATTTCTATAGGCCTATATGTTGAAAGAATGGGGGACTTATCTCTATTCATGTAGTCTGGACTGCCCGCGTAGTCCATTGCTAGCTTTGGGTGGTCTATGAAGCGATCTGGGTTATAGATGTTCGGTTGGTCGTACGAGTTCCTATGGAGCGAGTATGCAGTCAAGACAATAGCAGAATCTTTAGGTATACGGAATCCATCATACCAGTCCTCCCGATTTGCTCTGCGAACAACTCCGTTGGGAATACTGCAAGGATTTCAGTATACTTCTGCTTTGACGCTCTCTGAACTCACACCGAATGCCAACGCTGTCCCTCTTTGATAATACAATTGACATATCGTAGGTCGTGGAAATCACTCCACACGGGCATCCTGAGTTGCATTAGACTCAAATCGCGAGACATCTAATCAACATATAATCACAGACCTCATTCCACATACTCGGTCTATCTCGTGTTGTGCTCGTCTCTGGAACTCGGGGTGCAGTGTCAACATCAATATATTTGTCAGTGTTGCATGCGCAGTCGTGTCGGCACCTGCCTGAGCTATTGTGCCTAGGAAGCAATTGAACTCGTGGTAATCAAGCTTGACATCCTGCTTGATTGTCCCAGACAATAAACGATCCACAATCGAATTGCGCTCATCTCCATTGCGCCGTCGCGTCTCAACGAGTTCTCGAGCCTCTTGATACAATCCATACATGGCTTCACGGCCTTCCTTGCATCGAGTTTTCCAAGGTGCCCAGCGTTCGGGTATGTACCTGAGGATAGGAAACTGATCAACAGGAGGACACGACCCAGCTTCCATTGCCGGATTCAGCTTTATTCTATAAGCAAGTCGCATTGTCGTATGATCGTTGATTTCTCACTGACCTTGTCCATGACACGATAGATATACTTGACTTTTCAGCTTAGGCCGATTGAGATACCGAAGATTCGACTTACGTTTGCCCAGAAATTTTCCATAGAAGGTCCACGTTGACCGTAAACAACGATACTTATGGTTGAGCCTGTTGCACGTCTGACATGAGTAGAAAACTCCTCTGGTGATTCCAACAGCTCATACAACAATTGGCCAATCCTGTCCGAAGAGAGACTTAGCATGATAGGCCACCTCTATGATTGGCATGAGGAGCAGTTCCGTACTCAGCTTCTTGGATGGGCGCAATCTTTTCGTCCAATGCTCGTGGCTAAAACAAAGTTAGCACACTACACTACATACAGAAAAGAGTTCTTGTAAAAAAGAGAAGTAGGGGCATGGTTGGACCCAAGAATCAAGGATTTCTTATACAATGGAGGTATAAATGTTGGCCAAGCTGGTAGTGTATCTTGATGTTCCATCCATCAGGCACAACTTCCAGGTCTGTCAAGAGAGCCAAGTTTAACGTACGGACAGGTTCTGAGAGGTAATTTTTCTCTGTGACCGCCACTTGGCGTTGGCATCCTCGAAGGCGAAGATTTTGCCATCCGTAGCTAATTGTAAGTTATAGTCATGGACTCTGTCGTTGTAGATCGTAGCCCTCTTGTCTACAAGATCGTGGACAGCTCGACGACTGTTCAATACGATCCATGTTGCCGATCCGAGCTTCAATGAGTATATCTCGCCGTACTTCCTGCCCCATTCTTCTAATCTGGAATTACATTAAAAGTGATAATATTTATATGTGGAAGGCTTTCTTGCTTTAGATGCAAACCTGTTGAAGGAATCTGATGTGCATTCCCGAGGATTGGAATCGTAGGCGGACCTGGTGGTAATCCCTTCTCTCTTCGTCCAAGTCGTAGAATGTTGTATATTGCAAGACAGGATACGAATACTGGCAAAAGCCATATCGGGTATGATGTACTTGAGAACAGCATTCTGTTATTGTAAGGATGCGATTAACGATTAAAGGTTAGATTGTGCGGGCTGCTCATGACCATTTATACCATTCTGCATGATCTTCGTGACCATATTGCCGGATCATCAGGCATCGGACTCCAGGTCATCTGCCCCGATGACGACTCTAGAATCACTATACAATCAAGACAGTGCTCATGTGTCGCTATCGTACCTTGTAAAGAGCAAGCGAACAGTGCATCGAAAGCGGGGTACCATGTACGATGATGTAATTAAACATACAACGATTGTTACGACTTTTACATGCTGGGATAGCTGATGAAACACCTCGGTGGTGTTGAAGCTGCAGCTGAACAGATGAGATTCATTGCAAATCTTTCTCTGCGATAGGCTCAAGCAAGCACACCCCAATAGTAATGCAAATGTCAGGATTATGCTTATCGATGATGACAGAGCCAGAGTACATGCATGAGCCAATGTTGATAAGAACCTGTTTTGTGAGATATGGCATGCACTTTTGCACGTAGAGGAGTTAGTGTGATGTGTTGGCTCGCGATTAGCAACCGATATCTTCGACTGTACACCATACACATACACATGCTTGTACAGTGATGTAACCATGCTGATTCTCGCCACGAGGGTGATCCAACATGGAGTTTACATTAATAGCGATATGTATGCTGCTCGGGATCGATACACAATGATGAAGAGAAGCTGGCTGAAAGCTTCCTCTTCCTAAGTATGTTATATATATTTGCACAATGGACAGTAGAAGAGATGTCGTGCCTGTAGATTCATCTTCAGAACTGTTCTGATATTTGAGGCAAACCCTATAATGCAGAGGTAAGAGGGTGGTTATAGATCGACCCTATGCCAAACTTAAAACTCATATGGCAAATGTCGTGAATGCGAGCAGTAACGCCTCATTGTGACGAGGAAAATGTAGATGATGACTATATTGACTCACTTTGGAGAATTAGTCTACAATTTCCAAGTCGCCCGTCCTGCCTTTGGCAAATGTGTCTTTCCAATCCTCCCACATATTTTTCAATTCAGTTACGTATTGGTCGTGCACCTGATCGACATACTCAGGATCTGGCTTCTCCTGAGCCATGACTTTGACCGGCCGACCAACAACAATGTTCAGAGGTCTCCGATATGGCATCATGCCGACATCGTAGTTGAACACGCCGCGGGCATGGAACAGCGGGATCGTAAAACCTGCGATCTTTTTGACCAGAAGCTGCAGTTTATGAACCCAGGGATGAATATTGGCGTCGAATTGATCATATAGATCATTCTCGCCGAATCCAATGACAGGCACTAAGTCTGCACCTGTGCGAATGGCGATCTTGACGAAGCCTTTCCTGCGAGCGAGTACAAGCTTCATAGTATTAGGCATCGCCTCGAGTGATTCACGCGCTCCTCCAATCACGACTGTGATAGCTCTACCCATACCCTCTTTGTTAGGGCCTCCCTTCGTGAGAAGGTTCTCGCAGGATTCCCTAGACACAGAGGCGAGGCCTAAACGAAGTGCGTATTCCCGATACAACGGTAATCTGAAGTTCGAGTCTAACGTGAGGAGTGAATTGGTGATCCCGGGAAACAGTTGAGAGAATCCTAAAGCTTCGGTTGCAAATGCAGCAAACGCCCCATGCGAGATAATACCATGAGGATGGTAGCCAAAGATGTACTTTCTGGTAGGAGGGAGCTCTTCGAGTCTATGTAACCGAGCTGGGAAGTAAGAGGCAAAAAGTGACCAGATTGACAGTCTTCGCGCTCTGTCGCTACGTTGTAAGAGCTCCCCGGATGTGGCGGCCTTAGAGAATAAGACATAGATGAGGTATGGAAGAAGTATGGGCCACAGAAGCGGTATAGTACATAGTAAGAAGAACAGTGCTACGAGCCCGACAATACTAAGAGTGTGCATGAGAACGATCAGCGTTTGGAGACGTCTCTGCAGTGGAACATTTAGAGGGGCAAATCTGATTCTAGGTAATTGTTAGCCTGAATGCACCCATGAGGTCTTTGATTTGGACCTACTTGCTCCTTGCCCAGCCTTGACCCGCTTGTCTCCCACTGACAAGTTCCGGGCCATCGGAAGGCTTTTCTTCTTTCTTGTCTTGATGTAGCTGTCTTTCGTACTCGTTCGAAGGTTTGACACTTGTGAGTTTGCCACCGTTTGTACCGAGCTCTTCAAAGACTACATGGTCATCATTGTTGTTGCGGGCCTTTTTTGGACCGTTCTGCTTTGGTATGGAGCCTTGTCGTTTGTGGGCAAATTGTCTACGGCTCGGGCTGTGAGACGAGATATCTTGACCAGTACCCTCGAAGGTATCTGAAGGTGTAGTAGTTCCAGACTTCGACAGTGGCTTGCCGTTAGCTTGTATGGGCGGGATTGTTTCTATTTCAGTGAAGTTGGAATCGGCATTGTTCAGAGGTTGCTTGGTTACCTCGGCATAGGTATGTGATTCGTCGTGGGTGTTGCGAGACGGCGCTTCGGTGTTCGCCATTGCCCCTATCTTAAGCTATGCAGTAGATTATGAGGAATGGGACAATATATTGGTGCGAGAGATGCTGTGTACGGGCTGGCAAAGGAAGTGGAATTCGAATATCTCATTAAGGTTGACCGTGTACCTGCAGGTGACCGACCATGGCCATGATGACGTTTTGGTCGCAACTGTGGCTGAAAATGTGGCTGGTAACCGCATCCTAGTTACATGGGAAAGCTTGGCGCCCGATGTTCGCCCATGTTACCAATATATACGATTTAGTATAATCGATATTTTTATCTATTACCGCCGTATAATACTTATATACTTATAAATATTACTATATATTAGTTTTATATAACTCTAATTATATATCTATACTGTTTTTTTATTACTTTATATAATCTATAATACCTCTAAAACTATATAGAGATATTCTTAGATCTATATAGTACCTCTATATTTAAAAGTACTCTAGAAGAAGAAAGAGAGAATATTAAAGTTCTATAGTATTATATATTAGCTATAATAACTCTTTAATACTATATAAGTATAGTATAGTAGTAATATATAAAATATTAACTATACTAAATCGTGTGTATTGGTGACATGGGCGAACATCACCCGCCAAGCTTACTCATGTAACTATGGATATACGGATTCGATTCCTCCGAAGAGCCCTGCCTGCCGCCCATTTGTTATATGGCGAATGACTCAGAACAGCTACAGGGTAAGATGCTCATTCATGGTTGATGATGTTGCTAACGCTTTCGATATATACATCCCATCACATCAAGCTTGATCGACCGCCAATCTCATTCCCACCTTGACCGTTGGGCATCTCGCCGTTGCGGCCAACAACAAATTCTTGATATATTGCTGCAAGTCTACTTCTCTCTTGTGTGCTGATCGAGCTTCGTGAGTTCTGTAAAGCAGTAATAAGGTGTTTCCACTCTATCATGGGTTCGCCGTCTGATTCATAATCAAGGGCCTCTGCCTCGGTATTGGTATCGTGACGTTTTGTGCTTGGTGATTGCTGCTGTTTCTGTCTGCGTCGCGATGCTTGTAATGACGCTATGCTTGCAGATATCATACCGCGTTCGGATAGTGGTGGAGAGCGTACCTGACTCGTCGGCGCATTGAGGTCATCGCCGAAACGAAAATACGTGAAGTCCGCAATTCCTTTTCCGAAGTTTGATATTGACCTCGAATTTGCAGCCATTTTACCTTTCCCTCTTGATGGTTGACTGTTTGTTCGATCTCCAAGGACATCATGAATGGCTTCTAATTGAGCATTGTACACTACCGCTTGTAGATCCGCACCTGAGTAGCCCTTAGTCTTTTCTGCTACCTCACGCAGATTTTCACCTTCGGTCCCGCTTGTTAAGATGCTGGGTGATAGACGAAGATTCCTTGTTACCGCGAACAGGATGTCTGTGCGTTCATCTAGTCCAGGTAGGTCACAAATAAGGCTTTTATCTAAACGTCCTGGTCGTAATAATGCCGGATCTATCAGATCAGGACGGCTTGTAGCGGCTAAAACATATACACCGCTCAAGCCTTCAGCGCCATCCATCTGAGTGAGCAACTGGTTTACAACGCGATCGGTGACTCCGGTTGAGTCGTGCCCACGTTTTGGTGCGATACTGTCGAACTCGTCAAAGAATAAGACACAAGGTCGAGCAGCCTCGGCGCGCTCGAACAAATCTCGGACAGACTTTTCGGAAGCTCCGATGTATTTGTTCAAAATCTCGGGTCCTTTGACGCTAATAAAGTTGAGCCCACATTCACCGGCAACAGCAGAAGCCAAAAGCGTCTTACCGCAGCCCGGGTATCCGTAGAGGAGAATGCCAGATCGGAGGCGGAGTGGGCATTCAGCAAATATGGGCGCGTACGTCGTTGGATACTGGAGAGTCTCAAGTAATACTCGTCGCGTTGCACGCAGACCACCAATGGAATCCCAACGAGTTGTGGACGTCTGTAGAGTGACGTTTCGAAGCGACGCAGGAGTAAAGCCTTTCAAAGCCTTGGTAAAGTCTCCAGTCGTCAGAATGACAGTCGATCCGTTAGGCATTCTCTCGTGATCTGAGATGGTGGACCGTATAAGCGCTTCACTCCGGGCACGGGAGACGAGAAGCACTATGTCTCCTGGCATATAACCGTCCGTTTGTCCTGCTATATCAAGGAAATCAATTGTACAGTCAACCGTGAGACCATCTTTCCGTGGGCCATTGGGAATGTCTGGTCTGCTCTCATTGCTAGCATTCTCGTGTCTCTGACCAGCGCTGTCTGAACTGTGACCATTCATCTGACTCTTCAGGTTGTTCGATGGCCGTGTATCTTTATGAGCAAGCATTTCTAGTACCTTCCGGCGGCCTTCTTTATTCGGCGCGCTGATATTGACGATTTCTCGCACCACATGTCCGCCGATTATAACGTTGTTCACGGCTTCTTTGCTTTGTGCCGTCGCAAGAAGGACTATACCTGAGTCACGACTGCAGTATTCACGCACAACTGAACAGACACACTCGCTGATATGTCTGCTTCTCCCATTCTCGCCGCCCACTTGTAGCTCTGTTTCGATCGGACAAAGTCGGTCGAGGTCATCAAGAATGATTAGAGAACGCCCCCCAAGTCGAGCACCCCACGACGCGGAGGCGAAAAGTCGACTAAGGGTGTCCTTAATTTGTGAAACTCTGATCTCTTCGGTTAGGAGAGAATGACATTGAAAGTATTGAATGTTGACAAGATGCTCTTGTCGGAGGCGATGTGCAACAAGTTGCGCGACCGATGACTTTCCAGCCCCAAGTCCGCCGGTCAATAGGATTGATGATGCCTGAAGGAGATGGGAATAAAGTTGCGCGACCAACTTGTCGATGCCAACCATAGTAGGCTTGAGAGACGGTAGCTGTGCCGCTGGTGACCAGGCATTCGATATTGTTGATGGTTTCGGTACCCCAGGTCGGACATCGATGTTGAAAGCCCCGGCGGGTACCGTCAGCCATACTGTTTGCTGCGTCTTGTCTCCTGGCTGATTCGAACCAATCTTAACTATACCTCCTTGCCAGGCCGGGTCCTTCTCTGCAATTGGGGGCAAGATCATACCATCAGTAAGCGGCCCATCTAGAAGTCCTTTCCCATTGTGTTGACGATATAGATCTTTGATCCTTCTTGCGGTATCTTCACGTTCTTGCTTTGTTTCGCCACCAAATTTCAAGCCACCTACTTGCTGGGACCCTGACGGGATGAAAGGGATGACTTTCACACTCCGGTCAGGATCACTCTGGGATCTACTGGTCGCCGAGGATGGAGCAGGCGCAGCCTCAAGGCGGACTAAACCACCTACGAGTTCAGGAGCACCTAATGCACCACAGAGCGCAGAAGATAGTGCTGCATGTCGGCTGTCCGGAGCGTCGTCCCACTCCTGGATCCGTGCGACAACCCGGGATGAATGCTTTTCTGGTTCCTGTTCCTTTCGTGGGTCGCTCGGTTCATTCAGTCCGGCAGGTCTCACTATAGAAACAGTGACCCAGATGACACCTTTGAGAGCTTTTGAGCTGAGGATGTCACCGTCTATCCATATGTTCAAACTACAATCGTCTGCAGATACTTCCTCATCAAACCAGTCCCTGCTTAACGTTCGACTAACACCACGCAGGAAGATAAACCCTCGCCCGGCACCCTCTTCACGACCACTCTTTCGCCTCACGGTGCTGGCTGCACTTTTGCCACCAGCACTTCGACGGCCGGTACTAGCAACACTCCTGTTCTCCCTACCTGATGATTTTTCTGCTTTCTGTCGAGTCTTTGGCGATACAATTACTTCAGCATCACTCGAGATCTTGACGAATGGGGTACTGGTCGAAGGTATAGGCATTAATGATGAAACTAAAATGTTCGCGGTCGTCGTTGGGGAGAGATGTAGGGTAAGTGGATGGCGATTGTGCGATGGTCCCGAACCTGCAACAAAAGTTGGATTCGGTAAAGCGCGGATTTGATTAAGAAAGTTCAACTCGAGGAATTGCGCATGGAGTTCGATCACTTCGACTTGCTGTCAGCGAGAGATCTGCCTTTGATATACAATGGGCACTTACTCTCCCAATCTGCTGGTGTCAGAGGCTCAATGTTTACAGTGTGTGCTTGAGGTGCGTCGAAATGTAGCGCAATAGAGATCTATGCCAAACGTTGAGCAAGTACAAATACGAGGGCTAGAAACTCTTTGTTACCTTCTTGCCATCGTTCAACCCAACAAGTCGTGCGAAGGTGGTGTCAATCTCGACGACGGATACTTCCGGTTCTCTGATTGCCCCCCCGCGACCCCCAGTTAGTCCTTCACTGCCAACTACAGGCGCAAGTTTGCGCTTGCTCTGATATCCTGTCCATCCCACATAAATTGTCTTCTGTACATTAGGAGGTTTGGTGCTCGTCCGATCGGCCGTAGGGGCTGGCAGTTTGAATGACAGCTCGACTATAACATTTTGTACGACCTTGAGACCATTTTAGCAGTGGTACCACGCAGAATCTATGGGGCAAATACTCACGGCGTTGCTGTTTGTCAATGCCGAGACAATGGAGCTTGGGAGATTGACGAAACAATTCTTTAGTGACGGTTGGAAAGAGATTTCCGCCTGGGTGGTATGTTTTCCAGCAGAGGCCATAGAAGCGGGGGTGAAGGTGTACAAAATGTACGACGCTTCCGTATATCATGTCGCAGGCTACCGGAGTGCGCCTGAGCTCTCGAATGACCGAGGCCTGGACTAAACCTTGCGGCTTGCGCTAGATCAAGTCTGGACCCATTAGGCTAGATCAGGTCTTGGGTTGGTCCTTGGCGCGAACCTGACGCGACGCGGGTTCCTTACAGGCAGGTAGCGCGTCTTGACACCTCTGATTGTCTGGCTTCCATGTCTGCTCACATATCTTGAAGCTGCTTCAAAGCCCCAGCTTGTCTTCAAAATACTCTCAAACGACACCCAAGCGAAGCATTCGAAGCGCAATGGCGCTCTTACGGCTACGTGCTCCTGTTAACTATGAAGATCAACTCTGTACAACCTGCGATGCACTTTGCGAAACAGGGCTAATCTAGCACAGCTGCCTTTGAAGATTTCCTGACGTCGTTCAAATCCTCAGCCACAGAGACTGAGGACGCTCTGGAAGGCCTCCAGATTGTGGAGGATGAGTCTCCCAATGGCACTACCTTTCGCAGACGGCAACATCCGGAGAGCAGGCGTGCGCAGAAGCACAAATACGTAGGCATGCTGCAAGACGTTGTAGACCGAGATAGTACACAGATTTTGATTGATCTAGACGATCTGGACAGTGTAGGATTAATTTCTGCCGATGCCGGGAAATAACTGGCTTACAAGACTGCGGACAGTATGAGAAGGCCCTCGGCGACGTAGGACATGGACTGAAACTTGTCCAGTCTGTACAAAACAATACTCATCATTATATTGAGGTCTTTTCAAGAGCTTGCGATAAGATTATGCCGGCCCCTTCTAGGGAATCTAAGTAAGACGTCAATGGGTCCCTGACAGAACCAACTAATAATTGCGCTCAGCTTTAAGGATGACGTACTCGACATAATTATGACTCAACGGTCTAAACATAATGAGAGATTACAAGAAGCTGTGGAGGCAGATCATACACTCGCTAATCCGGAGACTATCTTCCCTCCCGAACTCACTCGCCGCTACACCTTGAATTTCAAGCCCTTAACACCGGTCGGGTCAAGTACTGAGCGCACCAGCAAAGCTCTTGCTGTCCGAAACGTCATAGGGGAGCATCTTGGTCACCTGATCACGGTTCGCGGGATCGCTACAAGAGTTTCCGACGTCAAACCTTCAGTGCAAGTGAGCGCATACGCCTGCAACCGGTGTGGATGTGAGATCTACCAGCCAGTGACAACAAAAGCCTTCACACCGATGAGGGAGTGCCCTTCACAGGACTGCAAAGACTACAACTTAAAGGGCCAACTATGCTTATCAACACGAGCCTCGAAGTTTGTCCCCTTTCAGGAGGTCAAAATCCAGGAGATGGCCGATCAGGTCCCGGTAGGTCATATCCCCAGACAACTCACAATCCATTGTCACGGTTCCTTGGTTCGCCAAATCAACCCAGGCGACGTAGTTGATGTCGCAGGAATTTTCCTCCCTACACCGTACACAGGCTTTAAAGCTATTCGAGCTGGGCTTCTTACAGACACATATCTCGAAGCCCAGTTTGTGATCCAACACAAGAAAGCTTACGATGACATTGTTCTCGCCCAACCCACACTGAAGAGGATGGATGAATTAGAGCGCAGCGGGCAGCTATACGAGGTCCTCTCGCGATCAATCGCTCCCGAAATCTTTGGACACCGAGACGTTAAGAAAGCCTTGCTGCTACAACTAATTGGCGGGGTAAAGAAAGAGATGGGTGATGGTATGGCTATTCGAGGTGACATCAACGTCTGTTTGATGGGTGATCCTGGTGTAGCCAAATCCCAGCTTCTGAAGTATATCACCAAGGTGGCGCCTCGTGGTGTCTATACGACGGGTCGGGGAAGCAGTGGAGTCGGTCTTACTGCTGCCGTTATGCGTGACCCGGTGACCGACGAGATGGTTCTGGAAGGCGGTGCACTGGTCCTTGCAGATAATGGTATGTGCTGTATAGATGAGTTCGACAAGATGGACGACAGTGATCGGACCGCAATTCATGAAGTCATGGAGCAGCAGACAATCTCCATAAGCAAGGCCGGAATCACTACCACCCTAAACGCGAGGACATCAATTCTTGCGGCAGCAAATCCTCTTTACGGCAGGTACAACCCTCGTATCTCTCCAGTGGAGAATATCAACCTTCCAGCAGCTCTCCTCTCCCGTTTCGACATCCTGTTTCTAATCCTTGATACCCCATCCCGCGAATCTGACGAGGAGCTCGCTCGTCACGTGACCCATGTCCACATTCATAACAAGCACCCGGAGGCTGCTGCTGGTGTAGTATTCTCACCACAAGAAGTCCGGCAATGGGTCGCCCGTGCACGTTCGTTCCGGCCAACGGTGCCAAAGGCTGTATCAGATTATCTGGTAGGCGCTTACGTTCGCATGCGGCAACAGCACAAACGTGACGAGACTAACAAAAAAGCGTTTACGCACACTTCGCCGCGTACGCTACTTGGCGTTCTTCGTCTCTCGCAAGCTTTGGCCCGATTACGTTTCGCAGATGCTGTCATCATTGACGATGTGGATGAGGCGCTCCGTCTCGTCGAGGTTAGCAAGGCCAGTCTGTACGCGGATGAAAGGGGTCATGGAGATCAAACGCCCAGCTCTAAGATTTATCATCTTATCAGAAACATGGCTGCAAGTGGAGCTGCAGCAGTGGGCGAATCGAGTGGTGAATTGGACCTTCGCAGAGTCCGGGAGAGGGTTCTGGCCAAAGGCTACACCGACGTGCAATTCGACGAAGCCATCGATGAGTATGCTTTACTTGACGTTAGTCTGCACTCACTACGTTTGGAACATTAGAGCTAATCGGTATGATCAGGTGTGGCAAACTGCTGGTAATGGCACCCGACTAATGTTCATCAATGCCGGTAATGAGGACTTCGACATGGACGACGATATACATTCATGAACCGTACGCGACTGCCGCGTTCTCCTATTTTGGAGTGTTTGAGTGTCATCTAGGATCAGAAAGTCATGAAAATCCCTTTTTAGTTCTATCTGATTTGTTGACCTTAGAACTTCTATATAGTCGGACTTTGATCCCACAAAGCTATACTAACGTCAATTGTGATCTTATTTCAGAAAGGCTAGAGGTGTTGATCCCCAATGGGAAATGTACTCTTAACAGTGCGATCAATTAGCATGTTGAAATGAAGCTCCGCTATCTTAGCTAGCATTCGAGCCTTGAAGCGAGACTTTACACAAACAGTCTTGTCAGTCATAGGCGAAAGTCCACACAAATTTATTAAGCACGCTGGTTCGCACTGCAGTTTCACGGACACAGTGACGGCAGAGAGTGTCAAGATTATTGAACTACTACGTTGTATATATATATAGATGACCGTTGACGTTAGTACACCTGGTCGGGTCTTGTGTTTATCGTAAGATCACAGGCTTTCTTTTGCCTATGACCCAGTCATCAACCCTTGCTGTAATGCTCAGTCTTAGGGGTGGGACATACGTGCTGGTCATCATTCATTGAACCTCAAAGACATATATACGATGCTGATTTCAGAACAGGGCATATGGAAAGAATCAGTATTGGCGAATTAGGTGGCCCTTCTAGGGATATAGGGTCTTTGTACACCTAGTAACTTCCGGTATTGACGAATTATGGTTTATAAGGGGTCCCCTCTGTCTCTAAACTGTACTGCTGAGACTCCTCTACTTACTCGATTTATATACGCGTGAAACCGTCTACGTAGATCAACTTTGCAAGGTATTACTCCATTATCGAGTGCTTTTGTCGGCCATACTGGGCGTACACGTGAATACAAGACTCCTTCAAACTATCAACGAATCCTATTACCCCTCAGCTACACGTTTCCAAGGCTACCAATGTACTCTTGCCAGTCCATACCTACGCGATGACGTTCCACTTCGCATTACTATTATGTCTGCACCTTAGTTTGTACTGGTCCTTCTCCACCCTGTCCTGGACTGTCCAATGTAAATTAGGGGACATTTCTCTGACAGCTCTGTACCTTCCTAAATTCATGCGGACTTTCTTTTCCCAGCCGTCCTGATCTTTTAGTTGCACCCGCACCTTCACTGGCCATAGCTCCAAAATCCACCATCCCTTCGCCTGCACAAGCTGGTCGTTAATACCCGCCATAGAGTCAAGATAGTCTTCCATTTGCTCCGGGAGTAGATCGAGACTACCTATGTTCGCACGGTCGTGCTGAGTTGAGTCGTCTAGACCTAATGCAGTCGAACGACGTGTTATGGGTGGTATTGCACCTTGTTCGTATTTTTCCAAAAGAGTTGAGGATGGGCCAGTCCTAGGTCGTTCTGTGGGTTTGTAATCTGGCCAGAGAGTACTAAGATCCAATCCTTGTTCCGCCAGGGCAGATGTGCTGAACAAAATGCCAGTGTCGCATTCAAAACATTGCCGGATCATCCAGCGAAGGGGAATACGAGATAGCATGTGGCGTGTCTCGTTGGGTACTGCGCCGCCCCCAACGTCAGCGTGAGCTCCCATGAAGTAGCACTCTTTAGCATCTGTTATAGCACGCTGATGAGCTTTGCGCGTCCCGTCCAACTTTTCGAATTCTGCCTCCATGTCGTAGTGATCAATCTCAGCGGTATTGCTTCTCTTTGCTAAGCCGTCTGAAACCACGCCCTCGGTGGCTTTATTCTTCCTGATACTGCTAAATATGCCATACTTCCTCACCTCGCGCTCCAGCTTTCCTCGTGGTGTGTTGTCGATGGTGTCTTTTCTTTGCACTGCTGGATTCTGCTGTTGCCATTGGCACAGTTTGAACTTCGCACGATGCTCATCAAGGGCCATTGCATGCCGAAAAAAATGGATCGAGTTTGTAGGAGACTTGCTGAAAGGGAGCTTGCGAGGAATGAAACCGACACTTGCGACACAATCCCAAACACCTACGAAGTGGACGTTGACATTCGTGCAGAATGTCTTCTTGAACTGCGCACTCATTTTCCATCCTTCGACCGTGTCATCCTTGAAGAATGAATACGCAACTGTAACATGTCGGTGAGGAATGAATGAAGTCCATCGGTATACTGACAATTTACTTGAGCACCGTTACTGGCAGGTAGAAGGCCGACCTTGTGAAGCATGCCAGCTAGGCAGCGAACGGTATAAGCACCACGAGAGAAGCCGAATAGGCATATCTACTACTGTTAATTATATACTCGATCTTCTATGTTGTCGAACATGCCTTATCACCATCACGATAATTCTGCATCAAGAACTACCATAGTCAGTTTGATCAATCTACCAATTGGAGCTCGTCTTAACCTTGTAAGCATCCTTGATGTGGATCCCGAGTCCACTTCCTACAGCCATGTCAATAGCGGCCGCCATTCCATTGCGAAGCCCTCCAGCATCGTAAGTGCCAATGCCCGACTGATAGTATGTCACTTGCTTCGAGGGGTCGTGCTTCCTAAGGCAGGAGACGAAGTGAACGACGTTGCTGTTGTCGTTGTCGAATTGATCGCCAGTCCCATCGAGACAAATTACGAGCGTCCTTGTATGCTCATGAGACGCAGCACCATCTTTGAGTGCTCGAACTGCTGTTGGAAAGGGCTCTGCGACGTACTTGTCCTCGTGAGAACTCTTATGGTATGTGGATTGAACAGAGGTTCTCGGGACGTAGTCGCTAGGAAAGCTCATGGTTCACACGATCATGTAGAAGAAAAAAATCGCAAGTGCGACGGTGTATCGAAAGAGATGCACACAGCTTGCGTCGGACAGATGTTAATGCATTCATCTATACTATTCATATCACTCAAGGCCCCACCTATGGATTCGGCTCATCGTAATTTCGGGGGCGCAATATGCTGCTTAGGGATTGATTGAGACTCACACAGGGCAGGCCGCAGTTGTCGCCGGCCAATGGGTTATCAGTGATTCAGTTGTCAACTTCTCGATCGGATTGTCTTTCCAGGTGCTTGTTGAGGACCGGGCCCTGAGGGGCATTTTTGGGGGTTTCGGATTTGTTGCTTTTTTTTCATATAAACTGCAAAGGGGGGGGGGGGGGGGCTGGGGATTTTACTTTACAAACTGTGCGGCTAGAGCCAAAGCACTTTACCGCGCGGGAACGATATAGATTACGCACGCTAATCAGAGCCCGCTTGGTGGTATTCAGAGAAACATTTTAACGTAGGAAACATTCTCTTGTCTATACGATCTCGCTCAGTACTCATTTGTACTACACAGTGTAAGTCATGGCTCATCTTGTGGCATCACCTACGCGCGAGTCGTCACCCCAGTGTGGCCAGATCGATAACAACTCAGGCTTCTGCCAGCAACTCCCCTCAGTGCACAAACAATGCACAGGCAAAAGGAGGCGCCACTGTCACTGAGATTATGAACCTGGGTATCACAGCCCACTTGTCTTATGTTTCGCTGAAAAGGACCACTCGAGCAGTTGTGCTGGCGTGGCCCGTAAGAGGTCTAAGAACAACGCTTATGCCAATGCTAGCGTGAGTCAACAGACATAAATTAAAAAACCTATTCTGTGAGGAACCCATCACTCCTTGAGATAGCATTCACCAATGGGATCCCCCTCATCGCGATGCACCTTCCATCTCCCTATGCCTAGGTGTTCCGGAGCTTTCCGTACACCTCTTCCGCCTCCACCAACAATGAGGTTTCCGGGTCGATAAGCAGGATCTGCACGCATTCTCTTGATAACACTATTGTGAATGACTGCGTTGTGGGGAATGTCCCGTGTCTCACCTTTGGGCAAGGGCCAAGAAATGGCTCCCCAGGATCCATCAGCTCGAAGGTCCATTCTTCGAAAAGGCATGTACTCCATCATATTCCAGCTTATAACTCCTGTGGCGCCAGCTCCGTTGTTGAATTGTAACACGTCATGTATTTTACCCCTCGTAGCGGCGAAATCGAGTGCATCGTAGAAATGTGACTGTCGTAGAGTACCATCGATCGACTCATCTTTAGATCTTCCTGTTGAACTAGGCACCACATCGAAGTTCGGGCTATTCGTGCTGTACAGAAGAGACGGCTTGGCAGAGGTTTGCAGGTCCGACGAAGTTGGCGCGTGGATCGAGATTGCTGGAACATGCGCAAAATTTTTGTTATGTTGCTTTCCACCGCTCGAGGCTGAGATACTATCACCACTCCTATCTGCGTCGTCATGACAACAATTCAGAGATCTTAGTTTGACCTCGTCGAAGGACAGTCCGGCCTTTTGGGCTTCCCTGATCATCCAGACAAGGGGCACATGACTAAGTGCAGCAACTTCACCTTGGTGAAGTGGCCAGCCCCCTCCGATGCTGTAGTTAAATGGATCAGTATGGTCACACTAACGTACAGGTATCTTGAACATACTCAGCATGACATCCAGGAAACCAGACCTCCAGAATATCCTGATCCTGCTCCTCGTCGGAGGTCTCCTCGAGATGGAGATGGTGAGTGGCTTGAAAAGACGTCTGAGACACAGTACTTATACTGTGAGTATCCCCCTCTACGCTTGTCCTTAAACCTGGACTGAGAGATCGGACACCCGATGTCTCTGATGGATTTCTAAACCTCCGTGGAGGCTGCAACTCACTGGCACCGGCCATGTCTTTATGCCATGGCGTAGGACCAAGGGCCAGTCGACCACGTGTGTTGATATTTGGGGTTTGGGGACTTCCTTTCGGATCACTGAATTTTTCGCACGTCTTTCTGAAATGTCTATTGTAGTGCTCGCGTTTGTCGAGTCTCGCTTCTGAAATCAAGTCCTGGCGGAATTTTGCGCGCCTCTCATCAATACTACATGCGTGTCTGATAACCTTGGCGGTTGACCGAGCCGTATATGGAAATTTGCTGCGTTGCATCCAAGCCTGTATATGCCATTAGGTAGACGAACGTTGAATTTATCTTGAAATTATACATACGTTTTCGAATTTCGGAACGCTATTAACTGTGTCAAAGAGACCTACGAGGCAGGCGTTAGCATGTGTGAGAACCATCAGTATAGCCTTAGGATACCTAGAAACTTGAGCCTGTGTACGGGTCTGGAGAACGTCTCCCTGAATGCGCACATGAACTCTAGTAGAGCCTTCTTCTGTACCTTGTCCTCCTGTGTCTCATTTGTGCGGCATTGCCATTTCTGGAAAGTTTTCCAGGCGAAGTAGGCCATCTCCTCATTACCGGCACTCAACAAACCAACATGATCCAGCATTTCGGCCAAGAAACGCGCCGTATAAGCTCCACGACTGAAGCCGAAGAAGTATATGTCATCACCCGGAGAGTAGTACCGCATGAGGAACTGCAATCGGTCAGACGAAAGGCCCCCCTTTCATGGTTCTTAGTACCTTGTAGCCCGCCATGACATGCTGATCAAAAGAAGTGCCAATGGCTGAGTCCTTAGCCTTATTGTACCAGGATTTGAATCGAGACCATCGCGAAGTGTGAGATAGCGAGTTTGTTGTAACATATGTGCCTATGCCTGCACGTGATCAGTGAGTCGAGGCCAGTATAGAACGATTCAGTCGGGCATTGTTGCTGACCTGGCTGATAGTAATGAAATTGATCCTCTGAATTGCGGGCAAGGCAGCGATAAATCTTCAGAATATTTGAATCTGCGTCAGTGCCAGAGAACTTGTTCCCAGTCCCATCGAAACAAAGGACGAATTTTTTTCGAGAACGCTGCCATCTTCTCGTGTTATAGACAGGCTGGGCATGATCAACTACCTCTGGATCCGAACTTCCTCGTCTGTAATGCGAATTATTCATGTCTCCAGGCGGTGTCCTTGAGGCCATCATGAGTCGCTGGTGGCGGAGGCTGTATGATTATACGGAAGTGAACCGAGCTACTGGGTGAACTTGAAGGGCACGTTGGGCAATGCCACCTCCTCACAAGGTCTTGCTGAAGTTAAACATCAGAGCCTAATCATCAAAAGACCTTCAGAATTACGACCGTCAAGGTAACTTCAAGGTAGTTTACGGATGTCATGGCAGTGCAAGCTGGCTACAAGGCAGGAGCACAAGGCAGGAGCACAATGAACGCAACTCTCTTGAATGGACTGACGGTATTGTGGAGATACAGGACGTATCTATCGCTGCAGTGCCCGACTTCTTCGGCCAAAAAATACAGGCTATCATACAGGCCCAAGGCGCCTCCACGTCAAGCGCAGGATGTGTTGATTGGCTTGTGCACTGTGACACTTTTCTATACCCGACTTTGGGAGAAAAGCCACAGAAAAATGCCCACGTAGCCGCAGGCAGTGGTGATGTCGATTGGGGAGGGGATGATGGAGTACATCTGCATCAGGGCGAGCTTTGGACATTTCAGCCCGCCACAGAGCTTCAGATCAGCACAAGGAGATGAATTTTAGGAAGCCCGAGCGCGGATAGATGGCGCTAATGCAGCAACCCAAACACTTGTTGACTCACCCTCCCTGTGCGTGTGTGCATGATGCATCCTCACCGACTAGCGAGAAAGTTAGCAGCCAATTAGCTTCCGTATTATGCTTCCCGGTGATGCGGGTCCCAGTATCTGCTCGGGAAACGGACGGGACGGGCTCGCCCATCCCTCCTACACCCTCTCGTCTGATTTGCTAGTAATACACACGTACATACACACGTCGCACGAACAGAGATACTGTGGCTCTTCAGGCTTTGAGTTCGGTTAGTGGTTATGACAGAATAAGCAGGCGCTGGGCAGTATCTATGAATGCAGTACGGACCATAAGCTCGGACAATTCAGAAATCCTTCAGCTTCGGATGTAGCCTACTACTACATACTACATTGGAGAGACCAGGTCATGTTCGTATCGAACGATCTGCTAGTCTTATGGCCCCGGCTACTCTGCTTCCCACTATTTCACGCCTCACGTACATTCGGTCTATTCTCAGGGTATGATGTTGTCAAACCCGCGTACCGTTTGTACAAGGTGCGCGACGCTTGATAGTGCCAATCTTCAAGTAGGTTCAATTCATTCTAGCCAATGTGTACCCTGCTGACTACTAGGAACCAGATGATTCGGCGATGCTTCTGTACATTGAGTCTTTGACTGCAGGACGATACAGGTCCTATAGCACAGGTGCTTTCTGTACAAGGATATTCCACTGCACATGACTAGATTCACACAATGAATACGAGGCAAACGGCAAGCTTTCTGCAGGGCTTCGTGGGATCTCAACATCAATATCCATATTCAATAAATTCATAGCACCAGGACGCGAAGTGATCACCTATAGTCTCCACCCAGGCTTGATTAACATTAGTCATGATGAACGCCCCCCGGGCCCCCCCCCCTCCTCTCCCTACATCCCTCTCTTTCCATGGCTAGATATCTGCGTCTTGCCAAGTCGGAGTCTTTAAGCTAAGTAGCTAGCTAATTATGAGAGCAAGGTCCCAAAGCTTGCCAAAGCTATAGCTCTTGCGAGGTTCTCGAGAAACATTCCACGAAAGAAAGCTCCGTGTGCCCCTCCTCCTAATCAATTCTTCACCTCATTCATCTTATCGCTACTAGTAGACTTCTATCGTATCTTGAAGGACATACCTGCTCAAACAACATGCCTGGGCAACTGAAGTCCTTTCTGGGCTCCATGAAGAGACGACCCACGAAGGCCGCCGATGGGAGATCAGATGAAGCCGCTGCCGGCGCAGCAAAAAATGAGAAGACCTCAGTTGTCCATGATTTAAAACATCTTGGTCTGAAAAATACCAAAACCGTTGCCGAGGCCCTCACAACCCTGGCTGCTGGGAAACCTATGGATGACAAGGAGCTCTTACTGGAGAATGGTGTCTCTATGCTTCAGGGACTTCCACTTAACAGTGGCCTGAGTGAGAAAGTTTCAGATGGCTTCATCAGCATGCTTTGGAATGACCTACCACATCCTCCACCCACGTTGGCTGGTCCCACAACGAGATACCGGACACACGACGGCAGTGGTAACAGTCCTTGGAACCCAGAAATGGGCAAAGCGGGCTCACCATACTCTCGTAGTGTTCCGCCCATGAAGCCCAAAGGCCCAGCATTACCAGACCCTGAACTTGTGTATGAGAAGCTCATGAAGCGAGATGGTCCATTCAAGGAGCACCCGTCCGGTCTTAATAGACTGTTTTTCTCATTCGCTACGGTTGTTATACACGAATGCTTCCAAACAAGCAGGAAGGACGCATGGATCAACGAGACTTCGAGTTATGTAGACCTAAGTACTCTATATGGCAACACTGGGAACGAGCAAAGGCGAGTACGTACATATAACAATGGTCTAATTTACCCTGATTCTATCGCGTCAGAAAGAATCATGATGATGCCTCCTGGTGTCGTCGCGATTCTAGTTATGTTTTCAAGGAATCATAATCAGATTGCGCAAAATTTATTCTTAGTCAATGAGGATAGCAGATATAAGCCCTGGGACTCTCTTGATGAAGATGGAAAGAAATGGTAAGATTCATACATTAATATATGGATATTATAACTGATGTATGCTTTAGGCAGGATGAGGACATCTTTCAGCTGTCCCGCAACATAAATGTCGGGTTCTTCGCCACTGTTGTTCTTAAGGACTACGTTGCGGCTATTCTCAATACTCCAAGAGCGGACTCAACTTGGTCACTTGACCTCGGGAAAGAGATAAAACAAGCAGGGTCACGCGTTGAACGTGGTAGTGGAAACGTCGTTTCGGTGGAGTTCGCTGTGCTCTATCATTGGCATGCAGCGCTCAGCGCTGCGGACGACAAATGGATGGAGGATATTATCCGAGCCGCTCTTCCGGACCTGGGGCCAATTGACAATATGACTGTGGAGCTTTTCCATAAGGTCATGATGGTCCACGGCCATAAGTTAATGGAAACTCCTCCTCAGAGATGGACATTTGGCGGTCTACAGCGGAATGAGAGCGGTAGTTTCAACGATAATGATCTCGCGGGGATCATCAAGAGTTGTATCGAAGAACCAGCACATGCTTTTGGTGCGCATGGCACACCAGCCAGTCTAAAAGTAGTGGATATCATGGGCCAGCTACAGGCCCGTAATCAGTTTAACGTGTGCACAATGAACGAGTAGGTCTTATCCACTATACTATTTGAACATTATTTTGATAAGTCTTCGCAGATTTCGCCGATATCTAAACTTGAAAGCATATGACAGCTTTGACGAATGGACCGATGACAAGGAAACCGCCAGGGCAGCGGAGCTTCTTTATGGTCACATAGAGAATCTTGAATTGTATCCAGGCTTAATGGCTGAATGCACCAAACCGGCGATGCCTGGTAGTGGGGTATGTCCAGGGCAAACCACAGGACGCGGTATTCTGGATGATGCAGTCTCTCTTGTTCGTGGTGATCGGTTTCTGAGCTATGACTTTAACAGCAACACCTTAACAAATTGGGGAGTCTCTAAGCTCGCCGCGAGCCCGCCAGGATCTTACGGAGGTATGCTTCCGCAGCTCCTCTTCAACGGTCTTCCTGAAGCGTTTGCGGGTACATCTCCTTACGTCCTGCTTCCATTCTACACCCCTAAGGCTGTCAAAGAAATTCTTACGAACAATAAGGTGATCGATTTATACGATCTCACTCGGCCGGACAGTGATCGTACTCGTCTTGTGAGCGTCCAAACTCACCAAGCCTGTCAGAATGTGCTCGAAGACCACGAGAATTTTCACGCTATAGCTTCGATTGCCACCGAGAGCCTACCCGACAGAACTAACAGACACTCCCTGGCCAATGGCAAGAGTACTGCCAACCGGCGGGAGGCTATTCACAAAGCCTTCTTCAACCACGGATTCGAGCAGAACGTAACAGAATTTTTTAGTACGAACGTGGCGGCTCTGATCAGGAAGCATTCTCTGAGCTTCTCGAGGAACAGGAATTCAATCAACATCGTTCGCGATGTTACGAACATAGCTCCAATTCTCTACATTGCTAGACGAGTCGCTATTCCATTGAAAACCCAGGACTGCCCAAAGGGTCTAATGTCAATATACGAAACTTTTACCGTTCTCCTGGCTGTCTATCTATATCAGAGCTTTAACGTACTCCCCGTCAATGAGTGGAAACTCAGAGATGGTGCAAAAAGATCGTCAGAGCCTCTCCGCGCCGTCTTTGAGGCACACCTGAAGACCCAGAAAGGTCTTAAAGAGAGTGTGGTTGACTGGCTTGCGAAGGGCAGTTCCTATGAGGTCGGACCAGATGCTGACGCACTATACCACGCTTTGAACGAATCCGGACTTCCTGTTAGTGACTCAGCTACAGAGCTTATCGACCTGGGAGCTTCAATTGCTGGCAAATTGACCCATCAAGCGTCACTTCTTATTGATCTTTTCCTTAGTCGGGGATACGAACAGTACAAAGAACGCATAGTTCAGCTTGCTCATATGCCAGTAGCAGAATCCGAGATAGAGCTGCGAGGTTTCGTGCTTGAAGGTATGCGGCATGCTAGTGTGAGCCCTGGCCTACCTCGCGTTGCTACAAATGATGTCTCGATAACAGACGGCACCCGTGGATTAGTCAACATCAAAGCAGGTCAGACTGTCATTGTTGCAACATCTAAGGCCGCTATGGTAAGAGCATTCTATGTCCAGCCAGATGACATTTATTGACCATCCATAGGACCCTGTTGCGTTCCCTGAACCTGAGAAGTTAAATCCGCAGCGCAATTTCACGGATAACATGCTTATGGGCTACGGACTACAGTCACAGTTCGGAACCCAACTTGTTGCCGCTTCACTTGCTGCCACAATCAGGGAGGTCTTTAAACTTAAAAACTTGCGTCGTGCCCCTGGAAAACAGGGCTCGCTCACGACGACTTCAAACGACGTCGCTGGGGTTACACTGCGTCACTACTTGGATGCCACTGCAAGAGAGGGTCCTATACCCACCTCACTTGTCTTAGAATATGATAATTAGTTGATTACGAAGATTTAGTATATAGCTTTACTATCATATCATAATAAATAGTTTAATATATCTAAATCCTTTACTTTGATATATATTAAATAGTAGATTAGAGTATAACTTAAAAATAGAACAGAAATATAGAAGTTACAAGTAGATAGTATATATTATCTAAGTATATTTCATCTGAATACTAGTGTATGTGTATATCTACTGTTATATAATAGCTTGATTGCTTTTACTTACTTTAGTATATATTTCTCAATAATACCTTTCTATTTACTATAGTTAAATTAATTCTATTTCTAGATTATACTTCCCTAACTGTAGTGTAGCTAGAATCATATCAAATAATCTAGCTAATTCACGGTTGTCTGTTACCTTTCACCTGCTAAGGAATTCTATGTCTTTGATAATTGCGAGGAAGGAATTCGAGCGATATGAAGAAGCATACACGGAGCGGTTAAAGACACTAATAGACGAGAAAATGCAGGCGGGGCAGGAATGTTTATCGAAGATGGGAAAGAGGTACATAATTAGCGAAGATAGACCTCTAGAAGATAACATGACGGAAGACACAGGTACTAGCGTAGTAAACCACATCTTGCACCACGTCCCGTCTAATATGTATATACGCCCCATACAACCTTTCATTAGTATTCAAACGGATCATGAAGAATGGTAGGATTCCCGTTCATCATCCTCTTGTGCCCGGTCCACCTTCCCTTCTCCTTCCTTCTCTTTAGAATGGCCCGTCCAGACTTTGTCTTCATTCGATTCATCAGGCCGTGTCTCCGCTTTCTCTTCCAATGAGTCCATCCGTTCATGGTATTACGAGCCGCGTATCGAACCTGTATCGATACGAATGCGGGATGTGAGGATATGGCAACGTCTGGGCCGAACTCTGGTAGTCTTGTTCTCAAAGTGTCCGAAAGCTCTTGTGTTGTGCGGCACGATGTCGATTGTTGTGGTAACCTGGGACGGTGACATGTGAGGAAAGATATTGGTCGAGCATCCACTTGGGGATTAAAACTAATGTGAGGTAAGCTTGTGGGTAAAGAAGATACTGGCAATGTTGCGTAGCTCACCAGTGCTTGGACATCTGTAGTTGGCGTGACCACGACGGAAGGGAAGTTTGTGATCTTGCGAGCGATCGAAATGAATGAATGAATACCATATTGAGGTTCTATAAAGCTCTGCACTCAAGTTTCTCGGGCGAGGCTCCGGGTCGATACCCTGAAGTAACTCCTCAGGTTCGCAAAGGTTCGGGAGAGGTCGGCGCAAAGCGACTTAGCCAAGTGGAGTTAGTTTCTACGAAAAGTTTGGACCCACTCTCAAGCTTTAGTCGGGAATAAAAAAGGACCGCAATACCGCTCAATAGACCTCTGCCTCAATGTACCTGAGATCTAGCAGCAATCACTCAGTATACGATTTCGATTCTTTACCTCAGGCAGCCCGGACTAAGGCCATCGTCGAAAGATAGGTCTACATCAACATGGTGCGAGGAGACGCAGCCCGCTTCCAGTTCCTCCCCCCACATCGCACTCTTCCCTCCACTCCTGTCCCACTCGCAGATGCAGAGAAGATGCTCACCGCGTATCTCGACAAGACCGACTATGAACCACACCTTCACCCAGACGCAATTCTCAACGCCGTTGGCATACAGCTGTCTCTTTCTAGTGGCACAGAAGGCGGACTGACTTTACATAACCTACGGCGCATCCAGGCCGGCTTACGAGGAGAGAAACTTGGACCAGGGACATCGGCTGATGAAGATGCGAAGGGAAGCTTGCAGATTCAGCCTGCTGGTCAGGAAGAGGTGCGCGATGAAGAAGATGTTCTGGCTTCTGAAGATGAAGCTGCAGCTCTAGAAGAAGATCCGCTGCGTAGACCGATGCCAGCAGAGGAGAAGCTAGTGGACGGCATGGCAAGTGACCGCGAGTCAGAGCATGACGGCAAGAGTCAATACATCACTACTCAGCCGAAAGAGACCCAGGAGCCAGGTGATGACGAGGCACTGGTGACAGCGATCACTGCGAAGAATGAAGCTGGCAAGAAACGGAAGAAGGTAGAGATAGGGAATGGCAGCGCTGCGAAAACATTCGAGACTTCGAGAGAGAGGAATCTTGAGAAAAAGAAGAAAGACCAATCGAAGAAGTCGATAAATGAGAAAAAAACAAAAAGTGAGAAGAAGTCGAAGAAAGCCGATGTATAATTTCTACGACTAGCTCACGAAAAGGTTGATGTAACATGTCACGAACACCAGTGGCCAATGATTCATTCTGTGAGATATGGAACGCATCACTTGAAGCATTATTCTATCCATCGGCAGGGCCTCACATATTTCCGACGCCAGTTGATCCCAGCTCACAGTTCCCTTCCAGATGCCTTCTCCGCCCGCACCTGATCCGAGTCTTTCGACACTGGCCCATTCTCACCAGTCCAGCCCATGGCTCTCAACCGCTCGGTCAAGATCGGGTGCGAGTAGTGGAAGCTCGAGTACATCCAATCAGCGTCCATACTTGACAGATTCGTAATCTGAAGCTTGATCAAGGACGCAGCCAATTCGGTGGTATATCCGAGCTTGACGGCGAAGGCATCTATATGATGGTCAGTAACTAGTCAAAACCGGATAAAAAACAAAGTTTACCAGCCTCATACTCCATGCTCCTGGTCAGCATATTCATGAGCAGCTTGATGACTGAATCCGTCGGTGATAGGATCGAACTAAACAGCAGGAAACCGATGATGATGGGCTGTTCCTTGTAGAATCCAAAAGATTGGTAGACGGAGGTATTATTGACGAAGGCGGAGAAAAGGGCGAATAGATAGAAGGTATGGACTTGACTGATAATCAAGAGTTTGCTTGTGTGCCCCATTTGCCAGTGCCCGAGTTCGTGTGCAAGAACAGCAGTAACTTCTTGATCAGAGCTCTTTTCCAAGAGGGTATCGTATATAACGATTCGCTTCTTCCAGGGCATGCCCGTGAAATATGCATTGCTGTGTGCACTACGCTTGCTACCATCAATAACCTGAAGCTCTCCAAGAGGGAACTTGAGCTTCGATGCGAGTGCCTCAACAGACTGCTTGAGAGGACCAGGCTTGAGAGGGGTAAGTTTGTTGAATATCGGAACGATAAGGATCGGATAAACCGTGATGGCCGAGACCTGAACCACAAGCATGAAGACCCAGAGATAGTAGAAGAAGCTTTGGCCGGTCTTTTGGATAATCTTCAGAAATGCTGCGCCCAATGGGACACCGAACGCAATACTGAGAGCCTGCCCCTTGAAGATGTCTGCAACCCAAGTATTCATAGTAGTTTTATTGAACCCGAATGACTCTTCCAAGACGAACGTATGGTAGTATGAAAACGGCAGATTGAAGAGCAAGTCGAAGAAGCTCATCGCAAATATGAAGACTAGGGAGTGCGTGACTTCGCCATGCAGGCGGACGGGAAAGTAATTAACGAGTAGAAGACCGGTGATGGCCCATACTTTCGGGAAAAGGTCGAAATGTATCGTGGCTAGGTTCTTGGCTTGCTGGAAAATGGAGGAGATGAAGCCGTATTGAGCCTTGGCGCGTCCATATTTCTGTCGCGAAGGTCAGCAGGAGATGCCTCGTGCAGGCAATGTAATATTGTATACCTGGCTCTTCTCATATGTTTCTTGTGAGACTTCCTCTGAAAGGGCTTTAGGACGGGTATTTCGGCTAAGAACGCGATATTGTCGGTACAACAACCAATTTTCGAGAGCAAATTCTCCAAGTGAAAAGCCGATGATAAGCTTCTTCCAGGGGAAAAGCGGCCGGTCGAGGAAGCTCGCCAAACGCTTAGAGAGATCAGCCCTAGAAAGAAATCCATAGTGTCGACAATTAACTTACCTGTAGAAGGTCCGATATCATGGTACATGCGAATGGATTCTTGCTAATAGTAGAAGTAATGTAATACGTCTATCACCTATGAAAAGAGACGTTGTTATTTCCGTAGGTGTCTACGCTAAAGTTTTAGTATAAACGCTCGGACTACTCTAGATCTATTAGATAATCTATTAATCATCTAATAGATTTATTATTATTATTATAATTTTTATAATTATTATTATAATAGCGATAGGTCTAGATATATATAGAATAGATATAGATAATAATAAACTATAGTTAGATAATAAATACTATATATATAATATCTCTCTTTTTAAATTATTCTTTTATCTATAAGATAGCGGGCTCTATATACTAACTATCTATACTAAAAGAACCGAATCTTAAAGCTACTACTTTAAGGGTAGAGTATACTACTTATATATAACTACTACATACATGAATCGACTAGTAGATTACGTGCTACTTACGTATCTATATTACTCTATAGAGCTTTAAAGGGTAATTTAAGGTAACTTATATATAGACTACTAAGAAACATCTATACTATAAAGATAATTATAGAATTCTAGTATCTACTTACTAATTATAAGTAGACCTTATTAATTACTTATAATAACTATATAGAATTATAATAATTAGAGATTCTAGTTTATATATTCTAATTAGATAGTAGAGACTATTTAAGAAGTTATATAATACTAGAATATAGTACTTTCTATTTCTTTCTACTCTACTTTTTATCTAATCTACTATACTATAGTAATGAATAATCCTTAATAATCTAAGGTAATTCTAGTAGTCTAATTATAGGCCTAAGTCTAGCTAGAACGCTTGCCTTAGTAATAATAATATAATTCTACTATGAATATTACTTGCCTTGTAGAAATCCATGTCTAATAATGTGGCTAATATGCACCCTAAAGCACATGATATGACTGCCTGCTGCTTGCACGCACACACCGTCTAAGCCATGGGCAGGACGATATTTATAGAGAGTATATCAGTAGTACTCAATAGACACGCTTCTTACATACGTCTACTCAATAATTTAGAATTGTATGTCATGTGCCGAATGTCGGTGTAGTAATATATATCGATTACTACGAGCGTTTCGAATACTAAATTCCTTCTGTGCTAATGCGAATCCCCATCGAATACCAAATATATATCTCATGCAGCCTTAATGATTCCTTCCTTCAAGCGAGTGCCCGTGGTGAGGGTATGTCTCTAAGTCCTACCACAAGATGCCCCTCCATGCCCAAGTCCCATCCACATTCCGCCACTTACCCTCCTCTGTACCTCCAACACCCTCCCAGCCCACCATAACGCCCAGGATCCTACATGCTGCGCTGCCAACTGCACAAATCACCGCATCTGCCCTTCCAAGCACACTCAAATCTAATAAATAGCTCCTCGCTAGCAACTCTCGTAACCTCATCGCCTCTTCGCCCACCGGACTCTCAAAGCTGTATGATCGCGCGTGCTCTTTATCCCGTGGCATACCTAGACCCCAGAACATGCTCGCATAGAACCCGCCTTCCCAGCCAGACACATCGTCGACAAATTTGTTGGGCCTGGTGCCTTGTTTCGTTGCCGAGGCCAGAAGCTCAGATTTGGTGGCGAGTACGATATGGGACTGAGCACGGGTGGTGGTCGGGGGTGCGAGATCGGAGGATTTGTAGAGCGCGGCGTCGTCGGATGCGAGGACGAGAGACGAGGAGTAGTTGTGCATAATTGCTGCGATGGAGTCCGCATCCGTAGAAATGGGAGAGACAGCGGAAGGGGCAAGAGGGTCCCGGCGGTCGACCGGGGTGCCGGGAAAATGGTGACCAGATGCGAAGTAATTCGTTACAAGTGATACCGCAGAATCAAGGAAACGTGCTGTAGGTAGGTAATCTTTTGAGTATTGGTATTCAAAAGGATGCCTGTCGCCTCTACGAATGTGTATGGCAATATTGAGGCCACCAGCAGTGGTGGTAGGATTATACAAGGACTGAACGCGCTTCTCTACGTAGGTCGCATCATCGTAGCGAAGCTTGAACAGAGCATCATAGCCAGTGCGTAGTAGAGCGAAGATCTTATGCTGACGCTGAACATTCATTCTGCGTGGATCCTCCCATTCATCTATGAAAGCATGGCCGAAGGTGTGCTTAGTGATGGCCGCAGAAACGACAATATGGCGAGCAGTGTGGGGGCATGGGACGATCTGGGATGGTCGAGGGGAACGACAGTTCGGCTTAGGAGGAGACTGGAAGTACGTCGAGTAATTTCCATATGCCCAGCGTGAATCATCAATGAAGAATGCTCGTCCTTCATGTTGAGCCAGACCATAAGACATCCACAAACCGAGTAAGGCGTTTCCCATTCCTGCATCGGATGTCTCCAGCACATATGTTAAGCTCTTCTTGCAAACGTCGGTGCCATCATTCGGTCGAGTGTGTTCGTCCTGTTCAGAGGGCAAGAGACCCTGCTGCCAGGCTTCCAAGACATCTACAAAATGAGGATCCTGCTGATAATAGCCTTGGTGTCTTTTTGAGTGGGATTTGGTCTGCTCTGCGACATGATGTGACATCTCTACTGATTGCAAGCATATTTCTGCATACTGTGATGGTTTTAACGGGAAGCCAAGCGTCGATGGGATGTATACGGTCCATTTAGTTCTCCTATTGTGATCCTTGACAATGATTGCACAAGGTTCATCTGGCAACTCAGATGCTTCCACCATGTCGTATTGACGACCTTTTCCATGCAGCGGGCTTTCATTCTCTGATCGGTTGTAGGAGTACAGCAGATTAGTACCCCATAGTGCTAATGAAAGCGTACCGAGTACAATCAACAGCAGTCTTCTGAAAAGCCGTCCTCTACTTCCTGTAGCTGCCTTTCCGGCAAGTTCCCGATCCGGCACAGGCAGTCCTGGCGATGGCGGCGGTGAGCGTTCTAATAGAAAGACACGGTGTTGGGAGAATGGGGTTTTGGGGGATAGGAATGAAGATGTTACGGCAGTGGGACGGAGCTGGTCTGTTGGGAGACTCAAATTGTTGTGATTGCGCCGCGAATGCATGCTTCTACTGTCACGGGAAGCGGTGACGAGCATTTGACAAGAGCGGTCTAGAGGTGGTTCGGTGTTGTCAAGCGTAAGGAGAAATATTCTCCGAAACGATGATGGTCACGACGATTAGTGGCACGTGTTGATGGAGCAATTTCTTCCGGACGGCAAGGAATGAGTGTCCGTGTAACGATCAAGGCGGTATTAGGTCGGTGTGGCGCGAAGTATATACAGCAGAGGGTAAGCTCCGAAGATATCGAAGTATAAATCGAGAATGCTAGCATGTAGAGGTAGTGTTGGCTGCGCAAATGTTGAACGTTTCGGAGATCGAAGATACAGGAGGAGAGAGTATAGGCGTCGCTGTGGAGTTGGGAGTAGACAGGAGCCAGTACGATGCTCCAACCGTTTCAGATAGCCAATCTTCAGAGGTCGCCTGCGGCGCGAGACACAGCAATAAAGCAATACGATACCAGCGATGGAGAAAATAGTAAAAGCAGAAGCAGAAGTACATAATACATAAGGATAGAAACCCTCGGGACGTTACTTAGCGGAGACAAAACGGGAGACGATATGGCAGTTGCGTGAAGATTACTAGAGAAAGCATACAACATATACCTGGGTGATTCTGATACATTTCATACGTTGTTGATACGTGATAGACTTTTTAACAGTTCGTCAAATCAGCGGGCAGTCAGGTGTTACTCAGGGCCATAGCTTCGTTCAGCAATGACAATGATAGAGAGATAATTATAGTGATAGTAGTGATGACGAGGACAGTGCTAGTGACAATCATAAGTGACAGTGACAATGACAATGCGAATGACTATGACTGGCTCGGGGAGATGCTTACGTACACAACCTGAAACTCAGGGGGAAAGGGGGGTGACCATTACAAGGTTTATGACTGGCCTTGTCACCTTATCGCCTTGTCGCCTTGTCGCCTTGACGCCTCGGTGCCTCGAAAGACGACATTAGACAAGACATCAATGCCTGACCAAAAGCACGCTGTGCAATGCCCACGATAACAACTCCAGACAGAAGTTCGACATGCCAACACTGATTCTGAGTACCACCTCACATATTTCGCGTCTCATCACGTGTACAGCAAGGACGCACAGGCAGACACCGAATCAACCACATAACGATAATATGCATTTGGCTACACAATTATTAGTGCCTTCCCATATTTAAAAGACCCTGTCATGAACGAGGAATGTGTCTCACGTCCGTCTAGTGGGTGTCTATCGTACAATGTAAAGAAACAAGTAGACGAGCCATAATTATGCTTATTGTCGCAAGTCTGCAACAGTCGCGCATTATGCCGCCTGTACGGCTCGGTAACTATTATCAAACCAGTACTACAAAAAGAGCCGTTGTTGCTCGCCATCGCTTAAACACGCAGACAAAGAAGATGTTGCCCAAATGGCAGACCGAGACAGAAGAATAGCATGTTCAAGTGAACAAAAAAGGAACAGACATCCTGCAGGGTATCATAAGCATCCTCGCTTCGAAGCATGGACGGAGTAAAAAATGGACATGGAAATGAAAATATCGTCAATACCGACCCGCATTCACAGCATTCTGAGGATTGCTGTCCAGGGCCTAGATTAATTGACCAAGTCGCACCGGGTCCCTTGAGTCGCAACTCCCATGTAGGTCTACGTAAAGGTCGTGTAGTGTTGTGTGGCCAGCACTAATTAGTGCCAAAAAAGGTCCTATTATTCCATGTGTCTACCTCGGCAGCAAGGGATCGCTGGCTCATTGAGCTTCACTGACGACCTTTAGAGTGCTACCTCGACGTAGAATATGGTTCGTGTTGCCCCCCGCTGCCGTTTCCGTAATCATTTCGTCCAGAATACGTGTCATCTCTTCCACCCCTTTTACCTTCTGGCGCTTCTCCGTGAGCAGGCCAAGACCAACAGGACTTGTGGGTGGCGTGTGTCTGAAGCCGCTACTTGCATTGCTACCACCCTCGCTCCGCTGATGTGAGACACGTCTGCGAGCTTCCGGTGATGTTCTGCTGGTCGGCGTCGACGTTTCGACTCTGAGGTCTGCTACATCCCGCTTTCTAGCTGCAGACCGAAGTGCTGTAATCATGCGGTCCTTGTCATCTAGACGTGCCCTCAATTCCGCAATTTCGGCGTCCCTCTCTTTGACTATGGTCTCCATGCTTCCTTCTTCTCCATTCCCCATCCGTTGAGCCAATCCCATCGACACACGAGATTGACTGGATCGTCGAGCCTGTAGTAGACGTTTTTCGAGAGTGCTGATGTAACGGTTTTTGTCAGCCAGGTCGGCCTGCAGGGCTCGGACCTGGATAGCCGATGATGCAGTGCCGTCGCCATTGTCACCAATTGCGTCTTCCTCTTCCGATCCTGCATCACCATTCGCACCATTGCCCTGTACTGTTCCGAGCGAGTCTCGCGACCCTCCTGATGCGGTTCTACCTAAGCTGGGCACTTCAAGCGCGTGACTGGCTGTTGAAGACCTTGCTGATACAGGCCTAGAATCGATCGTTGCGACGGAACCTCGATTGCGCGTACTCAGTGCGGAGAAAGTTCGGGTGGTATTGTTGACGCCAATAGACTTGGAGCTTAAGATGAGCCGATTTAGATGTTCAATACGTTCCTTAAGCGCTGTCCTTGCTAATTGCATTTCCAGCATTTGCTCTTCATGGCGATTCTCCGCCTCGACTTCTCTCACCTTTTCCTCCTCCTCCTCGTCCCTCTGCTTAGTTTGGGTTTGAGCCTCTTCGAGTTGCTTTCTGAGCTCGGTAATTTCGATACGATATCGGTCTAGGAGAGCAAGGCTTCGAGCATCTACGCCGCCACCAGCTTCCTCTGCCTTCTTCGCATGCGACACAATATTGTTCTTCGCTCGAGACGCGAATTTGAGGGTGTTCAGTGTCTCTGCGGTATGATTGTGGGCCGCGGCTACGCTGCCTGCAGATCCGATCTGAATGGTGCAAAGGATGCTGACAAGGGAGTTGCCGGATAGTGCGGGTTGAAGAAGCCGAGTCAACTTGCTGTCTCTATAGGGAAGATGCTTAGACTTATCGACTGCTTTCTTGTCACCCGGTCGCTTGTCCTCTGTCTCACCTGACAGATTTGCAATGACTGTTCCCAATGTAAGTAAACTTTTGTTAATGTGTGCGCCCTCAGTTCTTCTGGCCTTATCCTCTGCTGCTCTTTCGGAACCCGCCAGGTCAATCAGACTGAGCGTGGATACCCGGACGCCGCCGGGAGTTATCGCGGTGCTTCTCTTGTCTGCAAGCGAGCTTCCGTTCACGCGTTCACGACTTTCTACGACGATCTGAACAACAGCATGACTGCGGGAGCTGCGAGCGTTGAACTGGGTTCCAGCAACCCTTCGAGCACTGTCACCTCTGGCAATGACTCTCAAAAGCTGTGTAGGACTCTGCACAATCTCTTCCTTCAACGGTGTTGCGTAAACACCTCTCTTGCTGTCCTCCCGAAGTTTAATTTCGACTTGATCCCCGCCAGGTTGTCCATTAGGCCCGACTGGAGCGGGAGTAAGGAGATCGTTAATCTTTTCATTGTATATTTCCAGGTAGCTCACCCGCAATAGAAACTCTCGATGGGGCGTTTCGCGGATGTATGAGAAGATATCGGTAATGGCCAGAGGGATTACACCCGGCGAAGATGCGGTTCCTTGCATAGAAAACGTTTTGCCTGTACCAGTCATCCCGTAAGCAAAGACAGTTCCATGATAGCCCTCCATAACACGGCGAACCAGACGCTTAGCTGCAGCATCATACACTCGTGAGTTATTGTCATGTGTGGCGAATACATTATCTAGGACTAGTTAGGCTTGGGTCCGCGAGGTAGTCGAGGATTAGATGACTGACCATATATGTATTCACCCCCTTCTTTGCCCTTGTAAGAGATGAGTGATCGTCGGCCATCGACCATCCATTCTAGTTCCGGACGTGCTCCATCGCTGCCAGCATCTGGCCTCACACGGACACTGACTGTGACATTGCCTTTTCCGTCTTTTCCAAGCTTACTATCTGAATGGCTGGCTCCCTCTCTTCCACGCACATCATCAAGGTCCAAGTCATCGAATGTGGTTGCGCTTGTAGCGTACGAATCTTGAGCAGAGGAATTGCGGCTATGCGGAGGAGAGGGTATGCTGAGAAGTCCGCTCCCAGCCATCGTCATGTCCCCATTGGCGTTGAACAGGCTCGGAGGAGACATTGGAGATCTCATAGAGGCTGACCGCACCGAGCCAGTTGACATTTTGGAGCTGCTTCTTCTGAGACTACTACCACGGTTGGGAATTCCTCCTACGCTTGGAGGGGGCATTTTCGAAGAAGGCGTCGAAGTGCAAGAAAGGGGACTAGAAGGCTTGGATGCGGAGGCTATACCGCGCGGGGGCTGTGGAAAAGAACCAATACTTATGGTCTTGCGTAGCTTTCCAGGAGGAGCGATTCCTGAGGGAGTATTGGGCGCGGTTAAAGTAGGGAGTGGGGTTGTGGAATCTTTCTGCGGACGCTTGGTTGGCAATGCGGACGATGAGACGGCACGCGTCGCATTCTGTGATCTCAAAGACGATACAGAAGCCCGAGGGGAAGCTGTTGAGGCATCTGGGAGAGTAGATGTGCTGTCGCGCAGTTTCGCCACGGGCAGTGAAGGCAGAGGGGCGTTTGGCGGGCTGGCAGACGGCCGGGAAGGCCTTGGGAGTGTCGTAGCCATGCTAGTGGAAGATGAAGACGTGATTGGAGCGTCGAGATGCGTTATAGAGGAGGTGTAAGATAGAGTTTCTTTTTAGGAGGCAAGAAGTAGAGGGCGCTGTGGCATAGCTTGAAGTTACTTGACCGGCGCGATCCAGTTGCAATGACGGACAGGAAGCAGCGGTCTGAGTGTTTGGCAGGTGTTCCTGGCTTGTCAGGGAAGATTAAAAGATTGACAATGGCAGAGGGCAGACGGAGGAGACGCCTCGAGGTTTGATGGGCGGAGGAGGGACGTGGTCGAGTCAAGACGGTAGGGATTTGAGCTTGGGTGTTGTCGTCCAACGGTTGAACGGGGAGCGGGGGCCACCGAAAGGACAGGGGAGAGGTAGCAGCACGTCGCACCGACACAGGAACGAGAACTGTGGAGTTGTCTTAGATGTATCGAGAGGTAGGACGGCGATGCTGATGCTGATGGCGGACAGTGGAAACAGGACGGAGTTGAAGAGTTTTTGGGGTGGACAGAATGTGGAGTGGATTGTGTTTTGGATGCAACGAATGATAATTGATGATAATATTATTATCTATGGGCAGCGGCGGGCAGCCAACGCGAATTGTCCACGGGTACCTACTGCAGCCCGTAGCCCGTAGCCCGTAGCCCGTAGCCCATAGCCCGCAGCCTGCAGCCTACTAGGTATCCCCCCCTCCCATAGCCAAGGGGGTAGTAGGGTCCTGTAGCAGGCAGGTCTGGTGTGATATGATAGGTAACTTGGCAGAGAGAGAGAGAGAGAGGCTTTAGGGGGTGAGGCGATGGTGATAAACAGATGAATGATAGGCAGATATGAATCGATAGGCACGTCAGTGGGCGGTAGACGGGGAGTGTCGGGCAGTAGACGACCAGCTTTCGTTTAGTTCTTTTTAGCTACGAGAGCCCCCGCCCCCCCCCCCCCCCCCCCCCCCCCGGAAAACACCCCAAATGCCCCCCAAATACCCCCGAAAGCTGTATACACAACATTACATATGTAGACCTGTCCTTGTCAGTTGTCCGTATCGAACAGTAGATTTACTCTACTGTTACTAGCCACCACTCACCACTCATGGTGCTTTCTGTATAATTAGCTGTAGCTGACAGTATGGGCGCTGCTCCCCAGGCCAATGTGCATGCTCGTCTAAACCTTCTAGCTCCGTCCGGTGCTTCCAGACGGGCAAAAGGAGTACGGAGAAGGAGAAAGGAGAGAGAGAGAGATGGAGAGAGGAAGAGAGAGAGAATGAGTTAGTGGAGAATGAGTTAGTGGAGAGAGGGGTATAGAGAATGGAGTGGATATCACTACATATCACCCACTAGGAACACTGCAACCATGCAGGTGCCGGCATCTCACTCGCCCGCCAAGATCAGGGGAAATTGCGGATGTTTATCATGATCCCATGATTCCATGACTTTGGATTCCACGATTCCACGATTCCACGATGCTTCGATGCCAAAGTCTGTCGCTAATTATGCCCAGCCGGGAGTCAACGAGTACAGTAATACCAACAGATGAACACTCATCATTTGCTCTGCCCTCTGTCTATTGCTAGGCCTAATTACAGCCAGGGACCCATGGATGAGCTTCTAACCTGTCACTTGTAGAGAGCCTCGGATCCATTCGTAAACGTCCATAGTATAACTCATAATCTGAAGATAACATCTATCATAACCCACGCGTCACTTTCATCGACGCCGTCCGTCTCCATTCGGTTTACTATGTTCGCCATATTCCGAGAACGCGGTCGCGTATCGCTACCTGCACAGCCATTGGCTTTCCACTGTCGCCCAATGCCCTTGCTAGGTTGTCACTAGCTACAACAACAGCATCCCATCTTTAGACGGTTCCATTCTAGGAGTAATCACAGCGGAGAGGTACACTCAGGACCATTCATGGTCCCGCTCAGTTGCTCTTCGTTGCTCTGTAATTATGTGATCTGGCAACCCCGACGTGATTGATGGAATCCCATTTATACAGTCAACCTTCCTACCCGTCTGCATGCTCTCGCGTTTGACAGCTGTAGATCGGCTGCGTGCTCCATATCTTAGATTCACAGATATCCTTCGTCTCAGGATACAGCCAGCCTACGCAAACTGTGCACTCGTTGTCCATGCTCTGGCTTCTGGTAGAGGGTTCCTAGTCGAAGGTGGGGGCATGATGATTGGCTCTCTTCTCCGTCAGAAAATGGTGCCCAAGACTATAAAATGCAGTTGTATTACCCGCGCTGTACGCAAGTAGTCCCTGCACGCGCTAGGAGGACAATGACAGAAGCTTGGGCGAGCTTGTTATGAATTGCTTCGGACTACCTAGGTAATAATATAACGACATGGAACCTTGCGGAGTACCTGCCTTCTAAGTTTGTACAGTATTTTTCTCGAACTGGCAGAAACGGACAAGTTAATGTTTACCACATTGCTCACCTGTATCTCGCCGAACTCAGCGCGCGACAGTTTGCTGCTCCTCCAGGCTCCTCAGTACTCATCTATGCTTGTCTAGCCCGGTCACTTGTCAGCTGTTTTACCTCGGCTTTGGATAGCTGCCCAAATTTCGAGCCGAAGGTTATCAAGTCACTCATGTCGATAGGGTCTGAATATCATCGGTCTCTTCCCAATCATGCGCAGATGTGATTAGGGGGAATCAGACTCGAGCACATGTCTTACAAAGGTGACGAAGATCGCACAGTGGATTTCATGTCACTAGGGCACAGCAAAGATTCACGGATGAGTGGCAAGAACAGTAAAAACCCTGTGTCGAGCCGGACATCCCAGGCCATGCTTATTTTGGTATCTCGGTCTGTGTCTCAGTGTACACACAAAACGCCAGCTTTTTGTAGCCCCGACAAACGCCCAAACCCTCATATTGCCCTTCCTATTGAGTCCTTTGCTCACTTTGGCCCCTCGGCAGTGATCTTCTTCAACTCCCACTCTTTTGTAAATTCCCGGCTCAATGTGTCCAGATCCTGCACAACGTCTTTGCATGCCGTTACAATCGCATCTTTGGGGGTAATGCTGCCGTCTGTGGTGACGCGCAGCTCGAAAGTCGCGAACAGCGGGTGCGGAATCTTGTATGCGGAGAAGCGGATGTATGAGTATTTATGTAGTCGAGCGCTGAGCAGATTACCGAGTGTGTGGTCTTCTTTATTAAAGGTGAAGATTGCAGTGTTGGGAACGCCTGTATGGTACCTTAGCTAGACAAACAGTGAATGAGCGCGGAAGACGTCAAGACATACGTGTGTCGAGCTCCCAGGTGACCTTCTTCTCGTCGTCGCCGAGCAGGAAGAGCTCAAACCTGTAGGGGACGTCATCATTAGCTGCGATACCCATATTGACCGTGGTATGATGTGTGAAGCGGCGCTCGATCAAGAGGGTGCTTTGGTGACCTCGCAAAGTTATAGACATTACCGGAAGGTGAGGAAAGCATTAAGAGTACGAGCCGGGAACGTTTTGGTCGTTCATCGAACGTGGAAGTGAAGGAAGGGCCGGGTAGAAAGTAAACACAGCCAGTGTAGTAGCACTTGCCATGTTCACCTTTGGGAGCAATCTCCCCGCTGGCTTCACGAACTCGTAGAGACTGCTCCACGTACCTGTCTGGAGCATTCATAACTACTATGTAACCAAGAGAGGCCGATTATACTAACAAAGATGCGTAGATCGAATGTAGCGACGTAGAAGTTTTTTTTAGGCGGAGCTGTAGACGGGTACTCGTACCTTATAGTAAAAGGTAATAGTATATGATAGTAAAAGGAAGGATATGTAAATATAGTAGTGACAATATAGACTTAGTAGGAATATATCTTGCTAGACGAAGGAGACAGTAATAGCATTTGGGACGACGCGAAGGCAGCAGTAGGTCTTAGTACCTTATCTACTGCCTGAACGTCATGATCTCTTGGCGGCAGATTAGATCGGACTCATGTTTCCATCTCCGAACAATCTCCTATATATTTGGGCTTTGGACTTCCAAATAATTATATCAACGAGGGCGGGAAGCCGTTAAAGCAAGCCGTTGGACTTCTCTACCGCCAATACAGACGCCATTACTGCTGAGAATTGCTCGTTCCTGTCCTACGTATTGAACGCCTGTGAACACACGTAATTTAGGTATATTGGTCTTGCATGCTCAGATATGCAAGCTAAGTACCGTGCTGCATCCATGCGTGCTGCGTTGCCGAAACGATTGTCAAAGTCTGCTTCGTGTTTAAGGTTTTCATACACCCTGAGAGCCAGCGTCTTCCATATTACAACGGTCGACTCCTATTGCCAGTCATGAATCCATACTCAAAGGAGCTCACCATAGCCTGTCTAGCGGTACAACGGGCTGCCATACTTACTAGAGATTTACTCTCCATCGTCGACAAAGGTGCCCTAGAAAAAGCAGATCTTTCACCTGTCACCGTTGGGGATTTTGCGACCCAGGCACTCCTCATCAGTGCTCTGCATTACAACTTCCCGTCAGACCACTTTGTCGGTGAAGAGTCTGCAGACGAACTTCGAAAGAAACCTGCACTGCTCAAAAGAGTATGGGAGCTCGTTCGCAATACACATCTTGACGATGCTGATGAAGTGTTCCTTCCGCATCCGTCCTCCCTGGATGACATGCTACGTCTGATTGATCTAGGAGGCGCTGGTCAAGGTGGACGCGAGGGCCGAACCTGGGTGTTGGATCCAATTGATGGAACAGCTACATTCATCCAAGGTCAGCAATATGCTATCAATCTTGCCCTGTTAGTCCGCGGAGAACAGCAATTGGGCGTCATTGGATGCCCGAACCTCCCGGCAACTCCTGGCACCATTGAGGAGACTAGGGTCGATACAGATGGCCATGGCTGTCTGCTCTCCGCCATCAAAGGGCACGGGGCGTATATTCGGCTGATGACAACTGGAATGCTTTCGCCGGCAACATTAATTCAGAAACATGCCAACAGTGTCAAAGTTGAAGACATCAAAGTCACAGAATGCACGACAACAAGCTCAATGGTCCTCTCTCTGCATCGAGAAGTCTTTGATCGGCTCGGTGCGGCCTGGCCCGGCACTGATCTGTGGTCATCGCTAATGAAGTATGTTGCTCTGACGATCGGCGGCTGCAACGTTAACGTGCGGATTGTGAAAAGTCAGAGCTATAAGTCTTGTATTTGGGATCATGCAGGAGGGCAATTAATCTTCGAAGAGGTCGGCGGGAAGGTTACAGATATAAACGGGAAACACATTGACTTCGGTCTAGGAAGACAGATGTCTGCAAACTTTGGTTTAGTCTGCGCGCCTGCCAACCTCCACGCGCAGATTCTGAAGGTGGTCCAGGAAGTGATAGCAGCAGAGCCACATATGGTGGCGCCATAAATAGCTATTTCCACCTTGTACCGTTGGATCGTCTCGAGTAGGCGGAAAACCATATATTGACCCTTTGACAACATATTCACACGATCCCTAAGATAGTCCGATCTAAAGCTCAATCCTTTAGGCAGTGCAGGTTATGAAGCATACGCCCAGTCATACAGTCTTGGTTGATCTTCCTAGGTCCTCAGCATCGGATAAACAAAGTCTCCAGTCCATGACTCCCGCAAGAAGCGTTCCAGGAAACAATTACATTACCCCATACTTACCCTACAAGAACTTATCTATTACCCTATAATTACCCTATAAATACTCTATACCTACCTTATCTCCCAGCAGAATGGGATGTGGTCGGACCCCCGGATGGCAAAGTGTTGCGCCCTATGCTAGAGTCCATGTTCAAGGCCGAAAATAGCCGTTGCGCAGTAGTAAGGTAGAGCTCCGCAATCGGACCTGTTAATACAAATATGGGCATGTGTATGGCGCGATGACAAGCTGGTTGGTGTCGGGTATCTCTCTATTATATTTGGGGCCTTAACTCATTAAGCCGATCGTTTGATGACATTGCGACTACGCGCTATCTCTCGATATATATATGAACCCCATATTCATCTCATGATATTACACTGTGGATCAGCCTCTACAATCTGTCAATTGTAAAAGATGTCAATTGACGTTATAGATTCAGCATCTGCTAGGCCTGCGCCACACCTCAACGACAGAAACATCCATCACGCTGCCGCGACATCTAGCAGTATCAAGACCGCCCCGCACTCGCGAAACGAGGTCATGATGAACGAATATCCCCGGACTTGGGTGAAGACGCCCTTGAAAGAAAGTGCGGCCCTCAGTCGCGCTGCTGGTTGGTCAGTGGCACTGCATTTCATACCTTATCTTGTACATAAAGTAGCAGTATCTAAATCGTAGCAGCAGAGTCTTCCTCAAGCTTGAAAACCTACAACCTTCGGGCTCATTCAAGTCCAGGGGTGTAGGAAACTACATGCTTTGCCGGCTGCGCGAGCGCCTAACCGACTCTCCCAATACGCCCATTCACTTCTACTCGTCCAGCGGCGGTAACGCCGGAATCGCATGCGCCTACGCAGCACAGTCACTAGGATATCCGGCGACAATCGTGGTGCCAACTGCGACTAAGCCCGCTATGATTTCGAAGATGCGCACAGCAGGCGCACACGATGTAATCTCGCACGGTGCATCTTGGCAGGACGCTGATGGATACCTCCGCGATGAAGTCCTATGCAAAGACCCCAACGGAGTATATGTGCCACCGTTTGACCATCCAGACATTTGGGAGGGCAACAAGACTACTGCTTACGAGATACGGGACCAGCTCGACGAAAAGCCAGACGTTATGATCTGTTCTGTGGGAGGTGGAGGACTGTTCAATGGTTTTATCAAAGCAATGCACGAAATGGACTGGGGTGATGTTCCGTTCCTAGCTATGGAAACTATTGGTGCCGATTCGCTCAACAAGAGTGTGATAGAAGGCAAGCACATCACCCTTCCGAGAATAACATCCAGGGCAACATGTCTTGGTGCTATTCGCATTGCCAACAAAACCTGGGAAAACATGCAGGCAAACAAAAACGTTCAGAGTATTGCGCTGCCAGACGCTGAAGCCGCTATGGGTTGCTGGCGCCTTGCTGACGACGAGAGGATACTGGTCGAGATGGCATGTGGGGTTTGTGTTGTTCTTTGCTACGACGGTCGACTCCAGAAGATCATGAGTAGCATAGGTAAGAAATTGACGCCTCAGAGTCGAGTTGTCATTACTGTTTGTGGTGGTAGCGATATCAGCGTTGAGTCGCTGTACGAGATGAGGAAGGAGTATGCCTGGGTCGAAAAGACGGTTTCGGATGGTACCAATGGCTCTGGTGCGCCTGGTTCATTCACTATACCTGTGGTAGTAGGACACGAGCATCAAATAGACCGCGCTACAAACTGATCAGGAGTCAAATAGTAAAAGTATGCTTTCACAATGAACCGCCTCGAAACAGGGTCAAGCGGCAACTGTTGTCTGGTCTTCAATTTGTCTTTTGCGATAGTTCCAGTAATTGACACGGATTGGATCGTAGCGCATAGCAAGTAGATCCAGAGCTTTTGCTGCCATGAGCTGGGTCTCCGGGATATCGCCGTGTATCTCAGCAAAGACGTCCAATGCATGGCTTGACTGTACCAAGTCGTTCTCGTTGATGCCACAGAACTCGCGCACGAAGGGACTTAGCTCTACTATCGATTCTTTGGACTGCCTGTAGATACCTCGAAGGTAATTCCAAGGGCTTTGGTTCTGGGGCGCTTTGCGTATGGCCTCTTCCGCAAATCTATATTAAATTAGCCAATATCAAGGGAACAAACTTGTGAACTAACGTCTTCTCTCTACCTAGTATAGCCTTGTCGGTTGGTGCACTAGTGTTCGGTTTGCCAAAAACGACAAAGAATCGATGGTTCCAAGCCGAGTTATTCCTCAAGTCTTGCTCTAATAGCTTCTTAACAAAGTCTAGCTCCATTTGGTTCCAAAGGTCAAACCTCTTGACTAGCCATTGACGATAACTCCATACATGATAGTTCTTCGCGTCTTTTTCGAGCATCTGGTCAATGAATGCCGTCTCCCCCTCTGCAGAACCGAGTTTGTCGATTATGGTTTGGCGGTGATGCCATATTTGGTAGTTCTTGAGGTACTTTAAGGAGATATTGTTGACCCATTCAATCTCGTTACAGAGACTCTTGTTGAGAGTGAAGATAATCTTGCATCGATATAGCCTTTGAAAGGTCAGATAAACTTTAGCGAAGAAAGACTACGACATACCAGACAGTATAGTGAGCAGGGTTCATGCGAATGATGTCTTCGGTGAGGCTCAGAGCTCTTTCGCTGCATTCATTCACCGCCATGACAGCCCTCAGATAAGACATTGCTTCAACATATTCTTCCTTGTATGCTATCGTGGCTAGCGGCGTAGCTCCTTCGTGTTTTTGCGGAATCGGCGCTAGGCCCTCCCATACTATGTTTCCGGCATATCTCGACATAGTGACTGGGTCGTTGATTTCTGCAAGACGTAATGCAACTTGCTTTGCCTCCTGTCGAGTAGGAAAGCGTTGCACGGTGGGTGCAAGGGTGACGACGGGTTACACTTCTACTTTTCCAAGCGGCTGGCGGATTGACTTCGGTGTTAGAACCGCGGCACGGGGCTGTTCACTGGGTTCACCCATTGAATCCGGATCGTTTTCTACGATCCTGGAAGGTCACTCATTCATTACTCCATGAACAAATTGTGCTTTGGTCCTCCCAACCTCTCATGACGTGTCACAGCACACGTCTTCTGAACCCGAGGAAACATTCGACGTGCTCTCATTTCACCAAGCTTAGATGACGTCTTACACACGATGCAATATGAGCCCTTTGCAGATTCGCTTCATACTTCTCATGGGCTCGAGTATTCAAATTAAAGTCTTCTTGGTGGTCCTGCCGACGTTCCAGATCCAATGAAAGTGTCTCTCCTCGCACTTCATGCATATCATCAATCGAAGACTCGTCAAATGGTACCACGTCCGTGTCTAACATTCAACCCCGCGCACTCAACAGGCCTGGCCAATCCGAGAGTCAGTGGTACAATAGTAATGGATACGAGATGCGTGATATGAGCTTGCCCCAGCGAAACCAATCTGTAGCCGTTACTATAGTGGAGGGGTTGGATCTTGTATGACGAGCTCTGAAGTACATATGACTTATAAATAAACAGACTTAACTCATTACTAGCTGTTTGCTAATAAGTCATACGTTCAAATACGCGCAAGTAATAATATGTTGTGTCTTATGTGAGACTCAGGTCCCACAGCTTAATATGTCACCACGCATCCTACTACGTAGATATAATATTTGTAGAGTGACCGGGTGGATCATGATTGGATTATAATTCTGATTCTCTAACGAGGGCCTACAGTTTTAAGATTGCAACTAAAGACGCCCAGCTCGTTATCGATAACGCAGCCCCTCCCCTCCAATACTTTGAAGGTTCTTCCTCTACTCCACGACATCACAGTCTTTCTCTTATCTCACGTCGCCCTCAGGATTCTTAAACAGATCTAAAATGCCAGAACCAACGCCCGCTGATGGCCCTTCCATTCCTATAACCATCATAACCGGCTTTCTTGGTTCTGGCAAAACGACTCTGATACTCTCGCTTCTGCCACAACTCCCCAAGAACTACAAGCTTGCGCTCCTCAAGAACGAATTTGGCGACCTAGCCGTTGATTCCCAGCTCGCAACCGCCAAGTCTATATCAGGCGTTACCGAACTTCTCAATGGTTGCATATGCTGCAATCTGGTCGGCCAACTCTCCGACGCACTGGAGAAGCTACGACATGAACATAATCCTGACAGGATTGTCATTGAGACCAGCGGCAGTGCTTTCCCGGCCACTCTAGCAATGGAAGTGAACAGACTAGTGGAGGCCACGCGGGGTGCATATGCGCTGGACGGCGTACTGAGCGTCGTCGACGTAGAGAATTGGAACGGGTATGATGACACGAGCTATACAGCTAAGATACAAGCGCGATATACGGATTTGATTGTACTGAACAAATGGGAAGCTGCAGGGGAGCGGCGCATCGAAGAAGTTGAGGATCGGATTCTGGATCTGGAGATCGAGCCGCCGATACCAAGGACAAGAAGTGCTCGTGGGTGGGTCAGTAAAGATATCGTGTTTGGATTAGATGCCAATATGGCAGGCAAAACTGAAGTGGAGCGCGAGGACGTGCATTGCGATAGAAACAGGGATAATGAGAACGAGCACAAGCATGATCACCAGTCTGAGGTTGAGGTATTGAGTGTGAAAATGCCTGCGCTTTCAGGTGGTCAGACCGGCGTTGATATTGAGAAATTGGGCAGGTTGCTCTCGACTGCACAAAAGGACGAAATATACCGCATCAAGGCCGTGCTGTATAGTACGACACCTCCAAAATCCTCCGATGCGCATGCCGTTCCCCACGCAGACAGCGGCAAATGTGCCGTTCCAGGTGCCGTCAAATATATCCTCAATTGGGCCTTTGGGCGATGGACGTTCACGATGGCTCCCAGAACAGAAGTACTGGTGAATGGGGTAGGTGACGCGGCCATCCGTATGACAATTATAACGGCGCGATACGAATCGACCAAGTGGAAGAACAATATCGAGAAAGGGGATTATATCGCGCTCGAAGGGGGGTCCGCAGATGGACTAACGGTCGACAGAGTCCTGTGAAGCTGTAGTTCTGGGAACGGGGCAGCTGAAGCGTGCGCGGATCTTCATCCTATGGCACAGCATGACGGCATTAGTCCATGTGAAGATCAACAATTGCCTCATGTTGTGGAACAAAGAGCATTGTGTAGTTGCATAGGTGACATAGGGACACATGAGCAGGGTGAAAATAATGCCTCGTGTACCTATGCCCAGTTGCTCGGTGGTGGCGTCGCGCTGAGGTCGATGTACGGTTCCTAGTACGCGCGATGCGTTTTCAGTGAGTTTACTACATCCACTACCACTCATTACGAATACCAGTACGACTGTTCACTCCACCGCTGTCGGCCAGGTACGGGCCGCCCTGCAATAACACTGCCGAGACTGCCGGTGGGCCTTGGCAGAGCTTAGCTGCGAACATGTTCATGTACACAGTAAACTGGTACACGTCACAGTCTACGGTGCAGCCATGGAAGTAGATCAGCTTTACGCCATAATCGGGCCATACACCATTGTATAGTCGCCATCGGCGTATGGAAATTGTAGGCCATAGGCCCACGATTCCCAATGGAGCTAATAGGCACTGGTGCCGGACCCTGAAGCTTTCCTCATTCTGCACCATCAATGCCACCGTCGTTCCTATCAAAGTGGGGTAGGTTTGCGGGTACAAAGTATGGTGGTGAGTTCAGATTGCGATTTTCTGATATATGCTCCACATCTGGTAGTGTATAGGCGGTCTCAGGCGGACAAGCTAGTAGTACTTCCGTTGCTTCACTGTCTGGCGCGTGCATATCAAATTCGGGTAACGGATATCGGTTTCTCACTATCCCTGCAACTGGGTTGCTTACAGAAAGTAACTTGACCTCATCAGGATGTGACCCTAGGCTGTGAGGACTGCATTGTTGGGTGGAAGACTGGAGTTGTGGTCAGCTTTTCGGGAGCTCATCAACAGCTGATACATCTAATGAATACCTGGGGAGCATCTATCGCTAGACCACGTTCAGCTGCAAGCTTCTGTGCAGTGTCACGCTTCAGCTCAATCCTGATTTCCTGTTCTTGCTCGATGTGGAGCTCCTCATCTTTAAGATCGGATAGTGCTGGGGCTGATCGTACTTCCCCTACAGCTTCAGTAGAGGTTCCTCTATTTCTTCGCTTCGATCGTATACTACGCGACGATTCCGTTCTCATCGATGCTCGAGACCCTGCTGGGCGCTTGCCCCGAGTCCTGCCACTACTGGCATCGTCGGCACTCAACCCTGTCGTCCGACGTTCAAGCGCCATGGCAAATTCATCGTCGATAGGAACCGCATCGTCCAACTCGTCTTCGCTAGGGAATATGTCTCCACGGGAGCTGAGTGAATCGATTGTATGGCCTGAGCTATGCGTTGTACTCCGCATTCGTCTATGCGTCTTGGTGTTGTCCTGCGCATCTTCACTTTCTTCGATCAGGGGCTCTTCTTCGTGTTCATCGTGACGTAGCGCTCCAGGATGATCTGTGAGATCTGCAGCTGAGGGTTTGTAGCGTAAGCCCTTACCACCGACCTTGAACGGCAGCTTCGAGAAGAAGCCAAAGTATGAGCTGCTGGGTATCAATGTCGGATCACCGCCTTCATGTGTATGCACAGCGCTTCTTCGCCGACCACTAGGATAATTGTTCTTTCTACCGCCGTATTTCATTCCTCGTTCGCGATTAGGCTGAGTAGTCGTCCCATAGCTACCAGACCCCAAAAGTCTATCGAACCCATCGTTACCCCAGTCCAGGAGTGTCTCGTTCTCATCCTCTTCCCAATCATCATAGAAATCGAAACTAAGCTCTGCTCTGCCTCGCGTGCGTCCACGAGCTCGTCGTAGTCTGTCCTCACGAGTGGATAGGCAACATCCGGTACATTCTTGCCAGTAAGATCCAATAGACGATAGGCAGGGTCTGACATAGTTCTGGCCAAATGTAAAAAGACTCTCTTGTGCAGACTCGTTGGCAGACTCTATGTTCTGGGAAAGCTGGTTGAGAGTACGGCGTAGGCGTGGATCATCGCGCCGATACATGGCATTCCTATTACGATGATCGTAGCGCGTTGGCGAAAGACCACAAGGCACACATACGCCTTGAGATCAGTATGGGGAATGTGTCGCGGATGACTGAGTTTAGTTGCGGTCAAGATAGAGCATTGCCCTGGAACCTGGTAAGCCAAGCATCCTTCGCGCGGCGTATCGTTTTCCCGAAGCGCTTCTGGCTACACTTTCATCCAACTCTGTACAGCGCTGAGTACACGTTTCGACCGTAATTACATTGACATAATTCCCGCAACTGTAACAATTGGTGTCGGCAAATTCCCATTCGGAACCTACACGCGTATGAGATATGTTCGGTTCCTGAAGCCGCCCAAGATTGAAGGGCGGCAATTGAAGGCACTGATCACAATAGCGAACGATCTAGGAGATGAGCTACTCGCTGAGCATACAATACTGTATGCATGTCTCGTATCCAATAGTCAGCCCAGTTGCGTCTACGTTACCAGTACAGTTGCCTGGACGACATACTCTCGGGCTGTTCCTGTGGTTCTAGAGCTCGGCGAAGCGAGAATCCAGATTTGGCCTGCTCGACTATACGTGGGAGTGCATCCTCAACCTGAGTCTGACACAATGAACAAAGTGATGGGTAATGGTACAATTGTGAGGCAAGGCATCTTGTCGGCATACAGCACGACCCTGAATCCTCGCGATGGGTTGACGATTGCGGCTCCATTAGTAGAGCGGATCTTTACTTCCGATGCTAGAGGATGTTTGAGACTATGGGAAGAATCAGGGGAGAGTATAGCGCGGCATACATGGTATGCAGCCACGTTACACATAGAGTAAATCGTTTTCAACATATTTGTGCTGATCAAGCATGCAGGGACGCGGGTGTTGCCTTTGCTGCCTTCGTAGAGGCTACTGGTGGATGTATTGATAGCAAGACATTGCAAGGTACTTCACCCCAAATGCACAAAACCCCACTCAGGGTCATCGAGCTCGGAAGCGGCACCGGTGTCGTAGGATTGAGCATTGCAAAATGGCATCCAAGCGCCATGGTCGTCCTCACGGATCGAGGTGAAGCGGAAGCAATAATCTTGCAGAACATTGCTACCAACCAAGGGCTATCCTCGAAAACCAGCTTTACACGCTTGGATTGGGAAGAGGAGCTACCTGCCAGGGTCCAGGAGTCCGGCGATGCGTTCGACGTCGTCGTAGTTGCCGACTGTATCTACAACAGCGATACTACTCCTTTTCTAGTTCAAACGCTGGTAAGGTTGGTAGATCGATCCCCATCAGCCATGATAATCATGACTATGAAGATTCGTCACCCTAGCGAGGCCATTTTCTTCGAGCTAATGAGGGACAAGGGTTTCGTGGAATTTGACCATTCGACACTCCCAAACCCACCTAGCGACGATGAGCAGATTGAGATGCATCTCTTCCGGCGAGGTGATGCATGAGAGGTACATTGCATGTCAAGCATGTCGATAGGTTAAATCGAGTGCGGTCCAATAAATAATGCAACTACGTACACTGTAGAATGGTATCAGCCCAAGACTAGAAGCGGTAGAAGATGATTACGTGTGTTCTGTTCGCGCATAAGGGATAGGAAACGTAGGTTCGTTGCAATCGCAAGTAGGCAAATTGTGCCGTCTATCCGCCTGATACCCCATTAGCACCAACACCACCACTATGCGAGGATGGATGGAGAAATGGCGGTAGGGGCTAGAATTGATAGTATTGACGGAATCGTAGAGGTGAATGGTGCGGGGAGGATGGACATCTACACGAGACGATCCTGCGATGTGGCCGGTACCAGGTCTTAGATTTCATAGTGTACTATGGATTCCTTTGTTTGATAGCACGAGCACGTCGTCAATATCCAACCAAGCTTCCAAGGTTGCTGTGAGGCATTTATTAGCCGGAGCCGACGACCAGATGTTAGTGGCCAGCCATAATTAGCCAGCACAACCGCACACACCTTAGCAGCTGATGAGGGGACCAAGAGCCGCGAAAAGGCACCAGCAGCACCAGCAGCACCGGCACCATGCGAACATGTTTCTATCTACGTTAAGTCATGTACAGAAAGGCCACCACATGTCACAGACTGACTAGCACTCAGTTAGTTGAATAAGAATAGCTAGAGCTGAAGGTAGGGGGTGAATTATCCGAAGCTGACGAATTGCGGCCACAGGGAGGTTCCGGCAAGTGACGCAACACGGACGACTGGCCGTGCGAGGGTTGCAGATTGCAGCTTAATACAGGTTGCAGGTTGCGGGGCTCGGCGGTCGGTCTGACGCCTGGGTGGGCTGCTGTATGGCTTCGCTTTGGCACAAGCAGGGTCAGTAGACTGTGGACCGTGGACCGCAGACTCTAGACCAGCTGGCCTGTACCTCACCCGGCATGTTTTTTAAGGTAATAAATGCAGGTTATCTAACATGATTACCTTTGGATGTACCGTACCTGGACTGCCCGGTAAAATAATAGTTAGTGGACCGAGGTAGAAGGGTACTATTCACTAGTTTAAGCGGTAGCTGGACAAGCTTTCTAACCTAGCAGCCTAGAAGTTATATTTCGGATGACGAACAAATCTTACATGTGGCTTAGGGGTTATTCTTTCCGATTGCAAAATTCGTGTGGCGTTGGCGTTTGCGCGAAAAAAAAAAAAACTTGACTCTACGTAGCGCTTCTTCCTCTTTCTCTACTATCAACTTCACTTCCCAATCTATACTCAACCACATCTCTTCCACACTACTCCCCAGAACCATACGAACACATGGTCTTATCCTGCCATCACCCCGCTCAGCAATAACCGCTCCGCTTCCTCCTACCTCCTCCTTCTTTGCAAGCATAGGTAGCCTTTAGGAATCCCACTAGCTACTGCACAACGCTTGCCAATCCGATCGACTGCGCATTCGCGACCTCGTAAGCCAACTATCCCGTCCGTCTTAAATCTCGACTCTCCTGTCCCCGGTCGCACATCTGCCACCACCACCGCGATGCCGCGAGCCGAATAAATACCTCTCATCTCCTTCCTTTCCGTCTCTCCTAAACATAGCCATCGCTTGCGCCCACTAAGCATCTGACTTTCACCGCTTCTTCGAGCCCCTGGTCGGCAGCTTGCACTAATTCGCTCTCGACAGTGCCGTATATCTCTCAACTGCCGTCCAATTGAACCTTTGGTCATTTCCCAAAGGCACTTATACAACACGGCCTTGCCGGCCACAACACAGTTTTATCTCCAACTTGTTTCAATTCGACCACACCCAGACATCCTCAACACCTTGCCTCCCCCTGCTGAGAACGCCATCTACTTGTGAGGCTTGTGAGAAATCTCCTCAATCGCACAGCACACCCACCGCTTTGGTCCCAGGATACTCTCAGCTGCCGCATAGGACGACCTCCTTGGGGGTTTCTCGTCTTCCAGACGAAGACCGCCCCCAGATCTTTTTCGAGCCACCATAACCAAGTGGCCACCATTTCAGACTTCTCGATCACAGACTCCTCTCCGCAGAGCTGATTCTCCTGGTATGGCACCTTCTGCTATTCTCACTGAAGAATACACACCGTTTTCGATTACCAATCGTCGACTCTTCAACTCCAAGGATGTTGTGGCCGATGCTCGTCGTCACAATGCTCATCATGCCAAGCAGCTGATCGGAGACGCTCTTCGGGACCGGGTCAGCTCCATTGACGGAGACATCTGCGATGTGGGCGACGAGGACACATTCTTTGTAGCTGATATGGGAGAGGTCTACCGCCAGCATATGCGATGGAAACTGAATCTACCAAGGGTCAAGCCTCACTACGGTAAGCGAATCCGACCTAATTCGTTCCACGCCCTGACAACGTGACAGCCGTCAAGTGTAACCCAGACCCAATGGTCCTACGTCTCCTTGCAGAGATGGGTACCGGCTTCGACTGCGCGTCCAAGGCTGAAATCGAGCAGGTCTTGAAGATGGGTGTTGACCCATCTCGCGTCATCTATGCCCAACCTTGCAAGACCAAGTCATATGTGCGATACGCTGCGCAGAATAATGTCAATCAAATGACGTTTGATAACGCAGATGAATTACATAAAATCAAGCAGCTCTTCCCGGAGGCCGAGCTGTATCTCCGTATTGCTACCGATGATTCAGCCAGTTTGTGCCGGCTCAGCTTGAAGTTCGGCGCCACTCTGGACTCTGCAAACGAGCTTTTGCAACTTGCAAAAGGTCTAGACCTCAAAGTCGTTGGCGTCGCGTTTCACGTGGGATCTGGGGCTTCTGACCCTAACGCCTTTCTCAAGGCTGTTACAGATGCACGCTGGGTCTTTGACCAAGCCGAGGGTCACGGTTTCAACATGCACACTCTTGATGTTGGCGGTGGCTTTGTCGGTGAGACATTCGAGGCCATGGCTGCTGTGCTTTCGGGTGCACTCGACGCGTACTTCCCTCAACACGTTCGCATCATCGGCGAGCCTGGTCGATACTACGTGTCGGACGCTTTCACCATTGCGACACACGTCATCGCGCGCCGTACAGTCAGCGATAAGTCCCTTGACTCCAACTCCTACATGCTCTACCTTAACGACGGGGTATATGGGAACTTCTCCAGTATCATCTTTGATCACCAGCATCCAGTTCCAAAGATCTTGAAGAACGGCAATGTCTTCAAGCACGAGAGCACAGCAGGCAACGACGGTGTTGCACTGACTGAATACTCCATTTGGGGCCCCACTTGCGACGGCATTGATTGCATAACATCCTCTTGCACTTTTCCGGAAGTGATTAACGTCGGTGACTGGCTCTACTTTGAAAGCATGGGTGCCTACACTAAATGTTCAGCTACACGCTTCAACGGTTTCACGGACAAGCATGATTGCATCTACGTGTCCAGCGAGCCTGGTGCGAGCGCACTTCTCGACCTGTAAATACCATAGAAAACGAAAACCAGAGGATTTCAGGGTGGATCGTTTGCTTGGTTTATCTGCTTTGGAGAGGTAGTTCTTGAGTCCTCATTTAGACATGGCGCACTCCGTTTGCTGATAGACAACATATGTACCTTCGCCATGTAATCATCATCATAAAAGTACCAAAAAATCTCGATGATCCGCTTTCGTTGCATCTGTTGTTGTTATTGTTTTTCTAAATACCATGTAAGTGCATGCAAGCTAAGCCAAGTATGCCCTACTTCCCACGTGTATAGATTAACCATACAAGTGTTAAGGACCCCAACCAATAGGCTAGCCCTGACGGAGCATTGACCACCCGTACCCGGCATCTGGGTTTGCGTCATCGGTGCATCCTTTCTGCGAGGGTGCACACTGGCAGTCGTGAGTATGTTTGTTCAGCTATCGGTCTTCAAGCTTAAAGACTGTAAACTACTTGAATAACACTGCTTGAACATCGTGAGAAAAATGTCCAGTCAGTGGCCCTACAGCTTATGCTCTCTTTCACACATGTTGACTGACCTGACCAATGTGTCTTAGACGCACCTGTAGACTACTGTCCGGCATATCCTCTTTACCTCAGCCGGGCACGCTCACACACTCCTAGATGCGATCCTCGAGATCAACTCGAAATCCACTCAGCAACAGATTCGCGATGCTTATAAAAAGTATACCGTCTATATCTCATCTCCGAGGTCTATGCCCATAGCTAACACTCGCGAAGAGCAGCTCTCAAACATCATCCCGATCGTGTCCCTGAAGGCGATCCCCAGCGATCTACCCGTACCAAGCGATTTCAGCAAATAAACGACGCCTACTACACCCTCTCCGACCCGACTCGACGCCGAGACTACGACTCCGCACGCGCCTTCCACGGTTTCTCCTCTGCTCCTGACCCCGCTGAGGATACTCCACAATCGCAACCAGGCGGTGGCTTCCCATGGTCCTCCTTCGGTTTCGGCAGTGGGCGCGGCACAGCTCCCAGCGAGACTGAACACGAGACATTCAGCAATGAGCAATTTGGTAACGCTTTCGAGGAGATGCTACACGAGCAGGGTATGGCAGATGGCGAGAGCCGACCAACGGGCAAGTTCTGGAGCGTAGTGGGTGGACTGAGTGGGGGTGCGATGGGTTTCATCATAGCAAATTTTCCTGGTGCGGTTGCGGGTGCTGTGGCTGGCAACAGGCTAGGCGCTGTACGGGATGCTCGGGGGAAGAGTGTATACGCAGTGTTTCAAGAGCTGCCGCAGGCGGATAAGGCACGGATGTTGAGTGATCTTGCAGCAAAGGTTTTTGCCCATGCGGTGGGGTCATAGACGTATCCAGACCTTTCGTCTGACCCGATCCAACGGTATATTATGACCAAGCCATAAAGTAGAAGTGTTGCAAAAGGTCCGAAGAGCTTTTGTACTGTGAAAGAGATACCTGTATTGGTTTATGAATATTTCAGTGACGATTACATCTATAATGAGCAGATCACAAGCAGACGATCAACTTCTGTCATTAATTCTAGAGGATTTCCGATCAAAATGAGCCCACTTATAGTCGTGATCCGATCTCCTGCTTTCTGAACACACGGTGCACACATACACGCGGCCGCTTATGAATTTCGAAAAATCGTCGTGTCACATTAAGTCTCATAATAGTTTATTCGCCGCTAAATAGCGCAACGAGTTTGAGCCAAGCTACCAACAGCTACAATGCGAAACGAATCGGTCGCGACTATCCCAAACATCTTGTGTAGATCGCGCTTTCGCATGTCGATCTCCTTGCCTGTAAATTCGCGCTCACTTGCTTACTCGGCAATTTCGTGTTATCGTACCTATAGAGTCGTAGCCTCTTCGAGTTGTTCCTTAGCCGTGTATGACTTGCCCTTCCTACCCTTCACATAAACATTCTCGCCACCTTGACTACACTCCCAAAATCTCCAAATCCGCCAAATACACCATCGCTCCGTCCCTCGTACCCTTGGCTGCTATAATATCCATTGTCATCCCTGAATCCTCTGGCGCCACCATTTCCTCTCAACGCTGCTGGCAGTTGAATTCCAAACTGTCGCGCAATTTGGTGCAATACACCACCGCTAATCAGGGGCATGATGACCATAAAGAGAATTTTGATTGGGTGTCGTCGCGCATAATAATACAACTCCCGGATCAAATGTTTGAACTTGCGCAGAAGCATCTGTATATAGTTGTCGCGAGGACGACGCTTGTAGTACGATGAACCGGAGCGTGAGTGGGAGGAGAATGTGCTGCTGGCACGAGTGTAGGAGGGGCGCGAATGCGACGAGGAAGAATTGAACCAGCCCATTGACGCGGAGCGGTTGAAGGCAGACCAAAGTAATGGACTGGAGAGGTAACGAGGTCAGGGGTTCCGTTGTTAAATTGAACGTGAGGTATTAATATAGGAGTTCAAGTCGGAGCTGCGCTTCAGCCTTGTCGAAGCGTCTCGATTCTTCCACTAATGGTGAAGGCAAAGTCCGTTCTGTGTGTGTTTGTCGTTCCTGGTCTTCGACATCTCACTAGTCGACGAAGCGAAGCCTGAGGGTGTCGAGGCGGATAGTCAGCTTCTTCGCTCGGTGCTGGGTCCAGGGGTTATGATTAGCCGATAGGTAAACAGAGGGTTCATCTATCGTTCTCCTAGAACCTAACGAGCTAGAACTAGTACACGCGTATTCTTACCCGTATCTTTCTACCTTCTTTCTACTTTTATATCTAATTTAAGAAGATAAAAGATTTAAAAAGTAGATATAATAACTAATTAGCTATATATATATTCTTTTATAAGTTCTTTTTATTCTTATATAGTCTCTTTAGAGAGATTAAGAAGAATTTTTATATTTTTTATTAGATTAGATACTATAATAGACCTAGATAGACTACTCTAGTCTATCTATATTTTATAAGAAGTAAAAATACTAGATACTTCTCTTACTCTATTCTTATAGATTAGATTAGTATTAAGATTATTAATATATTAAGTTATATTAGTTATAAAGTATACTATTTTCTATCTAAGTATCTAGTTAGTTATATTTATATATCTAACTAGTTTACTACTATCTATATTAATTATATATAATATATACTACTACTATAGCTATAATAAGATATCTAAATTTAAGAAAATCTATTATTACGCTTAGTAGTCTTATATATAATACTTAGATAGATATAGATTTATATCTTTATAGATACTATATTATAGTTAATCTACTACTAAACTAATATTAGAGAGTTTCTTAGTAGATATAATATACTTTATAGTCTTTTTAGAGTAATTGTAATAAGTAAAGACGTAGGATAGTAGTCTAATAGTTTATAGAGAGACATAGAAATGTATTTATAGAGTAGTCTTACTCTTATACGAGGTTAATTCCTAACGAGCAGGAATCGGTTTATACGGTCTACTTATATAGTAATCTCGCTTAACCCAGCTAACTCATTCTAGCTCTAGCCGCTACGTGGCTATATGGATTAGAATAGTCTATATAGGTCCGTTAGGGTTCCCGTCCTAATAATATTCTTCTTCTTTTTATACTTCGCCCCAAAGCACTTAAGTATATATAATTCTAAGTCTCTATAATCTATTATATATCTATATATCCGTGACTAAGTTCCTATAATATTATAACTATCCTTAATATAGGTAAACTCGAGATTCTAGTTTACTTTTACTAGTTTATACACGCGCTTATCCCCTGCTTTATAGCTACTACCTAGAACACGTAATTACTACTTTAGTTAAGTATATATTTAGCTTCGCTCGCCTTTAATTTTATTCTCTAGTATATCTATCTCGCTCTTAAGGTAAGTCGTTAATTCATATACTATCTTCCCTAGTTTAGGTTTAGAAGGGTCTATTATAGTCTATTCTTATTAGAACCGGTTCTATATAACCTATTCGCGTTATTATAGTTACTAATTTAGCTTCGTTAATTACCGTTAAGGGTAGACGAATATTCCTTCCTTAGATCTCTAGCTAATATATATATATAGATGTCTAATACTAGTCCTATCTCTAAGTCTACCTCCTCCTCTCGTAAGACTCGCTCTAAAGGTATTATCTTCTCCCCGGCCACGCCGGCTAAGAAGCCTATCTATTACGGTGGCACGAAGGCGCGCTCTAAGTTAGAGAAGAGAGTAGCTAGGGCTACTACTACTACTTCTACCTCTACTACTAATATAGCCACTAGTCGCTCTAATCTAGGTAATTCTAGTACTAAATTTATGGATAAAGCGGTCGTAAGTTCTCCCCTTATTCTAACGCGCACGCCGTCTACTCTACCTCCTCTAGAGGATAAAGAAGATCTCGTTACGGACGATAATCGCGAGCCCTCGCGCTTACCCACACCGCCGCCTCGCCACTCTCCCTTCCGGTCTAATATAGACTAATTTAGTCGCTCTAGGTCCTTTTAGGACCTTAATATTCGCTCTAAACCCTAGCCTACTAATAATAAGGTCTAGGTTACCGAGGATACTAAACGTAGTTACGGTTTACGCTATAGGAAAACGGTAAACTACGGTTTAATATACTATAAGTATATTAAGGGCTATATAGCCGGCTCTAAGTATCTCTTTCGCTCTAACTCTAGTATTAGCTACTACTCTACTAACCGCGACGGGCCTATACGCCCTATCTTTACTCTACCTACCCGCTACCGCCGCTATACTATAACTAGTAAGACTTATCTATAGGTAAGTATAATAGGCTATCTTAGTCTAGTATAATCTAAAGTTATCCGCGCTAATACATTCTTAGGTTTCTATATATATATAAGATATATATAATGACCTTCGTGTCTATAAGACCCTCGGGGGTCCTTATAGCTATCTATCTACTATATAGAGGGAGTTTAGGGAGCGCTATAAGCTCTTTCTAGAGGTTATTAAAGTATAAGTTACGAACACGTTAATTATTTTTAACACCTATTAATATTTCTAGCCGCCGCGAGATCCCTAGCGCCTAGACTATCTATTCTAGAGAGTCTATCCTAGCTATAGAGACCGTAGAGAGGATTTACTCTATCCCCCCTTATCCGTCTCGCGCTACTAACGGATCTTATAAGAGGTCTACTATTTCTCCCTCTAAGTCGCCTCGTAAGAGGGTATATATTCCCTTCTAGATTATTCTAGATTATATTAGCTAACTTTAGACCTAGTCGCTACGCTCTAGCGCTTAAGGCTCTTCCCTCTAGGCTCTAACGGATCGGGTTATTACTCTAGAGGCTAAGGTCGTTATCCTCCGCTACTATATTATATAGTTAGAGAGGACTATACTAGAGGTTATAACGGATGATAAGATAGGGGAGTAGCTCTATAGTTCTAGCTCTATATATTAGCTCTATATATTCTAGATCTACTATAGGTGGTACGCGCTAGCTCTATTTACCTAGCTTTTATCTATTTTAGTCCTTTTTTAGACCGTTTAGATACCTATCGGCTAGTTTCTAGTAATTTAATTCTTAACTTAATAATATTATATGTGCGCTCGCTTAGCTTATAACTATCGGTTTCTATATTCTAATTTTCCTTAAGTTACCTAAGTATGGGCACCGTATATTAATTAGTTTATCTCTATAAATTCTATTAGAGTATCTAAACTAGTAGCCTAGTAGTTATTAGTTCGGGTACTCTAACCTTTTATATTTCGTGTTAAGAGTTTAATTCTATAGTAGGGTACCTTTTTTAGGTTCTTAGTCCTATATTTTTCTCGTATATAATGGTCCATGTTAGTCCATTCTAGACTCTTCTATTATGGTATATCGCGTCGCGTTCCTAAAATAGTTACTTACGCTTTCTTCGCGTCTAGTAACCGTATAATACTTAAATTATAGGGCTACCTTATAGAGTTTTCCTAGTGCGCGTCTAGATTTCCTAATTAAGTACTTTATTCTCTACGGTATCCTTCTTCTTTTTATAACGACCGTAACGTCGCTATGTTTATATTAATAATATACTATTCTATATCTTTTACTTATACGCAGCTATTATAGAACTTAAGATATATACCGCTAGTTCCTAGGTATCCTCGTCCTTAGTATAGTCCTTCTAACGGATTCTATATTTCTAAATACTATCTTTATTAATTCTATGTTTAATAATATAGTCTACTTCGAACACGTCTAGTCTATCTTAGGGTATAATAGAGTATAACTATACGTTTATACGGTTATATATATTAGGTCGAAATCTTTCGAGTAGTAAGACGTGGAATATATTATAGATTCTTATATCGCTTTCTAAGTCGAGCTCGTAGGCTCTTATACTAATATAACGTTTAATTCGGAAGGGACTAGCCATTTTATAATCGAGCTTCTTATTTACTCGTGATATTTATATATTATAAATGTTAAGAAGGACCTCGTCGCCCTCCTCGTACGTCTAATCCTTAGCTAACCTATTATAGTACTTCGTATATAAGTTATTTACTTATTAGATTATAGCGCGATAGTTACGTGCGGTTTTGAAGATTTTAATCGCTAATTTCTAAGCGTGGACGTTCATGTCTATTATTCGATTAAATTAGACTATATAAGGCTTAAAACCTATCCTTAGACTACGTCCGAGGTTCGCCTAGAAAGGTATAATACTAGTTATACTATAACGACTATTATTATATACGAACTCTACTATACTTAGTAGGGAGGCCTAGTCGTCCTACTCGAAATTATAGAATGCGCGTAGATAGCCTTCGAGCGTCTGGTTCTACCACTCTATCTAGCTATCTATCTAAGAATAAAATACTATAGATATGTTCCTATTTATACTTACTATTTTATAGAATAATATCTAGAATTTAGACGTGAAGGTACTTCCTCGGTCCGTAACGATTCTTTTTAGTATACTATGGACCTTAATAATCTCGTTCTAGAATACCTACGCTAGTTCTTTAGATATAATCATCTTCTATACTAGGATATACCTAGATATCTTTATAAGTCTATCTACGATAATAAGAATAGAATTATAACTTATTCTAAGTATCTTACTTAGAGATAAGTTAACTATAAAATCTATAGTAACGTCTTCCTATATAAAGAGGGGGACTAAAAGAGGCTATAAATTCCTATATAGCTTATGCCTAGGGGCCTTCGTTCTTTAATAAATCGGATAAGTAGCTATCTATTCTTTAATATACTTAGGTATATCTTCCTAAAAATAGTACTAACGAATTAAGCTTAGGGTACATATATACCTAAAGTATCCTACTAGATTAGCGTCATAGTATCGACTAACTACATTAAATCGCGCCTTACCCATTAGTATATAGTACTTTCTATTATAGTAAAGTAAGCTATCCACGAAGGTCTACTTATAGTCTACTTTAGTCCGTAATAACCTATCTTACTATATTTTACGTAACTTTAAAACTATTAGGTCTATCTTCTATAGATCCATAATTAACTAGGTAAGGTTAATTAGATATTCACGCTGGGCATTATCGCCCTTCCCGACAGCGCTAATAAATGGCCTACTAGGGACTTCGGTACCGCGTCTTTGGTTACTAGCTTCGGTCTTAGAGATTTAATTACCGGTATCGACGTTAGTATCTCGCTAATTACCTAATAACTTAAAATCTAACCTTGTCCTCGAGAGTTAGGCCTATAGCTACTCTAGGACTCTATAGCTACTATAATCCTAGGCGCCTTCTTTATAGTTAGATCTTCTTAATATTCTATTAGCTAGGTTTATACTTCTAGATCGATAGTAGATTATAAAGTGAAAGTTCGTAAGCTACTTAGCCTATTAAATCTATTAACGGTTTAAAACTATTATACTTATAAACCCCTTTAAGTTATAGTAATTAGTTAGTAACTCGATATTATATATAGTACCTTTAAGATAATATCGCTACTATTTAAACGACTCTACTATTACTAGTAGCTCTTGGTTATAGATAGTATATCTAGTCTTAATATCGACTATTTTACGCGAGAAGAACGCAACTAGATACTATTAGACCTTTTTAGACTTAGTTAGTCTAGACTAGGAGAGAATATCTAAGATTATAAATTCTAACGCGTTAGTTTTAACGTGGATAGGTTTAGTCGGGTCGAAGTGCACTAGTAATAGAGTAGTTATAAATGCCTCTTTGATTTTCTCGAAGGAGGCCCTTTCGCCTTCTAATAATTCTATAGACTGCGATTTAATATTATACTATTTCTATCTACCGTGGACCGTAATAGATGAATCTATAGTAGTAGTATACGCGTTAAGTGGTACTACTAGCCAGGAGAAGTACTTAATAAATTTTCAGTAGTAATTAGCAAATCTAATAAAGACACGTATATCTCGAACCGATTTTAGTTTAGGCTAGTCCACGATAGTAGTAACCCTATCCCTTTCTATAGTTATACCTTAATTAGTAATAACGAAGCTAAGGAAGTTAACGTGGTCCTAGTGGAACTTATATTTAGATAGCTTAATATATAGCTTATGTTTTTCTAGCCTATCTAGGACTACGCGTACGTGCTAGATATATTCTTCTTTATTATTAGAGAAGATAAGAATATTATCAAGGTATATAATGCACGTCATATCAAGTAGGCCTACTAGCGCGTTATTAATATACGCTTAGAAGGTCCCTAGCGCGTTAGTTAGTCTAAAAGGGACTACTATATACTTAAAGTATCTATAACGGGTCCTAAACGCCGTTTTCCACTTATCGCCCTTCTTAATATATAGGCGGTAGTAGGTGTCGTATAGATCGAGCTTAGTAAAGATCTTTACGCGCCCTAGTCTATTAATAGACTTAGAGATAAGAGGTAGTAGGTAATAATTCTTCCGTATAATATTATTTAGGCTACGGTAGTCGATATATAGACGGAGACTTCTATTCTTCTTCTTTATAAAGAGGATTAGAGCTCCGGCTAGGGATATACTAGACCTAATCTATCCTCGTATAAGGTTCTTTTCGATATATTCTCGGAGGACCTATAGCTTAGATTCTAATAGAGGGTAGATGGGTCTATATGGGGGTTATTAACCGTTCTTAAGATTAATAATAAGATTAGTAGGTTGGTATTAAGGTAATTCGGACGAGTCGATCGCTAACGCGATATATTAGTATATTTTATACTAATATAGTAGGTTTTCGTCTACTTTAATACTAAGCTCTCTATTTTAAGTAAATAAGAGGATATAGATAGTAGAGATTACCTTTTCGTAGTCCTTCTAGAATTATTTATCATCGACTAGCTATACTAGGTTCTATTATAGTGGGTGCATGCGCCAGCTAGCTGTTTTCTAGATGAAGTCTAGTTTCGGGTTATATTTTTCGAGCTATAGTATACTAAGAATCATGTCGAAGGGGCTATCTACCACGATAAAGGTTAAGTAGTAGGGTTTCCACTTCCCCCCGCTATTCTAGATACTATATTTAATAGTATAGGTACCCTATAATTTAATAGGACTATCGATACTATGGAAGGTAGCACCTATTAGTACTTAAATATTAATATTAAGTTCTCGTGCTCGTTAAGTCGATATAACGTTAGTAGCTAAACCGCTATTAAGTATTATAGTCTAATGTTATCCACGGGGGACCTCGATAGGCCTAGCCTATAGTTTAATATACTAGTTGGCTAGTTATCCCTCTATTTTAGTTACGCCTATAAGTCACGAGGGTTTCTTATAGATAGTTAGTTTTTTATATTATATACCGGGTAGTTAGGCGCGATGTATCCTAGCTACTAGCACTTATAGTATATAACTAACTTAGTATCTATATTAGTATTTAGTGGTTTCCTAGAGCGGTACTCGGGTACTATATGGCCTATCCTACCATAAGTATAGTAGGTAACTTTAGGTCGTTTATATAAGTCGTTTCTCGCGTCTCGATATATTAACTAGTAGGATAATCCGTGGTACGGGCCTCGTCCTCTCGAGTTCGTGGAGTAGTAGTATCTACGAGGTATTCCGCGCGATCTATTACTAAACTAGTCCTCTTTAGATGATTTCATATTAGATCAGATTAGTAGAGATAGTTATACGCCTATACGGCGTTAGTTATTTATTATACGCTAGTATTATTCTATAAGATTCGCGAGTACCTAAAGGTTAGTAGAGATAGACGTTATAAGGTTAATGCGTTCCTTTACGCTCGGATTAAGGGACCTTTTAAAGTTATTATATTATTAAACCATGCGATCTTCCTTAGCTTCTCTCTAGAGAGGTCGGAGGTATTTAAGGAGTTATAACGGGGATTATCTTTCTCGCTATTAAGTCTTAAAGATATGGCTCTAAGCCTATTCGCGTCGCTCGGCTCTATCGCCAAAGTATTAAAGAAGGAATTTAGTAAACGTGTTCTAGTTATATATATCCTTAGGGTGTTCGATTTAATATACTATCTAACGTTTAGATAGCGTTAGGTCTAGGTAGTTCTATATAAACCTAATCTTATTACTATCGTTCGTGAATAGGTAGAAGAATCAGCTATACTAGTAAGCCTATTTATAAAAGCTCTTCCGGGTTTTACCGTCAAAGTAAGGTGGTTTCTTAGGCCGAGGTAACTAGGATAGTAATAGACTTAGTTAGACTATTTCGGCTTAAGTTAGTCTATATTAGTATAGGTTAGTTACTACTAGTACTAAAGCGCGTAGTGCGGCTTCGAGTCTAGCGGTTCGTTCTTATACTTCGTTAAGTTCGCGAAGTTACTATTTAAGCTAAGCCTAACGCTACCTCTCCGTGTATAGCCTAGTATATATATTATTATAAGGCGTGGTTAACGTTAGTCGGTTCTAATGAATTAGTTCGTTAACGTTAATAGGGTCTGGTCTTATAGTAAGGATAGGTCTAGTATGGTATAAACTAGACCGCGATAGAGTATGATAGACTCTAGTTATTAGTACGATAGCTTATAGGGTATACTTATTAGTAGAGGTGGTCGTAGGGAGACTATTCTCCTCGTTTAGATTTAGGGAGAGTCTCTCATGGGAGGTCGTGCCACGGGTATTATAGCGTATAGTAGGAGCTATCTCTATAAGCTACCGTCGTACTATATAGAGAGGAATTAAAATATAATAAGTAAAGACGTAGGATAGTAGTCTAATAGTTTATAGAGAGATATAGAAATATATCTATAGAGTAGTCTTACTCTTATACGAGGTTAATTCCTAACGAGTAGGAATTGGTTTATACGGTCTACTTATATAGTAACCTTACTTAACCTAGCTAACTCATCCTAGCTCTAGCCGCTACGTGGCTATATGGATTAGAATGGTCTATATAGGTCCGTTAGGGTTCCCGTTCTAATAGTAATCTTATTACTTAGCTAATAGCTTACTAATATTAATATCTTATTTATTATTCTAGTTAACTTATAGTATCTTACTAGTAGATAGTATACTAGTTAGTTTATAGAAAGCTATTATAGTCTTATCTTATATACTATTTAAGTTATTATCTAGAAAAACTAGCTTTATAATCTTTTTATATATCTTATAATATAGTAGTCTATTTAGAAGTAGTTTAATAAGATAAGATTTATACTATTTATAACTATAAGTAACTATAGTAGTATTCTTAAGTCTAAAGCTATAATATTAATAGATATTCTAGTAGTATTTAACTATTTACTTTAGTACTAACTCCTTAGTATAGAGCTTATACTTAGTATTATAGATCTAATTTAGATACTTCTATATATACTTACTAATTTTATTATTAAATAATCTTATAGCGTACTTTCTATACTTATAAATTAACTTTATAGACTTAAGAAGATTAACTATCTTCTCTAGAGACTCTAGTTACTTAATTAGTATATCTATCTAGTATAAGTAATATTCTAGCTCTCTATAGTTAGCTAGAGAATAAGCTAACTTACTTAGACTAGATAGAAGACCTAGATAGCTAACTAAATTAGATGTTAGAATAGAGTTATTAGATAGTAGTATAGTTAGATAGAATAATAGAGTATATTCTATTATAGAATAAATTACTACTAAACCCTTTTAATAGAAATCTAAGAGTATATATATAAAGGGATACTAATCTATTAGATATATAACTATTTACTATCTATTATACTATCTCTAACTAAGTTAGCTAAGATATATATAGATCTAGTCTAGTCTTTAGCTAAGTTCTAATAAAGATATATTATAAGTTAACTTAAAAAGTAGAAGTAGTACTAGTACTACCTTAAGTATATAGTAGATAACTTATTAATTATATTTATTTCTTATAAAAGCTTATATAGTTAGACTATAGCTAGACTAGATAGAACTATTAATTAGTTTTATTATATTTTCTTATATTAGAGTTTCTAAATTAGTAATAGATACTAAAGTAATTCTATATTACTTTTAGTATAAGTATATATTAATATATATAATTAACGTTAATCTTGTATAGGCCTTAGTATAAGCACCTGGCGCTTGTTTTTATTTCTTGGCTTAGCTCTAGCTCTTACTACCTACCACCCATGCAGCTCGTAGATCTCTGGGCATCTCGAAGCCTTTTTAATCTACATGCATCATGCATCCACATCTCAGGGGCTATTGTCGAGATGTCTGTCTATATATATCTAACCGAGGATTCTTCAGCTGGCGAACCGTTCTATTTCCGAGGATTTATTTCGCTATATACCCCTCTCCGCTTCAATGAGCTTCTAACTTTTCTTTCTATCTCTCTCATTCCCTGACTATCATACCCAGGCTCCCCTTTGTCTCGTGAACAAATCCTATAACGACCATGCTGCTCAAGATCTTCTCTTTTCTGAGTTTGGCCTGCTCCACCTCCGCACAATTCGTTAAAGGCTTCAATACAGGCAATACCAATGCCCAAGGCGCATGCCGCTATCAAAACGACTTCACAACTCTGTTCAATCAGGCGAAGAACCTGCCTGATGCCGGCGGCTTCGCCTCTGCTCGCCTGTACACCATGATTCAATGTGGCACCCTAAATGAACCTATTCAAGCAATCCAATCCGCTATTGACACAGACACCAAACTGCTCCTCGGTCTTTGGGCTTCAGCCGGTCGTGAAGCTTTCAATGAGGAGATGAACGTCCTCATGCGTGCCATCAGCCAATACGGAGATGCTTTCACTTCGCGCGTCGTGGGTGTCAGCATCGGTAGCGAAGATCTTTATCGTAGTAGCTCCCAAGGCGTGAAAAACAATGCCGGAGTTGGCGAGAAGGCTGAAGTTATAGCTGGATACATCGGTTGGGCTCGCGACTGGCTGCGTGGAACAGCACTAGAACGTACTCCTCTCGGTCACGTCGACACCTGGACTGCATGGGTTTTGCCCGAGAATAAGCAGGTCATTGAAGCTGTCGACGTCCTCGGCCACAATAGCTTCCCATATTGGGAGAGCACACTAGACAACAACATCAGCAACGCCGCCAACATTTTCTGGTCTGCATTGGATCGCACTGAGGGCGTTGCGCAGGGCAAGCCCGTATGGGTTACCGAGACTGGATACCCACACCGTGGACCTAATTCTGGATATGCTGTTGCTAATGCGCAGAATGCAAGGCAATACTACGCGGCAGTTGGTTGCGAGCTGTTCAAACAGCGTAACACGTTCTGGTACACACTGGAGAATGCGAACACCGCTCAGACTGATTTGTCTTTCGCTGTCAACGAAAATGGCAATGTTCAGTACGATCTGAGTTGCTAACTTCCTACTTCTGCGGCTCTCTAACGACTCTCTACTAGCAATCAGTACTCGGGATGAGTATAATAATGGCCATGGCCGTCTTTGGGAAGCCAAATCTATAGAGCATATGTTACGTACAATCAACTATATCTAGCGCCTGGTGATCGACATGGACAGTGTTGTACATCACCTAGTCGTCACGCAGCTAGCATTTACTTTCTGTTGTATTTATTTCGATTCACAATAGATTATATGCAATGCAGCTATATTACTTGGTGTTTGTGTATCCTTAGTCCGCCCAAGAGCCACACGGTTCTCAGTTGCGGGTTCATTGATGTTGCGTGGGAGATGGCACGATAGCATTTGTCCTCCGACCAAGCTCAGATTATGTATACTTGAATTGCCGCGTTGAGTATGGTTGGGTGTTGTACAACTGTTCTACCTCTTTGCACACCACAGGTCTTCGATATTCTTAGTCCTTCTTCAATGGCTTGTATATCTCTTCAATGCCTTTGCTCGTGATAATGATCATCTGCAACCCATCGCCCACCTCAATGTGCCTCTCTACAGCACTACTGAACGCATCTTCAACCAGCTGCTCGACATCTTTCCTCGGTAACGGCTCTTGCACTCTTTGCCGCAGTTCATGTCCAGTTCCACGCCCAGGAATACACTGGTTCTTATAGTTGACCTGATTATCTAAGAAGGGCATGATCAGACTCGCGGCCGCGCCGCCGGCCCTGCACTGCTCTCGCTCATAGCTGCCCACAGGATCGTAGCTGTATACCGCACCCTTGCCCTCCTCATCCAGTCCACCTAGGATCGCATGCACGTAGTAAGGGAAGAAACGCTTTCCGTACAGGATATGCGAGAGCCGTTGCGCACAGGCTGCCACACTCATAGTCTTGCCGTGTTGGTATTTGTACATCTTGAGAATAGTGTCTAGGCGCTCCTTGAGGGCGTCCCCATCCGCCGCAAATCCGACGACGGATAGGGCAATGCGTGACTCCGGGCCCCCAATTCGGAACACTTTTGGGCAGTAGCGGGTATTGATGCTGTAGCCTGAAGTGGAGCGCGTGTCGCCGGCGATGATGGTAAAGTCGGCGCCTGCGATACCGAGAGTAGAGCCACCATTATCAGTGTAACTGGCAGATGTAAGTATTGTGAGTTAAGAGAAGGGCCAGTTAGGTAGTTTGGTCTCACGGATAGAAGCTATGCTGCCGTGCACCTTCTGATGCTGTGTTTGGCTGTTGGGCGAAGGAGTATTTAGGAGTCCCCGACGGCGGCCCAGGGTGGAAGACAGACGCCATAGTCGACAGTTCCTGACAGTGTTGAAGGAGTTAAAAGGCCAGTGATGGAGGATGAGAGGATATGAAACGTTGTGGTGTTGAGCTCGAAGGTTGACGTGGAGCAAGCTGCCTAGTCCACTAGTCGAGCTTCTCAGACGTCAATGTATTTATTAGATAGAAGGGTTTTATTATATATTATATTTTTAGACTAGCTTACTAAGTAATATCTAAAGGTTAGATTTTAAAGAATTATAATTTATACTATATACTTATTTTTAATATATAAAAATCTTAATAACTTCTATAGAAAAGTAATAAGTTAAAGATATATATACTACTATATCTATAGAATAAGAAGATAAAAATTAGAATATATAGATATAGAGTAGAAGTAAGAAGATACTAGAGATTAGATTAGTAAAATTATCTATTATAAAATTACTATTTAGATTTCTCTATAGTATATCTAAATATACTAATTACTTAAGTAATTCTCTACTTATTTACGCTAAAATAGATAAGGTCGATAGATTCTAGTGCGTAAGGAAAACCATCACGTCGTTCTTCGTACAGCCACAACTAGAAGCTCATTTTACATGTTGTAAGGCCTGCCACGACTTTATACATGATGCTTGGGCTTGGTAAATATGATAGTGATGATGATGGAGAGAAGAACAAACCTACTAGAAAGGTAATATACTATCTATGATTTATGATACATTATACTAATAGCTACTAACATCTTTAGGAAAATGCTACCTACATTAAGGTATTGCCTTCCCCGACGACGTGTAGGCTCGTGGTCCACCAAGGTTATAGAAGATGCTAATGTTTACCTATAGTACCGAATAAGCTTCAGAGTGTACCAATCTCCAAAGAAGTCGCGCATCGACCGTCGACGTTGAAATTAGCAGGAGAAAACCGCACAGTAACTCCACTGCCTGCATACCAAAATGGACGAATGGATGTCCTTATGAAGGAAGAGGCAACAGAAGGCCCTCTGGGACAAGATTACAGGCCACTCTCGCCAGACGCTGCAAACAGTTCGCTGGTCCAACAACTGACCTTGCCTCCGGTTCCGGACCTCGGCGTCCCGCTCTCGCCTCCCGGTTCGCCGCCTCCAAAGTCGACCAAATTGTTCGCTCAATTCCTCAAGCTCAAGAGGGATGGTATTCATTTCAACCAGAGACTCGCAAAGACACCTTCAATTCGAAATCCGAACCTGCTTAAGAAACAACTAGAATTTGCAGGAATCTCAGAAGAGGAACAGCACGACACTGCTATGCCTCACAACATTGTACCCACTGGATTTCCAGTGTGTGCGTATTGGGAAGAACTGAACAGAATACGGGATAGCATTGAAAAGAAAACGGAAGCTCAGCAAGCGCAAGCGCACCGAGAGGCCGTAGACTTCGTGCCAGCTTTGATTAAATCTCGGGACGAAATGGACCCATACTGACCCCAATACAGTCAGAGTTGGCTTAAGTACCAGCATGGCTTCTCCTATAGCGAAATTTAACTAAGATAAGGACTAAGAACTTAAGAAAAGTGGTAGTAAGTATATCTAATAAGGAGAATAAGCTAAGATAAGATTAAGTATAGATATCTTAATTAATTTATAGTAATATTATTAGATAGAATAATATAGTATAGTCTATTAAATAGTAAATTACTTCTAATTCTTTTTAATAAATTATTATTATTATTATTATTATTATTATTATTATTATTATTATTATTATTATTATTATTATTATTATTATTATTATTATTATTATTATTATTAT